GAGGAACTGAAGTTCCATAAGAATGGGTAATAGTTATAATTAATAAATCCTTAGAAAGATCATGTTGCTTATGATTACCATGTTTTCAGAAGAATCGACATTAACAATGAGTAAGATAAGAAGGATTTCACTGAATTTTGGGTGAACTAAGATGAAGACGAATCTAAAGTCGGTGGTCTTACAGCCAGAAGCTTGATGTATTTCAGATGATGATCAAGTATTCATACAAATAATAATATTAATTGTAAAATAGTTATTTTAATTATGAATTTTTCTAATGTCACTTCTTTAAAACTATGTGTCTTTGTATATAGAAAATAAATTATCATTTAGAATAATAAATTTTCCTTAAGTCCTATTTTTTCTAACTAATTTTTGAATAAATGAATTTTATTTACATTATAAAATCCATATTAAAAAAGTAGTATTCTTGTATTTTATTAATAAAAACTAATAAAGAAATTATTTATTATAAGTCTAGCTATTCTTTTTATTTTTGGTTAATTATGAGTCAAATTTTCTTGACTTGTTTTATGATAGGAAGAAAAATAACACTGAAAATTCGTAAAAACTTAATTGTAAGTAATTATATTTTTTTTTTTAGATTATTTTCAAATTCCAAACTTCCTACAATATTCATATGGTGTTATTTATTTTAATAGTATTTTAGTGAGCAATAAACAGAACATTTATTTATTTTAAATTAGATAAGTTATAATAATTCTCTTTGAAAAAAAAGATTATATGTTTATGAGCATCATCTATTATATATTTCAATCTATAAAAAACCATCGAACATCCAAGTATAATTTAATCTTAAAAATAAGACTAATCATGCTAAGAAAATTAATTCATCAAATTTTATTATTATTTTTCATGATTTTATAGTATAAGGCCATATCTAATTTTTAGAGATTAGTTTTGCTAAAGAAGTTATTTCTAAGGTAATATTTATTTGATGATTAGACTTAATTTGCAAAATTAGTTTTAATTTTTATTATTTTTATGAAAAAATCAATAAGTACTTCTTCATATAGTGGCTATAAATTGAATAACGATTCAACAAGAATTGAGTCTTTTCCAGATTCAACAAGAGTGTTGTAGATGAACATTAGTCATTATGAGGACACGTTGTCTCAAGAAGTATTTATTTCCACAGCATATGAACATATAAGAGAAGTCAGAGTATACTGATTAGTTTATTAACAGGATTTAATTGCAAGCTCCAGATAGAACATGAAACCATTGAGGGAATCAATAGGCCAATTAAGATATTAGATACAGACTATTGAGCATTAATAAAAGAAAGATTAAATTAATTTAGAATATGATATCAGTTTGAGAATACATAAATTAAAATAAGTAAGCCTTTGATTGTACTATTAAAGAAAATAAATTAATTTGAGGTTGTTTAAACTGGAGAGTTTGCCATACTCCAAGATTAAATATAGAAACTGTAACATGATGATTAAGAAATAATTCAGGATATAGATGCCCTAGAATTGAGAATAATAGGCTTAGCTCCTCAGATTGGGTAGTACACATATTAAGGATTATATTAATGAGAATTGTGATAATAACAAAAAAGCAATTTTGTTAATACTATATTTTTTTGTTAGAAAATTAATTTATTGATAATTAATCAATTAGTAACATGATAATGCAATTATCAATTCTGATTCTAATAGTTCTAGACCAGTTTGTGTCTTTTGAATAAGTCTTTAAATATTATAGTATTTCAACTAAAAATGTTTTATAGTTAGTAAGAATTTATAATTCAAATAAATTAATATTAAAATCAAGTCGTTATGAGATCGCCATCTCTATTTTCACCAGTATGATAATTTGAGATTATAAAAGTCTAAGCAATAAAGATATGAAAAGCAAAATGGGTCTTTTCAGACTTTTTCAACAACTAATTAAGTGAACAAGACTTAATTAGCTGATTTTCGAAAGGAAATACGCAACAACATTAGTTAAAGAGAGCCATTCGTTCCATAATAGGAAAAGAAGCCAATTCTATTAACTAGTTGGAAGAAACATGAAAGGAAAAATACGTAATTTTTTCAAATTATTTTCAGCGAAGGTAATGTGGCCAAATATATGGCTAGATCATCTCCAAAGAAAAGCCTACCAGGAGGATTAAATATGGAAGAAATCTTGTAACGATTATATTTATTCTTAGCAACACTCAAAAGAAATATATTGATAAGAATCAGTCATAAACTACTTTTTATTATTAACAATAAAGAAAAGTGGATTAGTTATTTAAGAAGGAATAAAATGATTCTTTTAACAGACAAGACAACTCATTCTCTAATTTATTGAAACCAAAAAAGTAATCCTAAGCTCTTTTGTCAAGATAAACAGGAAGAGACTAATCACCAATTAATTTAGAAAGATTTAGAAGTTGGGATACAAAGTTAGATCTTCAATTAAAGCAATTAAACAATTCTAAAGATATTAGCTTTTATAAATATTCTTAATAACCTTAAAAAGAGAATGTTTATGAGACTAGTAAACCACTCTAGACTAAAGATATATTTAATGTTAACAAAAATGCAAATAATTTTAATAAGTTTTTAAAGAATTCATCTCCACCTAAATTCATTGAAAAAATCCCCTTAACAGATATAGTTAAAATGTAGTCATATTTCTCACAATTGCCCACAGCAGAAATTACTACAATTCCAAGAGGGTAAAATATAATATAAGATTTTAGCTATTTATAAGAGTTATAGAATTTATAATAAACTCTGGCTAGAGTTGTCAAATAGTCATCCTAAATTATTTGATCAATATATTTAATCAATTTTAAATCAAATTTAATTTTCAATTTGAGCATCAATTTATTTTCTATTTATTTAATTGAACATAGATACAAAATGATTAATTTTGCACTTATCATAAATAATAGTAGCAATTATTTTTAATAAATTTAGATGTATTATGTATTTAAATTACTATTAACGTAAAAGTTTTATTATTCTCTTTAATATATTATAACTACTTTTATATCGGCATATTTATAGGTTCTGATTCTATCTTGCAGTTGTTCATTAAATTATGAATGAAAAAGCAATCATGAGCACCTGAATAAAATCTATTATGAAATATTAGTAAAAGAAATTGCTGCTATTTAGTTTAGAAATAACTACAATTAGAGTAGTACAATCCAAAGACTCTTTCTTGTTCACAGTATCATGGCTACTCACTCTATTATTTACGAAATATTAAGGGAGAAGCAATATTTTTATATTAAAAAAAATATTTACTTGCTATTAAAAATAATAAACATATTGATTTTTTATATTTTAAACATCTTTATTAAAATTTAACAAATATATTTGATAAGTGAAAAGGCTCAGACTCTCTTTCAAAGTTATGAATTATTCATTGAATGAGGAAAAGACTCTTGTCTAAACATATAAGGAAATTGAAGTAAATTCATGTTTGATAGTTACATCAATGAATATTATTGAGTTTCTTAACTAGTAGCATTGGATAGGATTGGTGGACTTTCTTTCAATAATTATGATTATGAAAGACTCTAACTTTTAATCAAATTAACAACTCCTTGTCTAAATAACATAGTGATATCTAATTTAATAAAAAAATTTACATTATTGTTATTAAAATTGCTGTGATGATGAAGGTTAATTCTAAAGGACTTAAGAATTGAATAGTGATCTCATTGGATCATAATATAGTTATTGAGAATTTAATGAGTTATTAATTTGATTTAGATTATTGTTTATACTCTAACTTAATATACTTTATCCTATTTTATTTACTTAAATTTCGTTATCATCCTCTTCTTTCACCTACACTTCTGAACTCTCAGCTGAGATAATTTCATTCAAAACTTGTTCATTCTAATCATTAACAATATTATTAATAATTTTTTGTTCTTACTCTTTCTTTCTTTTAATGACTTTTTATTTTTTCATTTTCTTCTTTTGAACTTTCGTGTTTTTCCTTCTTTTAATACTACTACTTTTGGATGATTAACTATTATCATTAGGATCTTGCTTAAGGATTTCATCTAATTATTGGGATGATTTTAATTAATCAGTGTCAGTTTTTTATTATGAATTAGGTATAACGTAATAAGGATTTTAAATATTCATATACTCTTTTCTAATAAAGGAATAAAATCTATTTTTTATCATATTTTCCTAAATAAATTTTAGTTATAAATTATACAGGTCTCCCTTTTAATAACTTGGATATTTCTGTCCATCTTGATCCATATTTTTAATAAGCATCCATGACAATTAGATCTTCTTCCTTTGACCATGGTTCAGCCCTTATTTCTGGATTCAATTTGTTAATAAATCGTTCTCTAATTTACTTTCCTGTTCTCCAATGCATGATGCTTGCTATCATTCCCCAATTCCGTTTGTGTATTTTAACTAATTCTAACAATTATTCGTCTTCAATTGCACTCCAAGAATGTCGAGAGCGTTACTGAGCTTAGTTAAATTTAAACATACTGAGACTGGCTTAATTCTCTTCCATCGTTAAGCGCATTAAGAAGGATTTCGATTATATAAATATTTTGCCACTTCCTTCCAATTAGTTCCGAGTTCATGAATTGCTCTTTCAAGCAACTTGTCTTCTTTTTAGGACCATATTTTTCTATTTTGTATTTTTTTTGAAGTTGCTTTTGCTGACTATTTGTCATCTTCCATTTCACAACATTCCAACTAACTACAATTGAGAAATAATTTACTTATCATTTGGCACCATTCAAAATTTAATTTAATTATTTATATTTCCCTATCAGATTTGTCATGGTTATATGTGATGAAAATATATAAAATAAGATTTGCAACAAACTATAATAAAATTCAATATTTCATAGGATTAAGAAATTAAAAATGCTTATCCAAGCCCTTCCTTCTAGTTTATAGATGTTTCATTTGCCCCTTATAATATGAAACTTATTGGCAACATGCTAATTAAGCAAAATATTTAGTAATAATACAGGATAGAATTCATAAAAAAATTTACTTTGCTTACCGAATAATCATTTGACTTTAACNAGAATTTAATGAGTTATTAATTTGATTTAGATTATTGTTTATACTCTAACTTAATATACTTTATCCTATTTTATTTACTTAAATTTCGTTATCATCCTCTTCTTTCACCTACACTTCTGAACTCTCAGCTGAGATAATTTCATTCAAAACTTGTTCATTCTAATCATTAACAATATTATTAATAATTTTTTGTTCTTACTCTTTCTTTCTTTTAATGACTTTTTATTTTTTCATTTTCTTCTTTTGAACTTTCGTGTTTTTCCTTCTTTTAATACTACTACTTTTGGATGATTAACTATTATCATTAGGATCTTGCTTAAGGATTTCATCTAATTATTGGGATGATTTTAATTAATCAGTGTCAGTTTTTTATTATGAATTAGGTATAACGTAATAAGGATTTTAAATATTCATATACTCTTTTCTAATAAAGGAATAAAATCTATTTTTTATCATATTTTCCTAAATAAATTTTAGTTATAAATTATACAGGTCTCCCTTTTAATAACTTGGATATTTCTGTCCATCTTGATCCATATTTTTAATAAGCATCCATGACAATTAGATCTTCTTCCTTTGACCATGGTTCAGCCCTTATTTCTGGATTCAATTTGTTAATAAATCGTTCTCTAATTTACTTTCCTGTTCTCCAATGCATGATGCTTGCTATCATTCCCCAATTCCGTTTGTGTATTTTAACTAATTCTAACAATTATTCGTCTTCAATTGCACTCCAAGAATGTCGAGAGCGTTACTGAGCTTAGTTAAATTTAAACATACTGAGACTGGCTTAATTCTCTTCCATCGTTAAGCGCATTAAGAAGGATTTCGATTATATAAATATTTTGCCACTTCCTTCCAATTAGTTCCGAGTTCATGAATTGCTCTTTCAAGCAACTTGTCTTCTTTTTAGGACCATATTTTTCTATTTTGTATTTTTTTTGAAGTTGCTTTTGCTGACTATTTGTCATCTTCCATTTCACAACATTCCAACTAACTACAATTGAGAAATAATTTACTTATCATTTGGCACCATTCAAAATTTAATTTAATTATTTATATTTCCCTATCAGATTTGTCATGGTTATATGTGATGAAAATATATAAAATAAGATTTGCAACAAACTATAATAAAATTCAATATTTCATAGGATTAAGAAATTAAAAATGCTTATCCAAGCCCTTCCTTCTAGTTTATAGATGTTTCATTTGCCCCTTATAATATGAAACTTATTGGCAACATGCTAATTAAGCAAAATATTTAGTAATAATACAGGATAGAATTCATAAAAAAATTTACTTTGCTTACCGAATAATCATTTGACTTTAACTACCAATTCGTCAACTCATATCTAAAAAGACTGAGGTGTAGTTTCATTTTCTTAAATTTTGTTCAGGTCATCCTTAAGCTAACATTCTCATAGAAGATTCTTTTAATTATTACCCAACCTATTGAAGGTTGCTCTTGTTAAAATACAAAATAATAATAAAGATAGACAAAAGGATTGCTTAATTGACTTTTGCTCTTATTTCGGCAATAAAATCAATTTTTAAATCAAACTTTTTTTTGGTTAATTCTAAAAATAAATAGTTTATACTTATAATTAATAAAATAAAAATGTTTTATATGTAGGATATAAAGTAAACTAATACGATTATAATTTACAATTAAATAAATCCGTATTATTATATAAAAAACTGGATCATAAATTTGAGTCATTCTAAATTGACAACATTTTTATCTAAAACCTTTCAATAACATGTATCTCAGGGCTTTTTCTTATTGGATTGCAATTTTTTACTTTTTAAGTTATTTAAAAAATTGGAGGAAAATCATTTCTAGTGTAATATTAAACAATTTTATTTTTCCATTTATAATTTGAATATTATAATTCTTTGCAAATTACTTTATTCAACTATATATTTATAGGAATGAATTTTCTACTTTTTAAAAATACGTTTAATTTATTGATTAAAAAGGTTCCTATAGGAATAAATGATATTATTTTAATGAAGTAGATAATAATAGTTTTACTTAGTTTTTGAAATTGCTCATCCACTTCCAATAATTGATTTCTTTAGGGTATTGCCTTCCTTAAAGCTGACTCCATTCATAATTGCTCACAAAATTGTAAAAACTTTCAAAATCATGGCTTCTCCATTTTCTTGTCTTGCCAACCATTAAGACATATTACCTATTTGTTATTGATTAAAAAAATCATAGCTTTTAAGCAACAATTCTATAGGAAAATAGTTTTGATTTTTCAACACAGCAAATAGTAATTTCAAGTGATGTTAGAAATAGAGATGTATATTTAATTTAAAGTATTATTTTTATTCATAATAATTCATTTGAGAAAGGTAGGGTTCTTAAATTATTATTATTTAATTTTCATACTTACTTATTTGAATTGACTATTTAAGAGATATTTTAAAAGATTAAGAGGAGATATATTCTATTTATAATAAATTTCTTGAATCGATTCATTATATATTAGTGATTAAAATAATATTTCTTTCTATGAATAAAATATATCCAACAAATAATTGATCGATCAATCTTATAGATAATATTAAATAAAAAAAATATTAAGCACAATCAAATCATCCTATGAATATAGACTATCATATATTTATATAAAAGTGTAGTTGTGTATTAAAAGGAGAAAATTGAAAAATTTTAAATGTAATTAACTTTTAACAAAGTTAGGTCAATATACTTACTAGTTGGCATGGCAAGATTTATCATAATTTATGGTTTAAAGTTCTATTAAATAAACAGTAGGTCTATAATACTGAAGTTTTTGGAATGATAATTAATATTTATAATTGAAAAAAAAGCCAGATAATTATTTGTTTGATAATTGGTTCCTCTTAAATAATATCAGGCTTAAATAATATTAAATATTTCAGAGAATGTATTTAAGCTTTATTAAGGAGCATTTCACGCCTAGTCAAGAAGAACTTGATATGTTAGAAGCTAAAGAAACATAAGATTTATATTCTGATGTATAAATTCAAGGGGGATTTATTCAAGTATTCTATTTCAAATAGATAGGTTTATTCTAGATAATGTAGTATATTTGATTCTGAAGTATACAAGAATTAACTCAATTTGTTCAAGAAATATTTGTTGAATTATGAGAAATAAAATCCTAAGTTAAATGGACGTTGTCTTGAGAAGGCATTCTATGTGGAACAGACCTATTCACTAGACTGTTAGGTGGAATCACCGGAAACTTGGTTAAAGGAACAAGTAACAGTGTGGCAATTGCCAACTGATATAGTGAATAAGTTGAATTCTAAGTGTTTCACCTTTGAAGACATCGCCAAAAGACATGGGAGCTAGATGGTGGACATTCGAATACAAGATCCAAATACAGACACCTTTACTCCGACGGTTGAATAAAATAGTATAGCCAATCAAATGAGAATTGATGAGTATTGTAAGTATTTGAAAAACAAAACTGAGTTTTTTTAGAAACATACAGAATATTCACCAGATAAAGTGTTATTTGCTGTGAATGTAGACATGGATANATATATTTATAGGAATGAATTTTCTACTTTTTAAAAATACGTTTAATTTATTGATTAAAAAGGTTCCTATAGGAATAAATGATATTATTTTAATGAAGTAGATAATAATAGTTTTACTTAGTTTTTGAAATTGCTCATCCACTTCCAATAATTGATTTCTTTAGGGTATTGCCTTCCTTAAAGCTGACTCCATTCATAATTGCTCACAAAATTGTAAAAACTTTCAAAATCATGGCTTCTCCATTTTCTTGTCTTGCCAACCATTAAGACATATTACCTATTTGTTATTGATTAAAAAAATCATAGCTTTTAAGCAACAATTCTATAGGAAAATAGTTTTGATTTTTCAACACAGCAAATAGTAATTTCAAGTGATGTTAGAAATAGAGATGTATATTTAATTTAAAGTATTATTTTTATTCATAATAATTCATTTGAGAAAGGTAGGGTTCTTAAATTATTATTATTTAATTTTCATACTTACTTATTTGAATTGACTATTTAAGAGATATTTTAAAAGATTAAGAGGAGATATATTCTATTTATAATAAATTTCTTGAATCGATTCATTATATATTAGTGATTAAAATAATATTTCTTTCTATGAATAAAATATATCCAACAAATAATTGATCGATCAATCTTATAGATAATATTAAATAAAAAAAATATTAAGCACAATCAAATCATCCTATGAATATAGACTATCATATATTTATATAAAAGTGTAGTTGTGTATTAAAAGGAGAAAATTGAAAAATTTTAAATGTAATTAACTTTTAACAAAGTTAGGTCAATATACTTACTAGTTGGCATGGCAAGATTTATCATAATTTATGGTTTAAAGTTCTATTAAATAAACAGTAGGTCTATAATACTGAAGTTTTTGGAATGATAATTAATATTTATAATTGAAAAAAAAGCCAGATAATTATTTGTTTGATAATTGGTTCCTCTTAAATAATATCAGGCTTAAATAATATTAAATATTTCAGAGAATGTATTTAAGCTTTATTAAGGAGCATTTCACGCCTAGTCAAGAAGAACTTGATATGTTAGAAGCTAAAGAAACATAAGATTTATATTCTGATGTATAAATTCAAGGGGGATTTATTCAAGTATTCTATTTCAAATAGATAGGTTTATTCTAGATAATGTAGTATATTTGATTCTGAAGTATACAAGAATTAACTCAATTTGTTCAAGAAATATTTGTTGAATTATGAGAAATAAAATCCTAAGTTAAATGGACGTTGTCTTGAGAAGGCATTCTATGTGGAACAGACCTATTCACTAGACTGTTAGGTGGAATCACCGGAAACTTGGTTAAAGGAACAAGTAACAGTGTGGCAATTGCCAACTGATATAGTGAATAAGTTGAATTCTAAGTGTTTCACCTTTGAAGACATCGCCAAAAGACATGGGAGCTAGATGGTGGACATTCGAATACAAGATCCAAATACAGACACCTTTACTCCGACGGTTGAATAAAATAGTATAGCCAATCAAATGAGAATTGATGAGTATTGTAAGTATTTGAAAAACAAAACTGAGTTTTTTTAGAAACATACAGAATATTCACCAGATAAAGTGTTATTTGCTGTGAATGTAGACATGGATAATTGGGATGAAGAAACAGGTCAGTTATATGAGTATATGCCCTAATCATTGTTGAAATATGATGGATTGGTGTATATGAGACAATTCTGTTTGGGAGTTAACATTCCATAGATATACCTAAAGACCAAAGGAGTTTGGACAGGTGGACATCAGGAAAATTCATCAGTGAACTCTTTAAATTTCAATCATGGTCCTGGAGACTGTCTTTGGTTAACTGTGGATGCTCAATATGTAAATAAAGTGTATGAAGTGATGCCTAATCTATACTAAATAGAAGGTTTATGGTTTAAGGAGATTGACTTCTTTTTAGAAAACAATATTCCCATAAAATATACGATACAAAAAAAAGGAGATCTTGTGATTTTGGGAGCTGGATGTCTACATTGGGTGAAGAGTCTAGGCAATACTATAAATACATCTTGGAATTTGCTAGTCTATCAAGAGAATACATTTCAATATATATATGATAGATAACTGATTAATGACCAATACAAAATCTCCAGTGTCATACCCATTAAGAACTTGTTTCTGGATATATATTTTCATAGGAAATCTCCTCAATTGAAAATGTACTTGCACAATTTTATAGAGGACGATATAAAGAATTACATAAAGCAATCTGCAAAAATCAAGAGTTGCAAAAAGAGATTCAACTCTAGAGAAGTATTGTAATGTAGTACTTGCAAAATGGAAATCTTTATCTTTTACTAAATCAAGGATGATTAAACATTCAGATGCATCAAATGCATAGAAGGAGATGAAGCTGAAATCTTTATGAAATATAAACCAACAGAACTTATCTTGGTATTGAATGCAGAAAAGTTTACTTGCAGTCCTACATTGTGCACTAGATACATGGGAACTACAGAATGCTAACTTGAAAAACAAACAGAGGAATTTGCAAGTGAAAGTTATGAATCCAGTATAGAGTAAAGCAAAAGTGCAGAAGAATAATCTAAAACTAAATTTGCTAGAAAAAAGGAGAAAAGTAAGACTTCCAAAAAGTCATCATAAACACAGTAATAAGATAGGTACATTTGTCTATTTTATTTAGAAATTCTAGTGCTTAAACGAATCATTAAAATAAGCAAAAGAGAGCTTATAGAAAGAAAGCTACTAAGGGATAGGATGATCTGATTTCTGAAATAGTTATTTCCTAAAAGTCTCATAAGCAAAACGAAAATAGTACAAAATCCAAGTAGAACAAAAAGACACAAAAGAATTAAAAACTAGAGAGCAGCGTCAAAAGTGTATCCAGTTCAGATTTTGATAGTTATTCTTAAATTCAATTAACTAAAAAAGGAAAAAAGTAAAATGAATTATGATTAGCATATTAATTTTAAAATATTTACAATTAATTATAATTATGAGTACCTTTGGCCAAAAGTATAGAGTAACAACTTTCGGAGAATCTCATTCTAAAGGTGTCGGCTGTGTTATTGATGGCTTTCCATCCAACTTTAAAATTGATTAAGACGCCTTGCAATACTAATTAAATAGAAGAAGACCAGGATAGACCAAATTGACAACTCAAAGAGATGAAAAGGATAAAGCTATCATAATTAGTGGACTCAACACTTAACATTTGACTTTAGGCAGTCCCATAATGATTATGGTCTATAATGAAGACATGCGACCATAGGATTATAAATAATTTGACGACATACCTCGTCCAGGTCATGCTGATTTTACATATTAAATGAAATATGAAATTAGAGCAGAAAGTGGAGGTGGTAGATCCTCTGCAAGAGAAACTATTGGAAGAGTTTGTGGAGGAGCCATAGCTTAATAGTACCTAAGTTAAATGAAAATATCAATTTCAGCCTGGGTTTCTTCTGTTGGGAACATTGAAATCCCTAAGGAGGTCTAACAATAATTGATACTGAATCCGCCAACTTAAGATTAAATTGAAGAAGTTAATTCTAAGTATTAATTCAGAAATCCACATGAAGATTCTGCATTAGAAATGATAAAATTAATTGAACAAGTAAAACTAGAGAAGGACTCTATAGGAGGAACAGTTACCTGTGTGATTAAAGGGTGTCCAATTGGATTAGGTGAACCATGTTTTGATAAATTTCAAGCGGTTTTGGCACATGCAATAATGAGTATCCCAGCTACGAAGGGTTTTGAATTTGGTTCAGGTTTTGAGGGAACCAAATAAAGGGGTAGTGCTCATAATGACAGATTCAAAAATTTAAAACCAATTACTAATAATGCTGGTGGTACTTTGGGAGGTATAACAAATGGAGACAATATTTATTTCAAAGTGGCATTTAAACCTGTTTCTACGATAGGTCTGGAATAAGAAACTTCAAATTTTAAAGGAGAAGATATTATTTTAGAGGCTCATGGTCGTCATGATCCTTGTGTAGTTAGTAGAGCTGTACCAGTAGTTGAAAGCATGGCAGCAATTGTGGTTCTTGATTTNAAAGTCATCATAAACACAGTAATAAGATAGGTACATTTGTCTATTTTATTTAGAAATTCTAGTGCTTAAACGAATCATTAAAATAAGCAAAAGAGAGCTTATAGAAAGAAAGCTACTAAGGGATAGGATGATCTGATTTCTGAAATAGTTATTTCCTAAAAGTCTCATAAGCAAAACGAAAATAGTACAAAATCCAAGTAGAACAAAAAGACACAAAAGAATTAAAAACTAGAGAGCAGCGTCAAAAGTGTATCCAGTTCAGATTTTGATAGTTATTCTTAAATTCAATTAACTAAAAAAGGAAAAAAGTAAAATGAATTATGATTAGCATATTAATTTTAAAATATTTACAATTAATTATAATTATGAGTACCTTTGGCCAAAAGTATAGAGTAACAACTTTCGGAGAATCTCATTCTAAAGGTGTCGGCTGTGTTATTGATGGCTTTCCATCCAACTTTAAAATTGATTAAGACGCCTTGCAATACTAATTAAATAGAAGAAGACCAGGATAGACCAAATTGACAACTCAAAGAGATGAAAAGGATAAAGCTATCATAATTAGTGGACTCAACACTTAACATTTGACTTTAGGCAGTCCCATAATGATTATGGTCTATAATGAAGACATGCGACCATAGGATTATAAATAATTTGACGACATACCTCGTCCAGGTCATGCTGATTTTACATATTAAATGAAATATGAAATTAGAGCAGAAAGTGGAGGTGGTAGATCCTCTGCAAGAGAAACTATTGGAAGAGTTTGTGGAGGAGCCATAGCTTAATAGTACCTAAGTTAAATGAAAATATCAATTTCAGCCTGGGTTTCTTCTGTTGGGAACATTGAAATCCCTAAGGAGGTCTAACAATAATTGATACTGAATCCGCCAACTTAAGATTAAATTGAAGAAGTTAATTCTAAGTATTAATTCAGAAATCCACATGAAGATTCTGCATTAGAAATGATAAAATTAATTGAACAAGTAAAACTAGAGAAGGACTCTATAGGAGGAACAGTTACCTGTGTGATTAAAGGGTGTCCAATTGGATTAGGTGAACCATGTTTTGATAAATTTCAAGCGGTTTTGGCACATGCAATAATGAGTATCCCAGCTACGAAGGGTTTTGAATTTGGTTCAGGTTTTGAGGGAACCAAATAAAGGGGTAGTGCTCATAATGACAGATTCAAAAATTTAAAACCAATTACTAATAATGCTGGTGGTACTTTGGGAGGTATAACAAATGGAGACAATATTTATTTCAAAGTGGCATTTAAACCTGTTTCTACGATAGGTCTGGAATAAGAAACTTCAAATTTTAAAGGAGAAGATATTATTTTAGAGGCTCATGGTCGTCATGATCCTTGTGTAGTTAGTAGAGCTGTACCAGTAGTTGAAAGCATGGCAGCAATTGTGGTTCTTGATTTGTATCTATTGAGTAAATAAAAATGAGTATTTTTTATAATAATAAAATGAAAGTAATGGAATAACTGGAAGCTGCCATTAAATCGAATGATACAGTGACTAAATTACTTCCAGCTCTTAAGTTAATAACCAACTCTTTGCCATTTCCAGATCGTCACACTTACATCAAAGATCCCAAGTTAATTAAGCTACTGTTAATTGTTTACCCATTGTTGCCAGAAGCTATAGATATGATTTTGGGACAGTTACTTAATGTGTTCAAAGAGTCAGTGGAATGGATTAAGGGCTGTTGTAAGGCCATAGAAGAGTACGCAGTCTTTAAATCGAATACGATCAGCTCGTCGAAGTTTTATTCTCTTGAATATTTTTAATAGGTTCTCCATTGTGCAGCAGAAGCAAGGTACTCAATTAAGCAAATATTTTCATAGTTTAGAATTGGATGACATCTGTTATGGTTTTATTATATTTTTGAAACATGCAGAATCCGAGAAGATGGTGTTGTACATAATGAATAAGATTGAAGCTGTTAAGGATGAGTATGGATACGGAATCAGGTCTCTTAGTCAGTTTTGTGAATTGGTTGAATCAAGTAATCATTATTATATGTCTAGCCGTTCTGTAACTGTACCAAGAAGAAAGCAATAAAAACACTGAAGATCAACATTTCAGGTCAGTTGCCATTGGATTGCAAGAGAGTCAGAACAGAAGAGGGTTGCATCATCAAAATACTGTTTCATCACCTTCAATGAGATCGCCTGCTGTATCCAGATAAAGATCTGAATCATTTGGATCTCTCAATGATGAGATTGTAGATAACCTCAACATTGAGGAAATCCTTATCCAAGAAAAACCTCGAATACTTGATTCTGAATAAGCAGAATATTTCAAATCCAATGAGAGACTCTAAAATTTGATATACTTCATTACAGATCCGTATCTCTCACAACCTAGTCTTATATTTGATACTGATTTGCTTGCAGAACATTCAATTGAATTTGATGAAAACAATTACAAAAAATTTAAGAATATCAAAATAGATAAATTGTTTACAATTAGGTCGTTTAAGACTTTGCTCTTTCTAACAGATGTGCATAATCACAAATTGTTAACAGAAGCCAACAATCATCTCACCTAAATCATCTGTAAATTTAATTTAATCATTCTAGTTCGATCAATCTCAGGGTTTCTACAGAACAATTAATCTATTGGTAACATCACTCATATCGTGGCACTTATTTAATTTTATCTAAAGAATGACACTAAAGATACGATATATTACTTTCTATATTGCAATCTTCACTTCTAGTTCTTAGATTATATATGTACATTATAATAATATGAAACTAATTAGATAATTCACATGTCATTGACATTTTGATCAGATTCATTGATCCAACTTACAATAGAATCCCCTCTTAATTAAAAGATGAAATTTGGCATTTCTTGAATAGCCAAGGCTTCGTCTCATACATCATTGGCCGCATTATTAACAAAGAGTACTTGGGTGTGAATAGAAAAGAATTTCATATTTCTAAGGAAGGATATAATATTCTCAAACGTATCTATGACCAAAAGGTTATTAATGGTAAATGATCTATTCCTATTTCAGATGAAAACACTTCAGAGCAACACACTTATAATTTGAGTTCCAATTTAGATCAATATTTGGGTCCATTGATGCCTGCCAAAACCATTTAATAAAACTTAATTAAAAAGAAGAGAGTCTTACATGCAGCTTAAACTTAAATTTATACTAGGAGACATTCAGGAACAGCCATGACTGGAAAATTCAATAAGATTATACTCGTTGAAAATATACATCTCTCAGAGTTAAATGGAAACCAATAGGATATCGATAGGTTTAAAGATGTTATTTAGTTTTACCATAATAATCAGCTTGAAAACGAAGATGCAATCACTCCTAATCAAGTTACAACCAAATTAGGTAGTGAGAAGACCATACCCAAATAAACTCATAGAAGTGTATAAAGTGATCAGTTCTTCAAATCAGATTTCTTAATTAATTAGGCAGAAATTAAACCTGTGGATATTAAATCATTTTTAAGTGAAAATAAATCTGTTGATACCAAATTACCGTCTCTTAAATCAAGTACAAAAATTAGTGGAGGTAGTGTACATACAAGCAGAATCGTAAGACAATCCTCAAAATAAGCATAGGAATTAGCTTTTAAGAAAAAAAAGTCATTAAGAATAGAAAATATTGAAGAGATTTCTAATAACTTTAAAAAACTTAACAATCCTATTTCATCTCCTACATCAGCTTCAAGATGTCACAAGTTTTATCCAAATAGTGATATTAGTGTTGTTGATCACATTATGAGAGAAGAGTACTAAGAATACATTCAATATAATAATGAATTCATCTCTTATTAAAATAGTCAACTATTGAATTTGATTGTTAATACATTTGAAAGTTTAAATTATAAATTTTAAGCCTAAAATGATTGCTTTACACAAATAATTGATGATAAATTGTTTAACTTTGAAAAATTAATTAAACATTACACTTTAAAAGTCTTAGAACCTGAAAATGGTAGTGCTTATGAATTGGGATTTTTGATAATCAATGTACTGAAGAAATTATCTAATTGCAGTAATCTTTAGGAATAATGTAATAAAATTTATAGAAATCAAATTCCAAGATTGTGCAGGAACATTTCTCTATTAAATAAATAATAGCAATTTCCTTAGTAATTAAATTTACAATCATATTCAGTAAATGTCATAGGAACTTAGAAATTAATGATGTATGAGATTTTATAGCTTATGGTTTGCAATGTTAGAATAAAATATTCTAACATCTTTATTAAATTGAATGATGCTGCTATGCACATATTAACTATTTAATTCCATACTAGTTTTCATAATGGAGTATATTAGCGAATTTTCATGACTTTAGTTAGACATTTATTTGTTTATGCTTCTGAGAAATAATTGCTAAGTTTGGTTTTCAAAGTAAATCTTATCGAGTCAATACATGCTGCTTATAAAAACACTGTAATCAATAGAGTTGTAATCAAAGAGTGGAATACAGAATAATATATACTTTATTTGCAGCAACTGAGTTAACTAATAATTAATGCCTTTGATTTGAGAGAGGACTTAAAATAATTGAGATAATCTTTAATTAGATTATAATCTTATTAAAAGTTAAAAGAACTATCTTCCATATCCTAATTTAAATTTGACGTTAATCTATATACCAAGGAACTCATAGGCGCAGAGTAATAATTAGTTAAAATTAAATTATGATTATAATTTATGATTTTTATTTATTGATATCAATGTTTTATTTTTTCTGCCATTTCTTATTGTGATTTGCTCAAAGCCACACCTTTGACTCTTTCATGTTTTTAAGCTGCTGGTTCTGGAACCTTTATAGGTTTCAACTGCCAAATTTCTTCGGCATACTCCTGGATAGTCCTATCACTACTGAACTTATAAGATCTGATGGCATTATAAATACTCTTCTTAGCCCATTCATTTGGTTAGCGATAGAGATCATCAACCTATAATATTTTACTTTATTCATTACCTATTGTTATGCCTTGATATAATCTTTGAAATCTTAACCAACTAAATAATTGTCATTCTTATATCTAATACTATCAACAATCCATTTCAATTCTTCATTATGTCCAAATCTTCCATTATCAATTTCTCCAAATACTTTTAACAATTCTTATGGGAAATATTCATGAGGATCAGTATTTCTCATTTTTTCTTTCATGTTATCTACATCTTCCACTTAAGTTCCAAAAATAAATATATTTTCTCTGCCAACTGCTTCATCAATTTCTACATTGGCTCCATCTAAAGTACCTAAGATGAGACAGCCATTCATAATAAATTTCATATTGGAAGTACCAGAAGCTTCTGTTCCTGCAGTTGAGATATGTTAAGACAATTCTGCAGCAGGAATAATAATTTAAGCATTACTTACATTATAGTTTGGCATAAAGACTACTTTTAAGAGATCTCCAATTTGATGATCATTATTAATAACATCAGCAACTGAATTGATTAATTTAATGACTCTTTTTGCATTAACATATCCAGGAGCTGCTTTACCACCAAAACATACACTTCTAGGAACAATCCTCTTTCTCTCTTCAGGAGATGATTCCTTGATGATCAAATATCTATAAATCACATATAGAATGTTCATCAATTATCTTTTGTATTCATGTATTCTTTTGACTTATATATCAAACAAGGAATCAATATTTAAATCAACTTAACAAGTCTTTCTAATCCAATGAACAAATCTCTCTTTGTTTTCCATTTTAATCATCTAGAAATCCCTAACAAATTGAGGATCGGAAACATGGGATTCCAATTATTTCAATTACTCCATATCTAAGACCCATTTGTCACTGCCTAATACTCTATCATATAATGCAGCTAATGCTGGATTAGCACATCTGACCCATCTTCTTGGCGTAACTCCATTGGTTTTATTTTAAAATTTATTTGGATGCATTTCGAAGAACTCTTTGAATATAGTAGTTTTCAATAATTCTGTATGGATCTTTGCAACACCATTAACAAATTTGGAACCTACAATAGACAAATTGGCCATTCTGACCTTTTTAGTTCCCTCCTCTTCTACAATAGAGAGAGCACTTAACTTGCCCCAATTATTTGGATACTTCTATTATACTTTCTCCAAAAACAAGAAATTGATTAAGTAGATGATTTCCAAGTGTCTTGGTAGCAATTTCTCAATCAAAGGCACTCCCCATTTCTCCAATGCTTCTGGTAATACTGTGTGATTGGTGTAATTGAATGACTTAGTTACTATTTACCAAGCTGACATGTTGTCCAATTGCTCAATATCTATCAAAATACGAAGCAATTCCACAATAGCCAAAGCAGGATGTGTATCGTTCAATTATACAGCCACTTTCTATGGAAATGCATTCCAATCCAAAACCTTTCTTCTCTTGAATCGTCTTACTATATCTTACATACTTGCAGAAACCAACAGATATTACTACTTTAATCTTAATTCCTTTCCAGCTTCAGTTGAATCATTTGGATACAAAACAGATGTTATGTATTCTGCCTTTTATCTCTACTCCAATGCCTTGAAATAATCACCTGTATTGAAACTACTAAAATCAAACTCTGAGGCTGGATGAGATTTCCACAATCTCAATGCAATTGTATTTTAGGTGTTATATCCAGGAATGGGTGTATCATATGCTCTAGCCATAATGGTTTCGCCTCCTTCCCAAACACTTCTTTCGACTCCATGATCCCATACTTTTTTAACAAAACCATAAAATCTGATTTAATATTGGACATCCAATCTCTCAATTTCCCATGGATTTCCATGATTCAACCAAAAATCTGGAGACTCCACTTAATAACCATCTTTAATCAACTACTTGAATATTCCATAAGTATATCTTATTCCATAGCCAAATGATGGATAATTCAGAGTAGCCAAAGAATCCAAAAAACAGGCTGCCAATCTCCCCAAACCTCCATTTCCCAAAGCGGGATCCACTTCCTCATCATAGAGCTCTTCTAATTTGTATCCAAGATCCATAAGGGCCTCTCTATAATCATCTTCCAAATCCAAATTAACCAATGCATTTTATAAGCATCTTCCAATCAAAAATTCCAAACTTAAATAGTAGATACGTTTGGCATCCATCTAATGAAAATGTAAATTTGTATCATTAAATGCTTCAATCAATCTATCTCTTACTGAATGAGACAAAGCTTAATAACTATGAAATTTGGAGAAATCAAAGCGTGTTCTGGCCAATGTGTACTCGACGTGATGGACAATGGATTGTTACAATGCCAACTTGTCACTCCCTTAGTACGAATCCATCAATTCCCAAATTTTGGAAGTATCCCTTGGACTGGCTTGTAATCCAAATTGCTCAACCTCTATTGTTATAATATTTAATAATTACAATATTCCGGTCTGTACATGTTTGAAGGGCTTCCACCAACTTGCACCGTTGATCTACGAGTACTTGTTCTATATGTAGCTTTTTAATCCATTTTTATTTAATATATAAATAATATATATCTAAAATATTTTATTTGTATATATATACTTTACTATAAAATAACAGTTTATAATTAAAGTAAACTAACCTAAGTTAAGTTGTTGAAAATTTAACCTAAATATTTCTATTATTATCCCCCTTAATATCAATAAAGATGAGCAAATTAATTATCATTCCTACTCAATAATAGACTAAACTTCAACAAATATAATTCAATTCTTTTTTGATCAACTTCGACCTAAATTAACAATAGTAAATTTACTAATAGTTTTGAAAAAAGAGTTCATAAGAATTTTCTGTATATTGAAAATTTGTTTATAATGCCATCTAAATGAAAAAGTAGGTTAAATTGAGGATTCTAGAGCCTCGTAATGATTGTTCATCTAGGATTATTTTAATGACTATGAAAGAAAAGAATTATTTCAATTTTGCAATATCATTTATTTAATAAAATCACTATTTAGAATTTAGAAGGTGTTAATATCTAAATTTTAAGAGATTTTAAGTATGTCCTATATTTAGAATTACTTAATTAAATTCGACTTTTCTAAGGAATTATTAGTAATCAATAATTCCTCGATAGAAGTTTAAAGTCTTAACCTAAAAATCAAAGTAGTAAATTAATTTATATTTATTCCTATTAATGTTCCAACTCAATTGAAGGAGAAATTTGATAATTAAAATGATTATAACTAATAAAATATTTATTAATCATTATTTTAATTAAGATCTTGATTTATTTAATAATAAGATACTTGATTTATAAGAATCTTAAAGAATAAAATAATTAAAAAATGCATGAGCTGAATTGAGAAATGATACAAATAAAATAATCATCTCTGTAGTTTCACCACAAGGCCAGAAAATAATTGCTCAAATGTACTGCCAAATCAGATTGATACAGCAGAATTACAACTAGTGATAGATCTTTTGATGTTTCCAGATATAAGAGGAATATTGAAACATGAAGTCATATTTAAAATTAATTTATGGCTTAATAAGATAAATATCTATTCTCAGAAACCTAATGGCGATTAATTTCAGGAGCAATATCAGGAGCAGTTTCTCGATCTTTCGTTGCTCCTATAGAGAGAACTATCATTCTTAAGCAAACAAATGCCTCAAATTACTAAAGAAAATCATTGATCAAATGTCTTTATGTGATGTACACCTAAGAAGGAGCAAGAAGCATGTTTAAAGGGAATGGAGCTAATTGCTTAAGAATTGCTCCTTTTTAAGCAATTGAGTTTTATCTGTTTGACATACTTAAGAATACTTTTTAATTTAACAACTAAAATGCATAGAATATTTCAATGTTAATTTTTGGAGCATTTTCAGGAGCTTTAGCAACAATGACTGTTTATCCTTTCGATTTAGTCAAAACAATATTAGCAGTTTAAACAAGTAATCTATTATTATTAAATAGACTAGGAATACAAGGGAATCACTGATTGTTTAATTAAAATAGTCTAAAGAAAAGGTCCATTAGCATTATTTAAAGGGTTATCTGCTACATTGGTTGGTATATCACCTTATTCCAGCTTTAAACTAACCTTTTTCTAAATATTGCGATAAAAATTATCATCTCTTATGGGTTTTATAAATAAAGACACACAAAATCTCATATTTGGTGGTTTGGCAGGATGTATGGCGTTAAGCATAACTTATCCTACTGATGTTATAAGAAGACGATTATAGGTTTAGATTTTATCTGGTAATAATTAGTTTGATAAATAGGAATACAACATTATAGTTATTTAGAGACAATGAAATTAATGTATAGGGAATAAGGTTTGATTGTATTTTATAGAGGGTTGTTTTGTACATATGCTAAGGTTATGCCAGCAACAGCAATTGCTTTCACAATCAACGAAAAATTAAAAAGAATTAGAGATCTACATTGATACGATTTCAATTATATATATATAAGTAATGTATCTAATCATTTATTGCATTGTCCATATTTCGATTGCGGTTTAAACTTTAAGATAAGTGCAGGATTAAAATGCCTTGTGTTTGGATGGTACAAGAGCTGTATGATCTTTGTCTATTTTAGAGTTACTATTATGAATAAGGATATGGAGATGGAGCAGATAAATATTTGATCTTTTATGAGGGAGGTGGATGGATTCAAGGATTCGATCAAGCTGAATTGTTACAACAGGCATACGATCGTTCTAATACGAATATGGGAAGTTCAAAGTTTTAGGCAGCAACTACTTAGATGGATGGATTATTCAATAGAAATCAGAATGTGAATCCTTACTTTTACAATTGGAATACAATATTTGTTAATTATTGCGATGGAACAGGACACTAAGGTTATCGGGCTTAACCTTTGTAAATAAAAGACAAGACGATATGGTTAAGAGGAGAACTAATATTTAAATCTATATTTTCAGAGCATTTGACTAAGTTGAGTTAGGCAAAAAAGGTTGTGGTATCAGGCTGTTCTGCAGGAGGATTAGCTGTATTTAGTTGGATACAATACATTAGAGATCGGTTACCTAGCAGTGTCTAAGTTTTGGCAGCCCCAGATTCAGGTATCTTTTTGGATTTGCAACCATATGATGGTGCTTAAGCTGCTAGTGATAGAAGATAGAAACAATATCATAAACTGGCAAATGAGGAAGTGGATCCAATAAATGAATATTGTGTGAAAAGCTATCCGAATGAGAAGTGGAAATGTCATTTTGCTTAGTATCTCCTGTAATACATCAATGTGCCTGTGTTCTTTATGCAATCTTTGTATGATACAGCATGCATTCCAAATATATTGCATATATATAATGCTTGGGATTATACATTGACAAGATGTGATAACAAAGAGAGAACTTGTATAGAAGCTATGCGTAGATAGATTACAAATCTCATTAATGATAGAAAATTAGCAGATCCAAAAACTGGAGCATTCGGTGTTGCTTGTCTTGAACATTGGTATCAAAAATATAGTATTATTGTAGCTTCACTTAAAAATCGATATTCTACACTCCAAACTGGGCCATTCCTAACGGATCCTCCTGGACTATTGCTAATTCTCTTGGGTAATGGGTCTAAAACTTAGAAGTGAATAATATACATATTGATAATGTATATTGGCCAGACAATAGTGGATGTTCGAATATTTGAATATTAAAATTAATGTCCTAACAGAAAAATCAAAAGAATATTGTGGTATACAATTATGAACCTCATCCAAAGACTCTGACTGAATAAGTTACCAATATTCAATAATCTCAAATGCAACCTGACGAGTCGCCCTTCAATGTTTCGAAAATATTGAAAGCTAAACAATAACAAAGCAACATCTTTCATCTTCCTTAGTAGGATCTTGTAGATTACAGTAAAGTCACTCCACATTAAAATGCGGAAAGTAAGTGTTCATAAAAATACTAGAAATCTTGCCATTCGACATGTTCTGGTGGAATAGTTAAAATTTAAAAGAAAACAAGAAAACAGATGCCAATACTCCCATAATTCCCAATGTGCACATGGTTTAGAGCAGACCTCAAACTGCCACTTAGCAGAGAGTGAGTACAGAGTCCAACAATTAAAAACTAACTGAATAACAATTCCTTCAAATTTAACAATAGCAATACTAATAATTTTTGCAATTATAATAACAATAATAACTCAAACTTTAATAATAATAATAGTTATAACAAAATGATTAATAATAATAAAATCCGAATCCATATGATATAATTAAAGAGCATAACCTAATGATTGAAACTGCATCATTTGCTGTATAAGATAATAATAATTAAGCATAATAATAATAATAATAATAATAATAATAATAATAATAATAATAATAATAATAATAATAATTATCAAATTAGTTGTAGAATCCAGCAAAAGTATATGACAAAGTCAACAACCCAAATACTGAGCTGAAATAAAAAAATCCCAATTTCTCTGATGTTTTTGGAAATGGTCTAGAAAAATATTACCAATAAAAACCATAACAAAATAGTGGTAGAAAACCATAAGTTGAATACATGTAAGAAAGTGAACTCTATGGGGCCAAATATCATCAACGATAGATGTTAAAAGGGATGAGTTCTTAAATGGATACACACAAATATTATGATCAAATGTTAGATAAACAAACTCAAGATTAACTTAAGTCAAAGCAACCAAAAAGTAAATCGCAGTCTCCTTAAGCCTCACCTGGTAAACATCTTGAACAAGATGAGAAATTGTTTCCCAAACCATAATACACTGAAATGAGTATCAGAGGAATGGGAAAGGAAATCAATTGGGAAAAATTGAGTGCACAATTAAACGCTATTTAAATGCAATTAGCAGATATTACTGTTGTGAAAGACAAGCAAGGAAAGGTCAAACAACACAAGATAATAATAAAATATTTTGATTAAGGAAATTTGTAAGGTGTTAAATAATGGGTACTTACATAAGGAGGAAGGATAGTTGAAGAAAGAGTATTGGAGTCAGAAGAGGAATTCAAGAAAATGATCTAATTAAAGGAGGGACCAAAGCAAAGGCCCTTGAGAATAGCTGAAGAGAAGGAAAGATTAAAGCAGTAAAAAAAGAGACCGTAAAGTGCAGTTCCCGTTTAAAAGTAAAAGAAATGATACAATTTAATTTTATAATCTAAAATATTTGGTTTTTAATTTAAAGATCCTTTTTGATATTGATTACAATAGACCTTTTCAGTCCCCTCCTCTTAAATAACATGATGTATATCTAAACTTAAAAAGAATTGATCTAAAACATTAATTAATGTAGCATATGCAGTAACATTATTCTTAATAACATTTGCCTCCCTCCTATCAACCTTAATAAAGGAATGTGTCCAGCTCACCAATGCAAAGACAGTTCCCTATTCAACCCTTCACTCCAACCCAAAACCTCGGTGGCTAGAATGAAGGAATGAAACCTTATTCTACAGATATGAGGGAGAGAAGTCGACAAATGCAAAACACCCCCTAAAATAATGCATAATCCATGGAGAGCATGGCCTTGCGAATTCAAAATCTTGAGAAGGAAAATTAAAGTCTTAAGAGATAGTTAGAAAATGCTAATCAATAAATCCAAGCATTAAATCAGAAGATCAATCAAAATGCAACTCCCAGTCTTCTTAAAACCACCACTTTTGAACTTGTCGTCTTATAAAAAGCTGTAGAACAATTGGAAGGCCTTAAAAATGGATTACAGAAAAAAAAATTGCAGGGTAGCAACAATTAAACTACAATACCTGATTCTTAAAAGGAAGGGTACAGTGAACTCAAAAGTAAAGTGACTGTGATGGAAGAGAAGTAATAGTAGTTAGAGCGATAACAATCTTAAGTAAGGCTGCATATTTTATTAGAATATCCTTTTGTTCCCTAAAGAGCAATCGATTTAAAATTAGTAATCAAATCCTCCATCCAAAGAAGAAGTCAAAGAAGAACCAAGGTAAGGCAGAAGGATTATTGGCAATTCTCAATCTGATCAAGTTGACAACTAAACCAAAGTAAGTCCGATTAAGTATTTGAATGTAAAAGCAGGAACAAGTTAAAATGCCTTGAGAGTATCCCCCAGAAGAAAACCAGACTTAAAGTAAAATTGAGTAAGAAAATAAGATATGTGATTTTGTGCTCATTTATGATGAATCATTCAATAGTTAGGCTCAAAATAATTGCCATCCTCTATTCTCTATCCATTAATTTAGGTTCTCATTGTTTCAATCGTTCTAATTATTAATCTATTCACATCCTAATATCGATATATTTATATTTATCTTATTGCCTTTTTAGTTATTTATTACTCTCAAATTGTCCATGTGATTCATCTTAGGAAGTTTATTTAGGATTTTGGTTGATCTATTGTTTGTTTGCATCTACAGGCCTTAATCTAAGGATTATTTAGTTGAAGTTTATCAAGAAAGTTAGGTCTAGGTCTACTTAATTATTTTGACAACAATAAACAACAAGGATTTAGGGGAGTAGATGATGATAGAGGAAACACTCTTTTTATTCTATTTTAATAGTAATTGAAAGTTATTACATTATTATTGTTACAGATTAATACTTTACGGATTTACACATATGCAAGAACAACATGAGGGTGTTGTCTAGATATTTTTAATTTGTATCAATGAATTGAAAATATTTATCTTCATCACCAGGTAGTCGAAAATTCCCAAAATTAAGTTTACATCTCTAGGTTTTTATACTTATAATTCAAGTGTATTAAATTATTGAATTAATTTTGGTGTTTATTTCTGTATATATAATGTGATACAAGTTGCCATTTGATAAAATCAAATATGGTGAAAGTTTTAACAATTTCTTAAATAATAATTTAAAATAATTTTTATAATAAAAATAATTGAAATTATATAAAATAGAAATTCACCTTCATTTATTAGTAATATTGTCTTATTGTAATGTTGGTTGTATATATTCATCCCATCCTTCAGGTTTGATATTCTCAGTGTCATCTATCCATTAAATTCTACGACCAACTTCCCATAGCCCTAATTACTTCTTACCAGTAGGTAATATATATCTACCCTTGCCAGATTACTTTCCATTCTTCCAGTAACCTTCATATTCTAAAATATTATCATTAAGTATACTTCTACCATCAGGCCACTAATAAATGCCATACCCTTCTTTTTTGTCTTAAAAATACTCTCCTTCATATTAACGTCCATCAGGCCATAAGTATATTCCTCTGCCATTCATTTAATTGTTACTCCACATTCCCATATATTTCTAAATTCAACTGATAATTTACTCTGCCGTCTGACCAATTATAAATTCCATATCCTTCTAATTAATTTTTTTCCCAATTTCCCATATAATAAGATCCATCACTCCAATAGTATTTACCAAAGCCATCTTTCTTACCACACTAATAATATCCTTCGTATCTAGAATGATCTATCCAAATCTCAACGCCATATCCATGCGGATAATCATCAAGCCAATGTCCCTCATATTTAGCTCCATTAGCGTGAATGTATTTTCCTTAACCACAAACCCTATCATCTTTCCATTCTCCATCATAAATATCTCCACTGACATGCCAAAATTTACCTTTTCCATTTGCCCTGTTGTTTTTCCAATATCCTTCATATTTTGCTCCATCTACCCAAACTTGAGCTCCAAACCCATCCCTACACTGTCCAACCCATTCTCCTTCATAGTACGCTCCACTTTTGAAATAATATCTTTTTCTCCTTTCTCTATCTTTCGAAAGACACTTATTTCCAAAAGTTTCCACCATGTCTTCTAAATTTCTTTAAGCCATTTCATTCTTTCTGTTCTGTAAATCACTATTAGATTCTAACAATATAAACTTGACATAAGGTACATGAGGTTAAAATGATGTTAGATTATTTATCATCTGGTAATTGTTCAGCTTGAATCGGATTAATGTTATCAAAAATCGCTGCTATTGGTTAATTACTTAAGTCCTTATAAGACTCCTATTCGTTTTCTACTACATTGATTTAGTCTTAATCATGGGATTAGTGACTTATTGTCTATTAATGAAACTCAGAAATTAAAATTTCGTCTTTCTTCGAACAGATTTAACAATTTGTGCAATTACTACCCATTAATTAGTATATAAGAGTATGAAGTTTTTAATAAATAATTAATCAAGTCATATATTATTTGGTTGTTTTAATTTTTTGTAATTTCTTAGTTAAACAATTTAAAATTTAATATGCTGATAATAAAAATAATTATTTTAAGTTGAATTAGAGTGCTTCTACCACACAGCTTTAATTTTGATGTGCCTATTATTTTGCTGAATATAAGATATGACGAATGATTGAGTATTTAAAAAATTAACTAATAATTAAGCTAATAGAAAATTTATTATATAATTTTCATTTTTATTATGTTTACAGACCCATCTGAGATTTTATTTTTGGAAGAATGTTGTAAGTTTACACTCGATCCATCAAAGTACATATGTTCACTATTGATTATAGAGCTGATAAATTGATATTTCTACCTGATACTTTCAGATAATACATCCAAGGAAGAACCAACATAGTGATTTCATAAAATTAGGATATTTTGGAGGCATGCATTTTGGAGAGACTTAAATATCCGTATATTTTAACATTTAAGTAGCTAAACGAATCCGTTCGTACTTCTGGTGTAAATAAAATAGAATATCGAGTACCTAAAGGGAAAACCTTGGTACAGCACTCCTGAAATCGGAAATCTTATTGACTCATTTACTATCATGGTTTAAAATTACTTGATGACTATCCTCTAATATCCCGACTAGTTTTCACCCCAAAGGAAAGTATCAGACAGAGAGTTGGAGCAGACTCAAGGTATTCCCTTTTAATATGAAAGATCTTTAAAAGTTAATTGCACGACTTTTTGACATTTTCGAGACAATTGGATTCGATCCAGATATACACAGCCAATTTATACAAAGTGTTGGGGAGAGTTTTGGCGAAAACATGCTACACATTCAAATAATCTAATATTCTAGAATTTGCATTTCAAAGGTTTCAATGTAAAAATTAAATTAAGTTTCATGTGTATAATGATTAATTGAATCTCTACTTCGGATTATTCTAGCATTATTTAAAGGAGCCCTCAACCAGAGACTTAATTTTCCATGATTAAATAGCGAAATGGTATAACTGATTATAATCTATATAGGAATGTGAAGACAGATAGGGGAGATATATTAGAAAAAGAATTTGTTTTAGGTCCTCTATTTACAATATCATTGCTATAAGACAATAGATATGTGAGGGACAGGGCTCATCAAAGTTTAAAAGTCAAGATGACGAAGAGATAATTTGAACTCCTTCTTAAATAGTATTAACAAACTAATCACAATCATGTGGAAAATTTAGTATCGCTGATAAAATTATGTCTTTCTAGAAATACCTTTTAATAAACAATACAATTCTTCAACCATGTATGTTTTTGCAACAAGTTCAAAACAAAGGAAGGATATCAGCAGAATAGAATGATGAACTTAAGGTAGAATGTTTCATCAGATGGGTTCTTGCTCAATCTATATGACACTTTATTATAATTATCTAATAAAATATCAGCTAGAGCAGATGATACTTACACAAAAATAGATAAGCAATTTTGGTACACCATTCCATTTGAGAAAGAACAAATGCTGTTATGTATTTGATTATTGTAATGTTTTTAGCTTCCTCTATACCTTTAAGCAAATAGAATCTTCAGATTGGCAATGTAAGTTATCTATTTTTCTACACTCTAAAATTTGTCCAAATTGGCATAATGCCAGTTATTTAGAGAATGAAAGACCTGCTGAAATAGATGCAAGAAAATAAGGATCTCTTAGAATTAATGAAGGATCACCCAAAAGAAGCCTAGCTCAAATAAGAAATAGAAGCTTAGGATGAGGAAGCTCATTAACTAGAATTAGTAATTTTTAACCCTGCAAGAATTAAAGATACCATTTAATTGTTTGACACCTTCATCTTTTTATTTAAAGAATGGCTTAATATTAATAAAATGGTTGACGGTTAAACTTAATGGTAGCAACCAGATATTTTAAATTATATTCCAGAGTTTATAATTAATGACATTATAGATTATGTTGATTTTTACATGTAAAACTTTGAAGGTTTCACAGAGAATTACTTTAACCATCAAAAAGTATTGTATTATTTAAGAATTAGTTTATTGCTATAGCAGAACTTGGAATGTATTTTATTCATCTACCAATTGCAACTAATAAATACTTAGCTGGAAAGTTCATTGAGGTGATATTATTTTTTACTAAAGTTACTAAAAAGTCACTGAACCTATCATATATTTTTGTTTAAAATGAATTGATAAAAGAGAATCTCCTTCTGGGATTGATAAATTAATATTCAGCAGTTGGAGAAACAGGAGCAAACAATCAATTTTATGCTAAATTCTAATACAGATTTTATATTAATGATATTCTGTTCTAATTAATGCAACTACAGATTTATTAAACATAATTAAAGAAATATGCAAAATGTGAATTAGGGCAGAGGTTGATTAAGCTTATGATAAGTGATATGAATTATGGTTTTGAGGAGATATGGACTAATTATTTGGAGACCTATAAAAAAAAACAATAAGATGTTCCATAAACCTTCGAATAAAAATACAACAAAAAAAGAGAACTTGATATGATTAAATCTTAGATCTAATCAAATTTATAGAATATGAAATCCAATTTGAAATTATTGGTTGAATTTAGCAATCATATTCCAAAGGATCTCATGAATGAATGTAAAATTATTTCTTGATTTTTAATAGTCTTCTAGGAGATGATATTAAAAATGCTTAATTATTATCTTGATAATTTCTTGAATGAAAGAAGCAAAGAGAAATTGGATTCCTTAAAAAAAATTGCTGAAAAAGAATTTAAATTAGCAGTATTTCTTTAATAGATAGGAACATTTTTTACAAACATTTGCAATGAAAAAAAAGTTGTGAGTATCCTTGTTAAAGACGACAGATCCTATCATATCGAAAACTTTCTAAAGTTAGAATAGATCTTCAGAAACAATATCGCTGGATAATAAGATAAGGTTGAAAAATTAAGTAGATTTATTCAAAGTTTGTCACTCAAAGCAGAAAAAAAAAAATTCCTGGAATCAATTCTAGAAGCGACTCAGATTCCAGAGAGATTTTAAGATCCTATCTATGGAGAAGTATAATTTAAATGAGTAATCTAGTTAATGAGAGATCCTGTTATGTTGCCCCAATCCAAAGAAATTATGGATAGAAAAGTTATCGTCACTGCATTACTAGAAAAAAAACAAGATCCCTTCACAAATACTCCTTTGGATGCCAAAGATCTGATTCCTCAACCACAACTAAAAAAGGACATTGAAACATGGCTTGCTTAAATCAAGAAACAAAGAGACATCAAAGTGCAGGAAGCTTAGAAGAATAAGATGCAAACTGAAATTCAGTTTTAACAAACTTAAAGTTTTAAATTATAGGACGAGGAAGACGATCTAAATGTATTTAAAGGGAATAGATATGAAGATGATTGAGTTGAAATAAAATATATGGATATTTTATTTAAGAAGAAAGAATATTTAAAAAATAATTTTATACTGTTATTTTATGATTTAACTCATCTTTCTCATAATTTGCTAACTTTGGCAATGTGAACAGCTAAGTCCAAAACTCTGTTGGAATATCCCCATTCATTATCATACCATGAGACTAATTTGTGGAAGTTCTTTGTCAATCCAATACCAGCCTTAGAATCAACGATTGATGATCTAGATATTTAATGAGAATGTGTTACCTAGCATCGTGGAGGAAATCTTATGAGACAACTTGATCACTTGTGAATCCCAAAATTCCTTTCAATGGACCTGCTTATGAAGCCTTTGAAAGTGCTTCCATAACTTCATCATAAGTTGCTTCCTTTTAAATTCTGACTGTCAAATCAACAACTGAAACGTTGATGGTTGGAACTCTGAAGGCCATACCTGTCAATTTTCCTTTGATTTCTGGAATGACTAATCCTACAGCTTTGGCAGCTCCTGTGGATGATGGGATAATGTTGGCAGCAGCAGCTCTTCCGGCTCTCCAATCCTTTCCACCCTTAGCTGGACCATCAACAACCAATTAAGTAGCTGTGGAGGCATGAACTGTTGTCATAAGTCCTAGGAAATATACTGATATATTTACCTTCAACAATTCCAAAATTATCATTGATAACTTTAGCTAATGGTGCCAAACAGTTGGTTGTGCATGAAGCATTTGAAACAACGTGTTAGTCAGCCTTGTAGTTTTCATGGTTAACTCCATAGACGAAAGTTGGTGTGCCCTTGTCCTTTGATGGAGCAGACATAATGACTTTCTTGGCTCCTCCCTTCAAGTGGAATCCAGCCTTTTCGTCTGTCAAGAATGCACCTGTTGATTCACAAACTGTGTTAACCTATATAAAATTAAATATAGCCATTACTCCTGCATCTCCCCAAGGAATTTAGCTTGGATCTTTTTGAGCGAATACTCTGATCTTTTATCCATTGACAACAATTCCTTAATCGTATTTCTCAACTGTGAATGGTGATCTCAAATGAGCAGAGTCATATTTGAGATTATAGACCAAGTAATCTAGATCCATAAATGGGTCATTGATAGCTTTTACAACCACCTTGGAATATTTAAAATATGTACTGGTTTGTTGTTCTCAATAGCGGCTCTCAAAACCAATCTACCAATTCTTCCGAATCCATTAATACCAAGGTTCACGGACATTTATAAATGATAAAAGATATTTATACTTTGATAACCAAAACACGTAAATTTATTTCCTCTATTAATGCGTCATTTGATTTAAATCCCCATTATAATCCTAATATTTATCTTGAAATAACAGACGTATATGTAAAATAATTGATATTTTCAGATATCATGACATAATATTGTTTATATTATATACAAAAATTATGAGTATTAAATATTTTAAATTAAACCCTTGGTTTATCAACATAAACTCAATCTGATTAGAATGGTCAAGTTGTGTTTCTATTTCTTAATTTCACTCTTAATGATATTAAAGTTTTATTCGTTTATGTTCAATAAATCTAGCAAACCTATTATTATTATTTATTTTTACTTGCATGAAGATAAAAATAAGAATATTATTAATTAAGTTAGTTTTTGGAAACTCTCTATTACTAGGATCAGAATCCCTATGATATTTTTAGATTCTACAAAGTTTTGTTTAATTATGAATTAGAAGATTCTTTAAAATACAGAAAATGTTAGTCGTTTTGTTAAACTGAATTTTAGTATCAAATTTTATCTTGACCTTCATATTTTTCAAATTATTAATCAAAGCAAATCTATTAAATCTTACTGTGACTAAGATGTTTGTATTAGAGTAGCATCTATTCTTAATCATCATTTCCTAAAATTTAGATTGAAAATTATAGATCCATTTTCATTCACTTAGTAATCAGAGACACTTGGCCCCATACTATCCATATAAGATCATTATTTGATCATCTTTCTCTTGAGTCCAAGATTGCGCAGATAGTGCAAGTTTGATTGATATATCTAATTACAATTTTTGTTATGGTTCAATTTTCATTATTCAATAAATTTCATTCCAATTTTCTCTATATTTTAACCTTACTCTTTCAACCTTTAATTTTCTTGTTTAGTCATGGTGCCATATTTTCCCTATTGCTAAATATGCTAATGTTGCATTTTATATTATTTAATACATAAATAGATTGAAATATTACTTGATTCAAACTCTTTAGAAGGATATAAGTGTAAATTTATTTTGTGGAAAACAGGTCTTTTAACAAACGGTAAAAATAAATATAAAAAAGGAATTAAGATAATTCAATTTGTTATTAAGTCTTTCAAGATGGATTGATCTTTTAATTAACTTTTAGATAAATTCCCTTTGATAAGATTTAATATTCAGTTATTGTTTATGCAGTTATTCTAAAGAAGATGAAATTAAATATTCGAATAATTCCTTGTTAGAAGAAGCGCGTAACTTATCTCATGAAGTAGTTATGATTTGCGGAAATTATTAATTACATTTATTTCACCTTCTTATCAAAATCATAATTGTGTTTTCATTTTTTTCAGTTTCATATAACCTTAACACTATTTGTTAAATGGTGATGCAATTTTGATAAACAATAAAAAATTGAAGTTAGTCATAAACTAATAATATTTATGAGTTGATATAGCTGAAATGAAATTTAATATACTTTGTAGAGCTTATTATTAGAAAAGTGAATAAACTGGAACACAAATAATATCTTTTAATTTTTTAATTCCTCATTCAGAACAAAAGATTCTGTTAAAATAAGCAATTACCAATCAGAAAATCGTCAGAAATTTTGTACCCTCTTAATTTGATAACCCTGAAAATAAAAAGGAAATTAAATGTCTCTGAATAATTCTGAAATAGTAGATGAACAACTGTCTCTGAGTAGTTAAGCTGATGTAGATGAAAAAATTATTATAATGAAAGGCATTAAAATATTTCCTGACATATCAGTGATGAGAGTTCTAATATCTCCGAAATGAATAATTTTTAGCTATAATTTTTGAAAGAGCATATAATAACGTAGAAGAGTGCCATTTTCTATTTAGAATTTATGATTTTAAAATTACCGATGAAATAGCTTAAGGATAATGGGTAAGCCTTGGTGTTGATAGAGTATTTTAAAACAAGTTTGATCGTTATTCGACTTATTTTTTTTAGGTTGTCTAGGATTTGCTTACAATAGTTGATCTTAAGAACAAAACATTAACAAACAAAAGTATTGAGGGAATTTCAAGATACTTAGATATTGATGATAATGGTTACATATATTTACTACTAAGAGGAAGTAATGTATGTCAATATTCAATAAATGATAAAGAATTCAAATATAACTATATGCTTAATGGCCTTCTAGACTTAAATATATTGCCCAGCTTATCAAACTATGCTTTGACAATATAAGCAATAGACGGAAGTTCATGGTTATTTGTATACAATATTCATAAACAAAAATTATCAAAAAGAATAAGGTAAACTAAGAAAAGAGGAAATGAAATACAGAGTTTAGACAACCACCTTTTTGTTGAAATCATTAACCGAATAGAAGATGATGAGTATGGTGAGGTAAGTGAGAATATTGAAGGGATAACGTTGAGAGAAATGAGAACTGGCAAGATAATTAGAAATTCTGTTAATTATAAAGAGTTCCAAAGGCAATAACACTTCATAGATAAAACACAAGTAACCATAATTGATTAATATAAATTTGATTTATTGAGAGGTCGACAAAAAGTAGCACCATAAATTCAGGATTGTATTACATTTTCAAAGAATGGTTTCATATATATGAAGAAAAATACATTGAGATTTTCTAGATTTAATTGAAATAATAATAAGATTTTATTAAGTAATCTTTGAGCACGGTCCATGGAGCTTAAACACCTTCTCGTCATCTATCATCATCATAATTATATTTATTTTTCGTTTTCTATTCGGACATCAGTGCAATCAAATTACTTCAAATTAAGCAGAATAAAATGATTGGTAAATTCACATCGCCCTCCTCGTACCCCTCTCCAATAAGAAACCGATAATTGTGATTTAAGCATTATAGACAAAAATACAATTTTTACTCATCCTAATTCTGTATTTGATTATGTTGGAGTCACATATATTACAAATTGGATTTCAGAACCCTTAGCACAACTTCAGCAGCTTAATTTCTTCATCTAATTTTTCCTTTAATCTTGATTGAAAGGCTCATTCACACTTTAAATCTTGTATCATTAATTTAAAAAAATGGTTAAAAACAATTAATCTGTATTAAATCTTTAATTAATTTCAATATGTAATAGACCTATAATTTTAATAATTTATTTTTCTAATCTTTTGGTAGTTTTAATAAAGATAAAAAATAATAATATATATTTTTTGATAATTATTAATTCTAACAATTATGTTCTATTTTAAGTGTACTTATAATTTTAATCGTTAAGATAATATGAAAGAGAATTCCACTTCAATTTAGGAAATATCGCTTCAGGCGACACTACTTATATCCAATAATTGCAGATGTAGAATTAAGTGATTCTTATGTTATTTTATATATTTTTATTTCACAGGGCTGATATTTATTATAAGAAATAAAATCAATTATGATTTCAAGATTGCGATGAACGAAAAAACAAAATAAGAAAACCCTTTTTCATTGCTTCAAAAGTAATTAACCATCACTCGTTTTATACCTTTATCATGAAATCTAACATTTAAGCTTTTAGGGTTTATAAAATCAGGAGGAGTTGAATGATACAATATTAATTTTACTTTTAATATGAAATTAAAAAATGTAATTTCTTATTCCTCTTATTATATTACAAATTCTTTAGTTTATTAAAACCTTGTGAATTGAAATGGAAATTTTAGAAGCCTTTATTTGATCAAAATGGGAAATAATAGTTCTTTCAGATAATTTAATCTAAATATAGATATAATCAATTTGTTAATTTAATATTCTATTTTGAGCTAAGAAAAAATTAGTACTTAACTTTAGGCTTAAATAGTTGTATATTTTATAAATAACATAGTCTTGTTTAAATATTCAAAAATTGTGATTATATCAAACACACTTAAACATAGATATTAATTAATCACTATTAGCAAATCACTTTCAATATCAACACATTTATCTATAAAAACTTAATAATCTGTTTATTTATATAGATCTTATTCTCCTATTTTTTGATGCTTACTGAATGTCTTTTAAAGAATCCAATAGAATTGATTAATTGATTTTATCTTCATTTGAAAGTTTTTGAGACACCATAATCTAAGAAATTAACAATTCATTTTAGATACACACAGGAAGTAGTAATAACTATGATTTATTATCTAATTATTGTCCATGATTCGATAAATTTAATTTATTGGTTGTAGGATCTCCAGTCATCAAATTAATTTCATAGTCCTCTTCCAAAAATGTCTTATCTTTTAATTTTAATGCTGCCTCCTCAGGTGTAAATAATAGTTCTACCTCCTCTTTTTTTGAGTATATTGAAACAAAAGATAAATTGAGATTATTTAAGGACATCCTTGGAGGATTCTCTTGTCTTAATTAGACTTAATATTCAGCATCCATTGTCATCTTTCTTTCTATCAATTGTGGATCTCTAATATCAATTTATTCTGATAAATATCGACATCTTTTAAATAAGGGAGACTAATTTATCTTTTATTTCTATATTGATAGGACATTCTGCAGCTATCCTTATTAAGCTATGGTTAGTTAGAAGTTGAGTTAGCTAAGAAATTTGGTTGAAATCTTTTTAACTTATAATTTAGAGTCGTCTATCCAATCACTTCTTTTTTTAGTATTTCTATTATAAAATAATAAACTATGTGTGACTTTATATTATTTTGTTATTTATTCTTCTTAAAATATTGTAGTCATAGTCATCATGGCAATAGCTGATCGTAACCAAATTGTTATTTGTTTGAGTAAGGAGTTGTTCTTCTTGGCTGTAAGCATGTTAAGCATGATACTTTGTGATTATATAAGACTCCATTCCTCGACCAAAAATGAGTTTCCATCTTTTTCAAGAAAAAATTAAACAATCATTTCGTTGGTTTAAGCACTTCTCCAATTGTTTTGGAGCAGTTGCTAAACATTAAAGTTTATTTCCTTATTCCAAATAATTCCAATTTCTTTTGTTTAGTTTTGGATCAGGGGTTAACATTAAAGGAAGGGGTATGCTCTTGATGTTAATAAAATATCAGCAAATTTAGTGAATAACATTTAGATCATATTCATATGTTTTTAAATTAGGTATTTATAAGAAAATTAATGAAACATGTACTTTAATTTTATAATCAAATTTTAAAAATGCGTATTAATGTAGGGTGTGCAATAACATAATATATTTGAACAAATTATAACTCATCATTATTATTTTGCTTTAGATTTCTCTTTTGTATCCTTAGGTTTATTCTTTTTTTCATCACTCTTTTCTTTTGGTTATTTCTCTTGTTTAGGTTTTGTTTCAGTAGTCTCCTTTTCAAATCCTTTAATTTTAGCCTAAATTGATATAATTTGGGAATTACATTTGAAATGGTAGAAGTCACCTTCTTAAGAATCGACATTCCAATAAAAAATGAAAAGAACAACCCTGCTGTACCAAATGGACTTGTAATTAAGTTTCTTAATCCCCCTTTTTTAACAACAGGAGCAGAAGAATTCTATGTCTAATCATCAACTTCAAATTCATTTTCTAATTCATTTAAGTGATCATTTCTAATTTTGACTCTCTCCTTTCTTTTAACCTTGGCTTCAGATTTCTTCTATCTCTCAAGTTCTTCCTTAATCTTCTCTTCATTAATAACCTTCTCCCAATTGTCCTTCATGTATTGATATTCATCATAATCCGTTTCACTGATTCCACCTGCATACAAAACTATACCATGAATGTATGGGTTATCAAACTTTGTTTTTTCAAGATTCACTTATAATTTGCCATCCTAAACTGCATCCACACACAAAACATTCTATCGTATATAAAGGTAAATTTACATTATGGAATACTTGACCAGCTACATATTCAAACTCTACATATTCATCATTTGAAGCAAACTTTCCAACCTTAGCCACAACATCAAGTTTTTCAATGACTCTCTATTGTCCAAATTTAACATGAAAAACTCTCTTTCCTTTAGTATCAAAGTACATCTTTCATTATATTTATTGAATACTTCGGCAAATTTAAGAATCAAAGTGTATGTGCCTTCTTTTTACAATGGAATCTGATATGAGAATGATTTGTATGCATGTCTTTCTGTTAAATAGATCTCAGGCTCTCTTGTATATTTGATTTGCTGACTCGACACCTCCGAATTCAAACTGTAATCTGCCACCACTGTTTCAGGATCTGTTTGTATATCCTTGGTAATAATATTAAAGCAAAATACTTTTTCATATTGGATTCCTGAAGGACTTTTATAATTAGATGGTGCACCACAATTAATAGCATATATGACTTTTTTGGGATTTAGTGGCTTAGAAAAAGCAAGTGTTAGAATGATAAATAATTATATCATTATGAATAATAAATTATATATTCATGTATTCACAAAATTGGTATTTTAAAATAAATATTCAATCAGCCAAGCTAAGAGCAACTAAATAACTAGGAATGCATTCTTAAACTTTAATATTATCTTGAGATATATTATTTGTAGTATTGACTGTGTGATTTGTATTTTGAGTTTAGTTTTTTTAATTTCGATATACACTATTATTAAAGTAATTGGAATTAGAATTCTAAAGTTGAGTAATTTGTTTTTTAAGAGTTTAATTCTCATTTTTAGATATATTAAGAGCCTCTTATAATTGGTATATGATTAAGTCTTGATTATTTTATTATTTCAATAATTAATTCTCTTTCTTCAGTTTAGTTGCTAATTCAGTTAGTTTTGATGATTCTTTCTCTAGTGCTGCAATCCTCATTAGATATTTAATTTCCCTCTGTTTGTTTTCATCATATCTATTCTTATTTGTGATTTCTGGCATCTAATTCCTTTGAATATTTTCCTTTTTTTCCTAAAATGCATTGGCTAAATAACCAGACAGATTATTTGAACTTGCAATCTAAGAATTATTTCTGTTGTCATGAAACGAATTATTAACTTTCCTTTTACTTCTATTCACTAATTATAGAATAGTGATTACAATCGCCAAATGATGTGTTTTATTTAGCTTTTACTTTATCTCGGCTGAGCAACCTAGCACTTTTGATGGCGTCAGCTTAGACAATTTCCTTGATAGTTTTGACTTCTCTTGAGGAATTGCGATAATAAGGCATAGAAGTATTTAAGGACATAATGCTTTAACTGCTATATAAAAATATTTAATTAATAAAAGAGAATCAAGCAAATAATTAAATAACATTATCATTGTTCATATCTCTCAATGAAAACAGTTCTACAAATAGGACATGACCCACATGTTTAAATCCATACCAAAATGCAAGTATCATGAAAAACATGATTTATTTTCCTATTACCACTATCTACATTGCATGGCAATTTTACACAATTATCATCCATTTAGTAGGTGGATAAACATATTGCGCATTCTTCGTGAATACTTTCATCTTACTCCTTTAATTACTCGAATTTTTAAGTGTTTAAATTATTTAAAAACCTTTGTCTTTACTAAGCAACTCTATGAAGCTGATACTCATTATATAAGTAAGTACACCAATTGCATGACTACCAAAGAGCCATACCAACGATGACCGGGATTATAACGCAAATAACTAGGAGAAAACTCACCAGAAGTATTATCATGAGATAACCGATCAGCATCGAAAATACTGTCAAAACAATCAAAATTGATTCTAATTAATCCATATTGATATTATTGTTATTCCAATTTAAATATATCCATTACACAATTGTTATATTTCCCCAAGCGAATAATATCATCTTGGTCAGCAAGCAGACCCTATTTAAAGCGAACATTTAAGAATTCTGATTCTCTAATAAATAAGTTAGCCATTTCAGAGTTGTAATTTTCTCAGAAATACTTATCCCAACTTGTTATGCTTGAGTCAATTGTTCTTCATCCTCCACTATATCCTCGAAAGGACTATTTATTTTTATAGTATATTTTAAATATTCTATAATCTAAGTACTGGCATCCCCTTAGTTTATTTGTTCGGCCTCATTAATAATGTATCTTAATTAAAAGGTGATGTAAGTTATTAAGCAATCAGAAATTAGATTAAAGCCAAAATAAACGCTGAATAACTCTTTTATTTTATCTTTTGTAATGAGCGAAAAGTAAAGTGCAATTACTTCATTTAAAATAAAAATGATATTGAGTATTGTGAATAGGTTGATTAGTACGTAGCTCCGAAAGACTATAGTTTTAAGGGCTTTGTTTAGTTGTGAGCATTGGTTATTAAAAATCAATTAGATTATGTCTTGGAAACTTATATTCAAATATTATTCAGTTTCGAATTGGGATGTTTCTGATATTTCAACTTGTTGTTATTCTGAAGGATGAACTATACTCAATTGTTAAAGGGATTACTATTCTACAGACTACAACTAAAAAGAAGAATGGGGTGATTGGCCTTAAACCTTGTATTAAAACGATAAAGATTCAGGGTTGTTAATAACCTTCTCTTATTGTTAAAATTAGGATCTGAACTCTTAAAATTCCGATTGTAGTGATTGATCTAAACTATTCATTAACAAACAAAAAAATTATTATTTAAAAAACATTTTCATAATAAAATAAATAATTATGAACACAACTACAGAAAACAATAAAGATAATTAGATTGAACAAATCGAAAAAAAAGTGAAGATTTAAAAGCCAAAGAAGGCAGATTTTAGAATGCATGCTCATGTTAATCCATTAAATGAAACCTTGTTCCCTTATCCTCTCAATTACAATTAAGTTGATTGGTCTTTGCATTACCCTAAGAAGTTTGGAAAGGATCCTTTGAAGCTATATCTCAACACCTTAGAATATCCAATTGCTTATGATGACTAAGTTAAACCGGAATACTCAGAATCAATTGTGGATTTTCTTGACATGTAATTTTACTTGATTATAAACAAGTGGTTGTGGATTTGGAGGTTTGTGCTTTGCTTTGAGTGAAAATTATCCAGATAAGTATACTTTCGGCATGGAAATCAGAGGCAAAGTTGTTAACTTTGTGGGGGAAAAAATAAGAGCCTTGAGAGATGAGGGTTAAGCTCACAATGTTTCAGTGATTCGTACTAATACAATGAGACATTTACCTCAATACTTCAGAAAAAACAGTTTAGAAAAAATCTTTATTTGCTTTCCTGATCCTCATTTCAAAAAGAAGAATTTTAGAAGAAGAATCGTCAATCCAGGGCTACTCTCTGAATATGCCTATCTATTGAAACCAAGCGGAAGAATCTACTGTATAACTGATGTGGAGGAATTACATAATTGGCATGTTTAACATCTTGAAAAGCATAAGATGGTATTTATGAAAGAATTATGTTTAGTTTAAACGAGTTTAAGATGTTGAATAAGATTCAGCTGCAAAACTTATTTGGAATTCAACCGAAGAGGGATAGAAGGTGGAAAGAAATAAAGGATCCAAATTTATTATTGTTTGTGAAAAAGTATGACTTACAAGATTAATAAAAATACATTAATGTAACTTAAATAAATATTAAAAATAATATATTTATTAATACATGCCTCCCAAAGTGCAATAAGCCGTGAATGTCATTAAAGATGAAGAAATGTTTCTTAATCTAATAAGTTCTGAAAATAAAAAGTTGGTCTTGCTCGATGTTCATCCAGATTGGTGTGGTCCATGTGAAATGATGCATCCAACTTACAAAACCTTATAGACAAGCATCGATGACTTTGAAAAAAGAGTCGATATCTACACACTAGGCTATAGCAAAATCGTCACTTACAAACACGATAAATTTAGTAACATTCTACTCTAATCTTCTTTATAGACAGAGAGCCAACAAGTAAACCCAGGTTTGTCTTCTATTAAGAAGGCAGATTGGTTGATGAAGTGTAAGGAGCAGACATTCCAGCCATCATTGAAAGAGTTTACAAATATTTACCTATGGTTTATTGATTATTATAAATCAAATATAACATTATTTTAAGTGACTGATTATGCTTTAATGTTATGTTCCATTCTAGTCTCTAGTTTCAGGGAATTTATTCAAGAATTTATATAGTTACAGTTCATAAATCTTTTTGCTTTATTACATTGCTATATTATTATCCAATGTGATGCCATAAAATAATTAATAATAAATAAATATCGTTAATGATTAAATTTCAAAATCAGCCACTCAACTATGATGTTAATGGATATCCATAGCCTAAATACCAATAGATGCCTCCAAAATAACAAAAATAAATGCCTAATTAAGGGTGTTTCCAAGAAACCTTTGGATAATAATAATATTATGGCAGATAAATGATTCCACAATAATAGGACTCTAAAAACTATCAATAGCCTCAATAGCACCAATAATAGCAAGCACAAAATTACTAGAACTACCCTTAAAAATAATAATATCCAAATATGCAATAATAATAATAATATTAACAGTCATAATAATAATAATAACCTCAATAAAAAGCAGACCCAAGGTACTAGAATGTTTAATTCACAGCCAAAGAATTCAATCAATTATTCTACAAATAATAATAATAATAACAATAACAATAAGCTCAATAAACTAGTTAAAACAAACCAAATGAAAACCAAGAAGAAAACAAGTACACTTAACCTTAAAAAGTAAATGGTAATGAAAGATAGATATCAACTTACTCATAAAACCAATAATAGTTACTCTAATAAAAGTAAGTTGGGGCACCTGGGAGAATGCAATCAGCAGACCCTGTCTAAGCCTAAAATAGAAATGCAGCTCCATTGACTAATATTCAGTAAATAATACAATTAATTTCTTAGAAATTAGCAAGCAACCAAAACTAGTTAATATATAAGTAATGGAGGTATTAATAAGACCTAAAATGATTACTCTTAAAGATAAGCAACACCAATGAAGGATTAAATGAAATTCATGAGTATTCATATTAATTAAAGTTTAGATCAAAAGCAGGTTCCAGAATAAATCAACCAACAATTAATGTATTCTCCTATGCCAAAGAGCCAATTGCTGAATGAAACAACGAATTTAGCAAAACTATAACAACAATAATTACAATAAAATAAGTCTCCTTAAATTTAGAAAGTTGGAGGATCTGGAATGGGTCCTGCTATTTCTTAACCGACTAATGCTTAACAAATCGTTGAAGAATTAGCCAAGGAAAAAGAAAGACATTCATTGTTAACTGCCAAATTAAAAAAATTGGAATAAGAAAAAAAAACTTATAATACTTAATTTTTGAATGAAATGGAAAGCAAAATTAAAACTCTAATCTAACAAAATGATTAACTATAAAATCTGAATATGGAGTATTTATCATTTAGATATTTTAGATTATTATAGAAGGCTTAAGATTAACCTTAAGGAGAAATATAAGAACTTAATAAGTAGATTTCATACAACAGCCAACAATTAGACTTCCTACAAAAGTAAATTAATGAGGCTCAAAAGCAATTATAAGAATAAATGAAAAAATACAAGGAGCTTGAATAACAATATTAGGAAAAGAATTAGGCTGAAGAACAATAAATTCAATATTTAGTTACTGATTTGGAGGAGAAAGTTCATGGTTTGATTTCTGAAAATGAAAGATTAAATTCTTTAATAGCATAATAAGATAGTAACCCAAAAAAAGAATAATTGCAACAATTAACAAATGAAAAGAATAAGCTTATTTCTATGGTATCATTTAATTTATATAGTAGACTCAATAAAGCCAGAAAGAAGTGTAAAATTGGAAGAGCAAATATGAATAGTTATAGCAAAAACTCTAATCAGCAGACAAGTTCTTAGAGCCACAAGGAGAATAAGTTGAAGCACTTGAAGAAAAGATTAAGTCATTGATAGAGGAAAATGATTACTTGAACACAGTAGTTTAATAGTAAATTGAAAGGGAGAATCAAATTGCATTATTGGAAGAAGAGTAAATATATAATTATACCAATTAGAATGTAAAATTTAGTTGAACAAAATGACAATCTTGAAATGTTACTACAAAATAGCACTAAAAAGTGATAAATATACAAATATAATTGTTATCATCATTTCAATCATCTAATTTTGAGAATCTATGATTACAGCTTTAAGAATTCTTTATTCTTTAAAGACTAAGCTTAATTTAGACTTTTAAAAAATAAATAGAATAATAACTTCAAAAAAGAAAATATATAAACACTCTATAAAATAATTAATAATGTCTTAATAAATTAATCAACCAGCACTTGAACTTTATGCTATTAATCCTGGAGTTCTTAATTCAAACTTAGTGACTGCTGAAGGAGCCAGCAATTCAGTAAATATCAAATGCTCTTTTTGTGACAAGATTGGATTCACAATAATTAAACATTAGGTAGGAAAGGGAACAATTTAGGTATCGATCATAGTTTTTCTTTTATTTTTCCCATTATTTTGGTTGCCTTGCTGCTTAAATTAGTGTAAAAATAAAATTCACTTATGTTCTGGTTGTAAGAAAATTGCTGGAACTAAAATGTTTGAGTTATGTTGAATCTATCTATTTATCATTTAATATAAAAATTTTCAGGGATTATAAAGTTGCTAGGTTTCCTAAAAAATTATTCGCCATCTAATTAAATAAGAATATAAATGCATTCAAAATAGAAAAAATTGTTCAAAATAATTCAAAAACAAACCTATTTTGTAAAATCCCTAATTATAAGAATAAAATATTCTCAGCTTATTGAAATAGGGATTCTATAAAATTATATAGAATTCAGTCTTTATAATTAAAATATAATAAGGTTTGATAATTATTAAGTTTAACAAAATGCAGCCGAATGTAGTAGCATATAATTATCCTGCTTAAACGGATGGTTATAATTAACCTTAAGATTAATAAGCTTATCAGCAATAGTAACAATTAAATCAGGGTTAAGGAGTTCCAATTGGATATCCGGTAAATTAGTAATACATTCCTGTTCAATAGCAATAACCATTTATGAGTATATAATTAAATGAATTTAGATGGACCTGTTATCATATAACCAATTATTGTATAACAAGTTAGAAGAGCAAATGCAGATGGCTGTTAATTTCCGGCTGATATCAATTGCCCTTATTGTCAAAAACCTGTTCAGACATTTATTAAACATAAAAGCGGTTGTCATACTTGGCTTGCTTGTTGGTTACTGTTTCTCTTTTTTTTACCTCTCTTCTTTTTGCCATTTTGCTTTGAAGAATGTTAAGATATCATCCACTTCTGTCCAAATTGTGGGAAGAAAGTTGGAAAAAAGAAATACAAAATGTGTTGTTGAAACATTGTTTATTTATCATAAATTTATTTAAGTTTTATTTCAGTTATAGGAGGGCCAAGTCTATTTTAGGATGAACATTTTTTTGAAAATAGTTGAAATTAATAAAAAATATGAAGTTATCTATTTAATTAATTTACTATTTCTTTGATTATCACTATTATAAGATTGGATAGCGAAGCAATATATGGAGACATCTGTAATAAGAAATAATTATGCAGTTTGATAACATTGTTTAATTTTGTATTTTTTTGATTATATTGATTATGACATTGCTAATCAGATAGTTGAATTCACTTTATTGGATTGCGCAACCAATTGTCCAATGACTTATTCCAATTCCGATTCATTAAGATTTCCGATCAAAGCTTTCTTTTCAACTCCGTATTCTTTATAGTATATAAATTGTACTGTATCTGATGAGGATGTACGGGTCAATAGATTCGCACTCTCTAACAACAAATGGGAATTGTGGGTTTGCATCCTTCCATTGCCAATAATTTTTGGATACAAGATTTCTACATTTTGATTTTATCTGAATACCTAATGCCTTCTGATCTTCCACATGTTTAACAGAAGACGAATCTCAATTCTTTTACTGAGTTTCCTAATTATTTGTACCAAGACATATTATTATATTAAAAATAATAATGGGAGGTGTATGTGGGCATTAGCATTAACATCATTAATTTGTAAAGTCGCCAGAAGGACTACATAGATATGGATGCTCATTCATAAATCCTGAACCAATGAAGTTTAATATTTTATTCGAAAATCTTCGTTTACAATACCCGACTAAGTCTTGTCATTTGAGTATTAAATTGGCTGGAGATATACTAATTGAAACGCCAAACCATATAGATTTAGATGGTAAACACGCTGTAAATAATTAACTAACCTTAGTGGAAGAAAATCGTGGAAACATAAATCAAAGCTAGCATAATCGAGTTACACGAAAAGAAACTGGAATTTTAACTATTTGAAGAGAAGAATGTGATTGCAACTTTGGAGATTCCCATTTTCGATATTATAAGTGGACCTATTCATTTTGATTACTAAATTGGAAAAGGTAGGCTATCTTTTGATATGCAAATGGCTTAGATATTATAGATCGATATTAATCCTATTGAAATAGATTGTAGTTATGTTGAGAGTATTAAGGACAAGGCCTACGTCTTTAACTTGCGATTGGTTACACGGAAGATGTACTTTACGTCGCCAAATTCTGAGAGCTTTTATAATCCAGCATATCTGAGAGGATTTAATTCATCCCTCAACAATTTCCTATAAGAAATGATGTTTAGAACTACTTGGAATAGTTCATCCGAATTACCTATTTTTAGTATTGAGTTGCCATCAAATGAATTGTATAATAGTGCATTGTAAGTTTGCATTTGGAGTATAAATAAGGAAAATGAATTTCAATCTCCTGAAATTTGCTCAATCAAGTCAATCAAAGAAAAATGCGAAAAAGAAGTAATCATTGATTAGAACCTTTTTGCTGAAACCTTTATTGCATTACATAAACTAACTTAAGAGGATGATCAAGAAGATTTTAAAATGCATCAGCAATTCAAAACTACTGTAACCAAAAGCCTATGGTGTAAGGGGAATAAAGTAGGTACGATTAAGTGTAAGTTCAATGTAAAACTACCCAGATTTCTTAAATAGAAATTGGTGGGTATTAGAACTGAGAACGGGTGCACGTTAGGTGTCAATATTTGTAGTTCCAAATCAGTTTCTTAGATTGCGGAAATAACTAATATCTTTTAGAAGTTATATGAATCTATGTTTAAGATGCAATCATTAAGTCATAATGATCAACAAAGAACTGTACTCTAACGTCAGGCACTGACTATTAGTTAGCAACTTTTAGTTGAAGTTTAAAAGGCAGACAAAGATACCAATTCTAAATTATTTTACTATAAAAACCAAGAGGACCTATTCAAAGCCTAAGAATATTTTACTAAGATTGCTGAACAAATAACTAAGTATATTGATAAATTGGATGATAATCTAAGAGAAGTTTGCTATGAGATTTTATTAGTAATAATTACTAGAGGAGAATTTAGGTTGCATTCTTTAGGGTACTTTGAAGAATGTAAATAATTATCAAAAAAGCAGTTGGAACTAAAAAATTCAGTTAACCTCCATTATTCTGAATTTATGCTCCAAACTTTAAATTGGGTACTTCTCAAGGTCCCACTAAAAACCCAGTAGTAAAATGAGAGAAAGTTCACAATGAGATTTCTTGTTCTAGCATTTATAAGGATCCCTCACTTTAAGGATTAATTGTTGAAGTGCATCACCAAGTCCAATGATCCTTAATTAGTGGAGTGGAGAGGGAATGAATTTTAATTAGAGGAGTAAGATGTGTTCATAAATGAATAAGTGGCAATGATATTTGATTGGCAGACATACTTTTACAACTATCTTTCCTAAAATCAGTAATATTAATTTAGCTAGAGTACGAGTGATGATTAATGGGTGTAAACTTTTAGCAAAAGGAGTTTAATTTATCAGTATTTCATAATGGATTTCTGTACTTACATACAATATATTTTGTAAAAGAACAATATCCAATGGTAACATGTGCCAGGATATAAGATGTTATTGAAATCCTTCCTTTGTGAATTGAAATTAAAAGAATAGTACACAATATCATTTTTTGATTGTGTAATGGCTGTGTCTAGGAATAACAATATAATAAACATTATCGTAATGATATTATTTAATAAAACAAAGTAAGATCCATAATTATTATTAGATTGTATTAATCTGATTAGGTTATTTAGGTTTTTGATTTATTGAGTTTAATAATAAATTAATGTCCGGAAACATTAACAGTTTTTGATTACCCGTTCTTTTTAAATGGGATAAGAATTGTCTTAACACAATCAGAACATGCAATAGCAATCGCTACGGTTTTGGAGTTAATTTACACAAATTTTTTGAAATTTCCGATAGAGTTCCGAAAAGCAGTGATCGATTTATTATTTGAGCCATTGAGTTTTGAGTTGTTTCTGCATTGGTCGAAGAGTGTGAGGACAGTGTTTATGAGTTTCTTGCTCTATCGGATATGCCATCAATATAGAAACAATAAGATTTCAATTATGGATGAAGAGTTATTCGAGTAGCAGTATTTGATAGCCTCTAAGCCAAGAAAGAATTTCAGTTTTTATGAGAACAGGAAGGAGGAGAAATAATTGATTGTATTAATCTTAAATAATAACTAGGCAGATTACATTTACTTAAAATACACAAGATTTATGATGAATATAGAGTAGGTCAAGATTCAATTGAAACAGTTTCCGATCCATTAAGACATAAGTGTTCTATAGAATCTGAAGGAGAAGCTGGTTTAGAAGAATCAGTATCATTAGGAGAGTCAGAATATAATTATTTAAGAATAGAAATAGGATGATAAGGAAGAAATTCCGTCTGAGAAATAGATGGTTTTTGAGAGGAGAAATGAATATAGAAATCCGACAAGAAAAAGAACTATCATCTTGTCAGATAATAAGTATAAATATTTGAAGGTGGCTTTAAATGAGTTTTCGGAATTGACTAAATAATATACAAAATGGAGACAACAATCACTGAATAATGGAGATCAGATGAGTCCAGAAGAGAAAACCTAAGCGTATATGAACTTTTAGGTTCCGCAAATTAAGATATTGGTGCATTACGATTAGAGAGAAGGGAAGCAGGATTGATATATTAACTATTTATGCTCTTGATTTAAAGATTTAATTTAAATAAATTAATTATGATACGAGGGTACACATCCGTATTGAAAAAGTCACTTTGGTACTTGCCATCAATGGGATTCTCAAAGAAATTGGGCATTGGAGAAGCCTCAAGTGTGTTAGAAGACAAAATTAAAAATATTTCCCAATTGGTAAGGAAATATAGTGATAATCTAGAATGACATAAAAGAATACGGTACAGTCATCTCTATTGGTGATGGTATTGCCAGAGTTTTTGGTTTGACATAAGTTTAAGCAGGAGAAATGGTTGAATTCAGTTCAGGAGTCAGAGGTATGGCATTGAATTTGGAAACTGATAATGTGGGTATTGTCGTCTTGGGTAATGACAGGTATTCAATTCAAAATTAATAATGCTAGAGAAATCTAAGAAGGAGATATTGTCAAAAGAACAGGAGCAATTGTCGATGTCCCCATTGGTATGGAAATGTTGGGAAGAGTATTTGATGCTCTTGGTAACCCAATCGATGGACATGGTCCAGTCAAAACAAACACAAGAAGAAGAGTTGAATTGAAGGCACCAGGAATTATCCCAAGAAAGAGTGTCCACGAACCAATGTAAACAGGATTAAAGGCTGTTGATTGTTTGGTTCCAATTGGAAGAGGACAAAGAGAATTGATTATTGGTGATAGATAAACAGGAAAGACAGCTATTGCCATTGATACAATCATCAACTAAAAACCAAACTTTGACTCTGGTGACAAGAATAAATAATTATATTGCATTTACGTTGCTATTGGTTAAAAGAGATCAACTGTTGCCAACTTGGTCAAGATTCTTACTTAAGCTGGTGCTATGAAATACACAATTGTGGTTGCAGCCACAGCCTCAGAAGCTGCTCCACTTTAATATTTAGCACCATATTCTGGATGTGCTATCGGAGAATATTTCAGAGACAATGGAATGCATGCTCTTATTATTTATGACGATTTATCAAAATAAGCCGTCGCTTATAGATAAATGTCATTGTTGTTGAGAAGACCACCAGGCAGAGAAGCCTATCCAGGTGATGTCTTCTATTTGCACTCCAGATTGTTGGAAAGAGCAGCTAAACTCAATGCTGAAAATGGAAATGGATCATTAACTGCCTTACCAGTTATTGAAACATAAGCTGGTGATGTCTCAGCCTATATTCCAACCAACGTTATTTCTATTACCGATGGATAAATTTTCTTGGAAACAGAATTGTTCTTCAAGGTATTCTAAATTTAATTATAATTATTTTAGGGTATTAGACCAGCCATCAATGTCGGTTTGTCTGTGTCAAGAGTCGGATCAGCTGCTTAAATCAAAGCCATGAAGACAGTCGCTGGTAGACTTAAGTTAGAATTGGCTTAATACAGAGAAGTCGCTGCATTTGCCCAATTTGGTTCAGATTTGGATGCTGCCACATAATAATTATTAAACAGAGGTGCCTAATTAACTGAATTACTTAAATAAAAATAATACGTATGTTCTAATGACAATCTTATTTTAGGTTCCTATGTGTGCTGAAGAATAAGTTTGTGTTATCTATGCTGGTGTCAGAGGATTTTTGGATAAAGTGTAAACTTCAGAAATCGCTAAATTCGAAGAGAAATTCCTCACTCATCTCAGAACAAATTACCCAGCTATGTTAGAAAGAATTAGAAGGTATTAAATATGTTGATATTTATATAGTACTGGTGAATTGACCAAATAAGATGATGCTGAATTGAAGAGTATCTTAGAAGTCTTCATTCCAGAAGCCGGTCTTGCTATGAAATAATGATAAATAATAATAAAATAAATATTTAAAATCCCAATATATAAGAATAATTCTTATAAATTAATACATTTTATCAATTTATCATTAGTTTCTCCCATTCCACAATAGTTTGTTCAAGATTATCAACACTCTATTGCAACCTGTCTTCAGCAAACTTTGACATAATGGACCAAAGTGGTCGTACAATGAATTTGAAAAACCCAACTTCTGATTTGGCCATAATAGGTAACTAAGATTATGATTTATTATACTTAATCTAAATCCTTCATGTAAGGTAATTGGGGATATCCAAATTTTCCTTCCAAACTATATTGTTCCTAGAATTCCATATTCACTCTTGTACTCCATTCCCTGCTCAATTTAAATGGTTTGGCTCCACCAGTGAAGTCAGATGTATGAATAATCATACCTGTCATTAATTTGATGTCATCTTCAGTTCCAAAGTTTAGTTCCTTGATTCTGGCCTCAAAGTTTTTCATTAAATTGAAATGCTCTGTTATATCTGTATAAAGAATATTGGAAATGAAGAGTTTACGAAACTCTCTGAATTCAGATGATGTAAAATTAGGGATAATATTTGTCGCAGGAGCGCATAACAATTTTATTGAAGTGGCTGCATGATGTTATTCTAACACACTTCTATCATGATATCTAATAGCCAAATTTGATAAACTATTGATCTCAAAAATGTTTGTTCTTCCTGTATGAGATACATCGTGACACAGTCCGGAGAGAATCAATGCAAATTTTGTGAATTGACTCAATAAATGTGCATATTAGGTCTTCATTATTTCCAAACTGATGGCATGTGTACATTACATTACTGTTACTCCATGATCATAATTATGGAATTAATTGCCTCGCTTATTATATTTATATTCCAATGCACACAAGAAACTGCATAATGCATCCTCACTTATCTTGTAATCTTCGATGAAATTGTTTCTTCTCAATATTGAAAATACCACTTTCTACTTCTCTAACCAATCTGCGCTATAAGGGAGTATATTAAATTCAAAGTTATCTATATTCTCAATACAAGTCTCGGTGATCATATCTGGATAAAAATGATTAATCCCTTTAGTTTTTGGAATCAAACGAATGCTCTCACTTTCTTAAAGAGAATTTCTTTAATCTAGATGTCTAGGACTAAAACTTGGACTGAAATTTTTGAATTAAGATTATTTCTAAGTTGCCTTGGGTTTAAACATCTACACTACAGAATTCTTTAGTTATGGATGCTTTTATTCTAGCTTATCCAAATATTGCCTAGTTTCTTATTAAAGAAAACTCTTTCTTAGTTTTTACCACTAATTTGCATCAAGTGATTTCTAGTTATATCTGAACCACCCTTATTAAAATATCACAAAAAACCCTTTAAAATATTTCTCTTCCATTTTCATAAACACCTCATAGGTTGCATTACTGTCTGTTAGTTTCCATTTATTTTGATCCTGTAATTGATTCTCGATATGCTGAATGAGACTCTTATTCTTGAAAATGCTTGTGTAGGATGCATTATAAAATTAAGGATTAAAATTTATGTTGAATTCTTCTGCCAATTTACTGGTAATTGGCTATGAGACAAATGTAATTTATCCTTATTTATCAAACTCAAATATCAATGAATCTTGAGATTTCACAAAAAATTTGTAAAATGTGGTTCTATCGTAGCATTACTTAATGAACTTCAGATATTTATTGAAACTCAAATTGAGTTATTTATAAACATTCATATCTTCCTTTTTATTTAAATCAAAGCATATATGAATGCTCAAATTTAAGGAATCTCTAAAATCAAATTCAACAAATGGATGCATACTTATAAAAGATGTATTGTCCTTGCACACTTTGTATCTTTCACTCAAAATGGAAATCGATTTATGAATAAAGAAATATTTAGAACATCTGATAAAGGCTATTCCTATGTCTTGAATCATGTGAGACAGTTGCAATGGATTAAAACATTAAACTCTGGCTTGTTTTAGAGTTTCAAGCAGAAACTATGCCAACTGATTGACTTCTTCAAAAAATTGGTATTCATTGCAAAGGGACAGAAAAGATTCAATAATGATTTTGTGTTCTACTTTGGAATGGAAACAAAATAAGCAGGTGGAATTCTGTATTTTGAGCAAATAATTTCTTTTGAATTTATTAGTTTAAAATAATGAAGCTATTTCTGGATATGTTTCTGAAATTTCAATAACATTCCCCTCTAGAATCGATTGAATTTCCAATTTCTACTGATCAGTTAAATTTATCTCATTAAATTACCCATTTTCGGAGCTGTAAATTTCATTGTTATAAATAAATGATATTTCATCAGCATCAACCAAATTCTTCATAAAAGCCCTTAAAACATTATTTAAATGTTCGGTAGATAATTTATCATCCATTAAAAGCAGATGGCATCTCAAATAGTCATTAAAATGTTACTGGAATAAGAATAAATAAATTTACTTTCATATCCTTGTATAGTTATGAAAGATTCTCGATCACTTAATTGGAATCAGTTATGTTCGTTACCTATTTCTATGAATTGCTGGGAGTTGACGTTGCTGTTTTCGTAATGAATTCTCCTACTTTCCTGAGCTTTTCATTGATTTCTTGGTTTAAGTACTTGATAAATAGTGTAGAATAATTACAAATTGTGAATCGGATTGCCAGAGATTCATTAGTTGATCATTCAGTTCATCTAACTATGCAATTAATTTTGACTCATTAAATTATGAAACCCTTGAGAGTGAGTTTCCTCTTCTTCTTTATCGAATGGGACTGTCATTTTCCCCTGAAGATTGATACCTTATCTTCGGTTATGGTTCAATTGTTCGTAAATATTAGAGAATGGCACTTTAGTAATCTTATTCATCATAGATGGCGCATATAAGATTATTCAATTGATACTCTTTGGTGGTCAGATTCACCTTCAATAAATGCTTTTATTTAGATGTAATAAGTCCTTTTTACTCTAGATCATTTATTTGGTTAAAAAACTTGATGTAGTTGCTTAAGTTTTATTTTGGCATAAATATTATATTATAAAATCACTTCTATTTTTTATCATCCCTCACCGAGAATTCTTTATATTATAATTTATCGATTTCTCTCTCATTGGTTTTGATCATCTTCTCAATTCTATAATTAAAATAACAATTCAAATACTTGCTTTTTGGAGATCCCACATTCGTTAACCAATGGATCCTAAGAAAGTTAAGAATCGCTAAATATTTTACATTTCTTCACACTTTTTATGATCACCTTAAGCAACTCCCTTGACTGATCCATCTTTTTGATTCTCAACCCATCCTACCAATCCCAAATTAGTTCCTTGTTCCTTTGTAAATTTTCTAAAGTATACTCCTATTTTAGATTCAAGATCTTAATTACCTTGTACTTTTCCAATAACCTGAAAATCAAAGCTAAAATACTTTTTGATCATTTTAATTTAATGTTATAAATGAATAAAACTGGAACAGGTTTTAAGACTCTTAAATTAAGATCATCTCACTCCTTTCGTCCATAGAGTGCTTATTAAGAATAAATAGTGAGCATAATTCCATTTGAAATGAGTGAACAAGCTTACTCAACCTCACTTAAGATGGATCTATTAAATATTGAAGATGAAATCTCAAAACTGAATAAATTGGGCATTCAATAATCTAGATTGAGTTCAACTCACAACTAAAAAATAAAACAATGGATTTCAAATATAAGAATGAATGATAAAGGTTTGGATCCTCAACGAGTTATTCAAATTTGCAATTGTTCTGATGCCAATGAGACAGTGGTTAAATTGTACAATATGATCCAAAATTTTGACTTCTACGTCAATAAAATAACAGAGCTGCAATGTATTCATTACCTATAATACGAATAATGTTATACTAACTTCTAATCAAACTACTTCTAAAAAATAGCATCTCAAGGGATTTTACCAAATAGGTTCTTGATGAGTCTATTGAACTTGGAGATAATTGAATATTTAGTTTAGAAGAAAGGTGATCTGAATCAACCAAATGGTGACAGTCTTTTACAAAAAAAGTTGTATGATTTAAAAGATGAGAACATTAAACTCTTAACTGAAATCAAATCCTTGTAAAACCAATGCAAAAAACTATAAGATTAACTATCAAATTCAACTACTTTAAGTCAAAGTTAATTGAGTCACATCACTGTGGAATTGCCTCCTAATCCTGCATCCTACTATAACAAAGTAATTGACGAAGTCAAAGATAGTTACCAGAATCTCGTTACTATGTTAAGAGACGTAAACATTAATTGAATAATTAAATAGGAAAATTTATAGCTTGGATTGAAATTAAGTGAAGTGCAATAAAAGTTTACAAATGCGAGCAATGAAATCATCGAATTAAATAAAAAAGTTGATAACATGAAGAGTCAGAAAGTGAGATAACTTATTTATATTATAGGATGACTTGTATAAAAGGTTTGTGGCTAAATACAAAACTACAGAAGAGTTTGAATAATCATATGAAGCTGCCTTAAAGGAAGAATATTCTTCTATGGAAATGTCCTTCAAACAAAAAATCTAATAGTTATAATAGAATATTGATTAAAATAATAGAGATTATTAAAAGAAATTAGTAAAATTATCTTTGTATAAAACTAGCTTGAACAAAAGTAAATTATCGATTAGTAGAGCGATAGAGAAAGAATGCTTATTAAGAAAATGAGTTTATATTAGAAGCTTTGAATTAATATTTCAATAATTATTTTGATAGGTCAACCTTTCTTGCTCCTGCTCTACTAAACGTTACTTCTCTTCTTATTTAATCCTCAAATCCTAGATGTTCACACATCCATATTACTTCAATACGTTTCTTAATTTAATAATCATTCTCAGATTTTGGGACTCTCAAACTCATTAAGGCCAACTAGGATTTATTTTAAGTGCATAGAGATGATATAGCAATCATGATTTCACAAAAGTACAAAACTGTTTGAATGATTACTAATCCTAATTACATTGGATAATTCAAAGTTGGAATAATATACTGCATCACTTCAAGAGCAAGAGATACAATGGTGATGAGCACAAATGAAAATAATTCTGGAAACTTAAGCTAATTGACAGTTAATACCTATTCTTTAATATTCCCGCTATATCCATTTGACAGGCGAAACCCTTCTAGCACAGCCCATATGAGCAACAATACTAAATTCAATGTATCCATCAAATTTGATTTGACTATCCAAAGCTAAATATGATGAAAGCGTAAATTTTACTCTTTGTATATTAATACCTAAAGTGACATACAGGAACAATAAGGAGAAATATGCATTGAAGTATAGTAATTTCTGTAATAACAAACTAGCAGTAAGTTAGGATTCTAGGAAACGAGTTGCTCTGGGACGAGGATATGAAGTCGATCCGTAAATAATGTGTCTTACACTTTGTTTATTATTTTACATATTAAAAAAATGTAATAAGAAGATTTCACTCCTTGGCTAATTTAAATGTTACAGCCTGTATATCAATAAATTCTATTGTTAGTATTCTTCCATCTTTGAAACTATGTACTCAGTCGGATTTAAAATATTTGACACTATTATCTTGAAATAAGGAGAACCCAAATAATGGTTCTACATGGATGATAAAGTAATCATAATGATAAATTTCGAAAGCACTGCATCAAAACGCATGATGATGAGTGGCTAAAATGGAGAGTTTTTGGAACCTATTGTAGAGCCAAGAATGTTAATAGATTGGGTGAGTATATTTAATCTGACAACTTGGATTAAGTGTAATTGCAAGCCCCATGTAAATGTGAGGAATCAAAAACAACATGCAAATGTTACATATTCCATTTCGAATAGAAATTAGCGTAAGGTAACTTCAAATCATCAATTCTAATTAGGTCGTATTTATAGGGCAGTTTCATAAGAAGTAGCAAATGAACTTTTTAAAAATCCTAATGAGAAATCAGAAATCATTACTAATTGGACCAAAATTATTGGTTGTGGAGTAACAAAATCACCTAAACACATATTTTAAGTAACAGTTTCTAAAGAATAAATTGATGATCAACCTAAATTTAGAGTTAATAGGAAGAGATTTGCCTAAACTCCCTTATAAAAGGAGGAATTCTCTAAACAAGAAAATATAGTCAAAAAACCAGTCTATCTTAAAGAAGAATATGACAAATCTTTGGCAGCACAATAAAATGTGAAATGCGAACATTTTGCTTTTAGTTTGCTAAGATTTTTAGAAGGGAGACTCTAAAGATCTATTTAACTACTTTAAGTAGAGTTCTTTATGACTGAAGGAGATCTATAAATATATTTGACAGGTTTGGATAATATTCAATTTCATGCTGATGGAGAACCAGTTGAAATAGCTACCTTATATCCTGTGAAACAGCAGGTTCATAATTTTGATAAATGTGCTGGTTTGTATTGCCATTATGCGACCAATAATATTTTTTATGATGAATTCGATGAATAATTTTCGTTATTCATAATGGCAGGAGAGAAAGAAACTCATAAGAAAATTACTTATAAATCAATATTTCTAGATATGATTGAGAGATTTAAAACCATTAAAATGCTAGAACCCTATCTTAATAAGCCACCAACTGAATAATTGATATTCAAATTAAGGATATGTAATTTAAATTATAATTCTTAGATTATTCATTGGGGGATATTACAAATAGTGCTTATTTTAAGCATTTGAAGATATCAAATTTCTATAAATAGGAAACTGTTTGTTAGTTTTGTTTTCATGTTTATAATAAAATAGATTCATTAAGGAATTAGTATTTAAAAAATAAAAGAACTATACTAAATTCTTAATAAATCGAAGCAGAAGTCTCCAAATTTATGAGTTTAAGTATATTGAATCATTAATTTTTAAAGATTATGCCTAAAAGGAAGCTAAGGTGTAAATGAGATTTCATAATAAATTCTTTGATAAACTCAAGCAATTCGATACAGATCAACTAAAGTTCTTTTAGGAATTTACATTGTCGAGTGTTCAAGATGATAAATACTTTTTGAAAAGAGGGAAGACGACTAGATCACTTTAACAGCATTAAGCGGCTGGATTTTAATTGCCTACAATTATCAAGGTTCAAGTGAATGACAAAGATAATATGATAAAGAAGACCAAATATTTGATACCAAAAGAGTAGGCCGAATCATTGGGTTTGAAGCATTATTTGGGTCATGCTAAGAATTTACCATTTAGTGATTAAGGCTTGGCTATAAGTAAAAGTTCACTCGAGTTAAATAAACTTCAAGATAAGATAAGGGAAATACAAATGATAAAAGAGAGAATGGATTTAGAGAAAATTAAAAGAGTGAGGGAGGATATCTAAGTGATTATGTGTACATATTATGGGAAAGGAAAAGAAGAGAAGGACCGTTTGGTTGATTTTGTTGAGACTCTCAAGAAAAGAGAATAATAATTAGAATCTTTAGAAGAGACATCCCAATAAATAAGATCTCCTGCAATTCAGATTGTAACTGACAAGAATGACTTTTTATCTGAAAATTAAAGGAAAATTAAATAAGATAAGGAGAAAAAGGAATAAGAGATATTGTAGACTAAGAAAGACTTTTTAGAAGTAAATAGCGATCTTGCCTTCTCTGTATTTAGAAGAGATTATGTATCTGAACGCAATAGTGAATATTGATTTTATATTTTAATTTTTTGTAAATGGCTTCCCATCTAATTCGGTATTTATTAGTAATTCTATTCATAGTAAAGATTATGAAACTGGCAAGTTTTTTCTCATCAATAACTTGAATGGTGCCACATAAGAGATTACTAAAACAGGGGATTTTATTAAAAAATTTAGCTTGGACTATACTGGCAAGCTAGGATTCAAAAGTAGAATTCAATAACCAGATCCATGTCATTACCCTTGCGGCATTGAATCATTATCTCAGTTTCCCCAATTCTATATACCTTAACCAGATAAATTTGATGGTTATGCTCAATTGCCTCGTACTCTACAAAAGCCTTTTTATAATAATAATAGGAGGCAGAGATCTGATGCTACGATAGAAAGTGCTTTGGAATTAGTGAAATAACAATCTTTTAATAACAAATACTAAATAGACAAACCTATTAAACATATAACAGGAACTCTAAATGATTTTAATTTTGTATAAAATTTGAAGAAAATTAAAATACTTGAACATCGCAAAAGTACAAAACAGAGAAATTTTACAAATCATATCAATAGCGTCAAAGTGATAAATAAAGAAGAGATCCAGGTTCCAAATCTCACCTTACTAAGAAGAAGCAGAATCAAATCTTAACTATTACCTAAAACTCTCCCATTTTGCAACAGTAATTCTAAAGAACCCTCCGAAATTAGACATATTGCTCCCTTAGAAGATAGAGAAATTCAAAGTATCACTCAATTCCAATAATACTAATCTGAACATAAGGAAAGTGAAATCATGTATGAGTCTAGAACCTTTATTAAATCACAAAGCCAATCTAAAGTATCTAGAAATGATCTGCATAATTCTCATCTGACATTAAATCATTTCAAGGAAAAAGTAGACATCGCCCAGAAGGAAGAAAATGCTTACATAATACCATAATAAAAGGAAAAGATTTCAATCTCATCAAAAGGCCGGTTCAGTGCGATTAAGACCAAAAGTAATGGGGATTAATATGTCACAGATAGAAATATAATGAAATTATGTATTATTTTTAAATATTATATTAGTTTAGCCAGACCTATTTAAATGATATAAATATATATTAATCATTAATCATCTTCTCCTTATTTTTTAGGTCCTTAAATGACAATTAATAAAAGGTCTTTGTCTGGTGCAATGAGGATTTCATTTTACTTTGATTTTATCCGCAAAAATGCTAAATCATTTGTTGGGTCCAAGTCACGCACCAAGGATCTAGCTTTTTAAGCCAAAATAGGTATAGATTTAGCTATAGTGTCACCTTATTTTACAATCAAATATAACAGTTACCTTCTTCCTTTTTCTCATTCAAATATGTTGTTCTTGTAATTGTCCCTTCATGATTCACGATTACTATGCCTTAGACTGATTTGTGATTTTTTATTCTGTTAATCGTGTCCTCGATGTCGACGTCTGACATTTTATTATAATTTATATTAATTAATAAATATATAAAGCTTTAATTAAAACTTGTTTGGGTCTTCTGAATATATTCAATTAGTAATAAAAATAATAATATCATTTTCCTTTCTTCTATTTCAAATTAAACATGAACTCCAATTTAATAAGTTTAACTTGAATATCTAATCTAAAGAATAACTTCCTTAAAATAATATCTTATTGTCTTGTTTTAAATTTTAATGCCTCATCGTTGACACTCTTTGAAGACGGTGCATTTTACATTTATTTTTTAATTTTTACTGGAGATACTTCGGTTTTTTTACTGCTTGGCCCTACACTGTTGGTTCGTAGAGAAGGTGGAATTTAAGATGAGGAAGCAACTCTAATGAGTTATGGTTCTTTCAATGTTTTTTAATTAGATTGCTAGTTTACAATAATCACATCAAGAAGTTAAGCAACTGGAGTACGCTTTGTTGTATCTTCAATAAGGGTTTAATCAACGTGATACATGGCATTACTTAAATCTAAAGCTTCAAAATTATTGATTAATGGCGTTTAATTTTATTTTGTTTCTGGTACTGCAACTTAGGTTTCAATTTACAATTATTTAAATCTATTAGTTTCAACACTTGATCCTCTTGCAGTGCTATTTCTTCTGCTTCTTAGAGGGGTGTATATTGTTTCAGGTCTAATAGCATTGCAATTTAAGGGTTAAACTCTAACGCGCGAAGATGATTATTTCTAATCAGGTTGATTAGGCGTTATTTTAACATCAAAACTAGGTTGTCTTACATCGGCACTTTAATTAATCTTAGTCAAGACTTTCTATTCACTTAATTAAAGAGAATGGTATTTGCTTGATGAAGCATTATTCTCCTTAAGAGGAGATTTCTATTTTATTGGAGAATGTTTATGAGGCTCAGTTTGTAGATTTTAATCTATTTTAACAACTTACATAACTCTGTCCTCAACTTCTTCTTATGATATATCTTAAGAAAAAGTAATTAAAGTTTTATGTATATTGATATTTTGTTTTAGCGGTGATTATTTTTTTTCATATATTTGTTGGTTTTTTTCTTTTAAAATATTTTTTATTTCGGATAAATTTTCATCTAATTATCCATCAAAATCTAATGGCATTTAAATTTTTTTTATTTTATTTTCTTACCCTTATTTTTTGAATATATTCATTTTTTAAGGACTACTTTTTTTTGGTTATATTTGTATTTAATCAAAAATTGACATTATATTTTAAATCTTATTGTTTTCCTATTGTTTTTTTTCTGTTTGTAAAATCTGCATAAAACTATCATGCTATTAATCAATAAAATCACTGTTGTTTTAATAATCAATAAGAGATTATTGATCCATTATTTCTACGGCATTCTTTTATTTTTAATTTTACATTTATTCAGGCTTTAAAAATGACCTTATCTTTTTTGTTTACGAAATTTCATCTTGTGATATTATTTCACTTGGATTTGAAGTTGGATTATTTTCATAGAATTCTTCTTTCTAAGTTTATGATTTGAGAATTTAATCTATTGTTTTTTCTGGTTTTAACTATAATTTACTAAAAAAACTATTTAATGAAGATTAAATCGGAGGCAATTACAGCTCTGTCAATTAGATTGTATTTTCCTAAGATGCTGTAGGCAAATTGAAATCTTGGGATTAACTCTATTATTGGAAATTTTCTGAATTTTTTGATAATGGTTATGAATCAGGCTAGTTTTCAAATATATCATAGATTTAAAGTTTTTATCTTTAATACATACCTTTTTCTTCTTCTTAGCAAATACTTTATTCAACTGAACTTTCCTCATCCAATGTATACAAACTATTATTTTATGTTCTAAATATAGGTTGATCATATATTTCTCTAATTGACTACAATTTTTGACTTATGATATTTTATTATGAACATATTGTTTCTTAATCAATTTATTTGATCTTTTAAAGATTTTCACAATTATTACTATAAATTGATTACTCCATATTTTATTCATACCTTGATTTTAAAATTAAATCAAATTATTTTTTGTACTAATCCAACAATTTTGAAGATTATTTTATTTCTTCAGAACACTATTTAGGCAAGTTTATTGAATTTAATAATTAATCTAGATTTTATTATTATTATTATTGTTGTTGTTATTATTAATATTATTATTGTTATTATTATTATTATTATTGTTATTATTATTGTTATTATTATTATTATTGTTGTTATTATTATTACTACTACTACTACTATTATTATGATTTTTCCTATTGTTTTAATTCTTACTCTTCTTCTGCTACTTTAAATTCCATTTTTTATTATACTTCACTCTTTTTATATTTCAAATCTTATTTATTTTCCTCCTATTATTATTATATTAATTATTCTTCAATTAAATTTTATTATTTTTATGATATTAATTCTACTTAATTTGGTTGATTATTTTTATTGTCTTATAATTAAGTTTCTTGTTGTTATGGTTTATTATTTAAATTAAATTTTGAAATTTCAAGAGGAGCTAAAATGTCGCACTTTTTTTTTTAAATATTATTGAAGTTAAAGTTTGCATCAATTTGTAAATTTTTTTAGTCTTATTCTGTAACAAAATTATCTTATTTAATAGATTTTTCAATAAGGTTAATATTATTTTATTATCTATTTTTTTATTCTTATAATTATTGGGTAATATCATCTTTTCTATCAATTCTATCAGTTTATCGATTACTTGCATCGGATCTATCTGTTTTATCTCCTCGAAGAAATTTACTTTATCTAACTTCTTGGGCTTTCTTTTTTGATGGTGGATCCCATTAATCAAATAATTATTATTTCAAGTTTTAAACAGTGCTTCTAGAGAATGTTCTTTCAAGAACTGAAATAGATTAATCATTCTAATTCTATTTGGAGATTTATTGTATGGATGCACAACAATATTAAGAATATTGATTTGAAAAAATAAATTTGACTTCTTAAAACTCTTTCTTTCTACAATTAATTTATATTTCATGACCATAATTCATCTTTTTAAATAAAGTCTAGTTGACAAAAAATTGATGATTTTAGAAATCATCTAGATTCCATTACAATATATATTTTCCTTAGATTCCAAAAATAAATCTATTACTTGCTTAAATATCCTCTAGGTTAGATGTTTTTAGTTTAATCATTTTGGTATTATAACAATAAGCATCACCATTTTCTGTAATAGCAATACCACCAAATTAGAACAATAATGACTTCTTAAAATACCCATTAACTCCGAGACCATTTAATTATTCTATAGGAATTTAAGTGTTATTCTCTATGTTAAAAATCTTTCCACCAACTTAATTAATTAATTAAAATTTTACTTGTAATTAATGTCATTTTGTCTTGATAAGTACTGATATGTTTACAATGAGAATAGATAGGTTTATTATTTTTCCAAAAAAATCCTCTTCCAGAATGATCAATAGCAGTTGTAGGTGTAATGTCCATGAAGTTCTTTCCCGAAACTAGCAATTTAGGTTATTAGTCAATTAAATACAGGTCACCATTTGCTTAAAGAATGAGGTAATTTTATACTCTGTAAACAAAACAAAGTTTTACTGTCAGAACATATCTGTGAAACGTTTTATAACACATTTATAGCTTCAGACTCATTATATGATGCTATTTGATTATCGGTAACTATAAGTCTTTTTAAGTTGCAATTTTCAATGTAATATAGAGAGACTCCCAACTTGATTGCCTAAGTAAATCTAAATCTAAGTGATTAGATATTCTAAAGTATTCATTAATAAGCATACATCCAACTAATCGAATATAACAGACATATTTTATATACGTTAATATTATAATTTATCAAACCAATAAATCAAACAACTCCTTTGAATCATTTACAACTTCATATTATAAATGCATTTTCGTCATGTTCTCCATGACTTTTTTGATGTTCTCCTTTTTAGCTACTTCTATAGCCACCAAACATGGTCCCCTTTCTCTATTGGTTTTTTTCTAGAACTGGATATGGCTAATTTCATCATCTGGCCCCAAACATCTAATTCTAGAATATTAATTTACAAACTAACAAAGCTCTTGAGAATGCCAGGTCTGAAAGGAATTTGAATCAAAAAGAAGTATTTCAATCCTTCGAACAATAATGAATGCTCCTTAAATTCATCAAATCTTGAAAGATCGACTGTTCCTCCTGAAATTAAACAGACAACATTTTTATCCTTTATTTATGATGCATATTGATCCAAAACTGAGACTGCCAAAGCCTAAAAATATTTGCATTAATATTACTCCAGCTGGTTCCACTGCTATACCCTGGTTATATAATTCAAGAATGGTTGAACTAACTTTTCCTTCAGGCACTACTACCAAATCATCTAGACTTTGTTAACAAATGTCAAATGTAAGTTTAGGAACTGTTTTTACAGCAGATCCATCACAGAATCTAGACATACTTTCTATCGTCACAACTTTTTTTGCATCAAATGATGCTTTCATAGATGCTGCTCCATCAGGTTAAACCCCAATTATTTTGGTATTTGGAGACATTGCCTTGAAGTAGGTTGCTATTCCAGCTGCCAATGCTCCTGCTCCAACTGGCACAAAAACGAAATCTACTTCTCCTGGAAACTCTTCTATTATTTCTATGCCCTTTATATTAATAAATATTTTGCTACAATTGTGGCATTTCCTATGATTGCCTTAACATTATCACATGGATGTATCATTAGTCTATCATGTTATTTTATATATTCTTAAGCTGCAGCTTCAGCTTCATCAAATGATTCTCCAACACTTCTTATTTCAACATAATCCTTCCCATACTTCTAAATTATTTCTATCTTCCATTGGAAACACACTTCAGGCAAAAAGACAGTTCCTAGTCCTTAAGATAATTGATGTACCTTTGATTTTGAAATGATTGCAAAAGAAGGCAAAAGCCTCTGCAAAATTCCCATCACTAACAGTGACTAAGCCTTTTGTTTTCTGTTCTTGGGTTAAACTCATAAAGGAATTGAATGCACCTCTCATCTTAAATACTCTGATTTGTTATTGATCTTCTCTTTTCAGATGAATATTGCAATGATATTTTTCAGACAATCTAATTGATGGATGCAATTTTGTTCGAAAATTCAAAGTGCTGTCTTTTTGAAGACGATGAGCCTATGTTATCATCGGAATTGTTATTGATGACATTTATGATATATTATTTAATTTATTTCAATAAGATACTCACTCACAAAATTATTTAAAGTTTATTTAATTCTCACCATTTTTCCAAATACACCAAGTTGCTAGACCTTTAATTATTACTTTTAAAATAATTATACAATCACTCATATTCTTAGACAAACAATTTGAACATCTGTTAGTTTTATTATGCCGAAAACAAGGGGTTCATAGCTCAATAATTAACTCTACCATCATTTATCAACAGCAAAATTGTCAGGGTTATAACTATAAGTATATTAAATTAGCTTTAATATTCCTACTTTTTACAAATTTTCTAATACAATATATTAATTGTAGCGTTATTTATTAGACTATATTTTGTAAATTGTACAGACTCAAAACATTAAGATTTTCTATTTTGTTATAAATCAATATTTCTAATGCTCAATGAAATTCATAAAAAATTCAACATATTTTTAATTAATAAAATGCAATACCATAATTATTTCTTTAAACCATCAAATGAAATTTATATAAAGAGAAAATAGGCTGNCAAGAATGGTTGAACTAACTTTTCCTTCAGGCACTACTACCAAATCATCTAGACTTTGTTAACAAATGTCAAATGTAAGTTTAGGAACTGTTTTTACAGCAGATCCATCACAGAATCTAGACATACTTTCTATCGTCACAACTTTTTTTGCATCAAATGATGCTTTCATAGATGCTGCTCCATCAGGTTAAACCCCAATTATTTTGGTATTTGGAGACATTGCCTTGAAGTAGGTTGCTATTCCAGCTGCCAATGCTCCTGCTCCAACTGGCACAAAAACGAAATCTACTTCTCCTGGAAACTCTTCTATTATTTCTATGCCCTTTATATTAATAAATATTTTGCTACAATTGTGGCATTTCCTATGATTGCCTTAACATTATCACATGGATGTATCATTAGTCTATCATGTTATTTTATATATTCTTAAGCTGCAGCTTCAGCTTCATCAAATGATTCTCCAACACTTCTTATTTCAACATAATCCTTCCCATACTTCTAAATTATTTCTATCTTCCATTGGAAACACACTTCAGGCAAAAAGACAGTTCCTAGTCCTTAAGATAATTGATGTACCTTTGATTTTGAAATGATTGCAAAAGAAGGCAAAAGCCTCTGCAAAATTCCCATCACTAACAGTGACTAAGCCTTTTGTTTTCTGTTCTTGGGTTAAACTCATAAAGGAATTGAATGCACCTCTCATCTTAAATACTCTGATTTGTTATTGATCTTCTCTTTTCAGATGAATATTGCAATGATATTTTTCAGACAATCTAATTGATGGATGCAATTTTGTTCGAAAATTCAAAGTGCTGTCTTTTTGAAGACGATGAGCCTATGTTATCATCGGAATTGTTATTGATGACATTTATGATATATTATTTAATTTATTTCAATAAGATACTCACTCACAAAATTATTTAAAGTTTATTTAATTCTCACCATTTTTCCAAATACACCAAGTTGCTAGACCTTTAATTATTACTTTTAAAATAATTATACAATCACTCATATTCTTAGACAAACAATTTGAACATCTGTTAGTTTTATTATGCCGAAAACAAGGGGTTCATAGCTCAATAATTAACTCTACCATCATTTATCAACAGCAAAATTGTCAGGGTTATAACTATAAGTATATTAAATTAGCTTTAATATTCCTACTTTTTACAAATTTTCTAATACAATATATTAATTGTAGCGTTATTTATTAGACTATATTTTGTAAATTGTACAGACTCAAAACATTAAGATTTTCTATTTTGTTATAAATCAATATTTCTAATGCTCAATGAAATTCATAAAAAATTCAACATATTTTTAATTAATAAAATGCAATACCATAATTATTTCTTTAAACCATCAAATGAAATTTATATAAAGAGAAAATAGGCTGCAATGAGAAATCATTTCGGAAAGAATTGTAATTCAATTAGTTGATTAATAGATTTAACTGCAATTTCAATAGCATTCTCATGTTACTATCTTTTTAGTTTGTATAGGGATTGGTTAATAGAATTACCAGTTTGGTAGAAATGGAGATAAGAGAAAATGACTTCTAAAGAATCATATGAATTCGTAATTTAGGGATTTCATCCAATGAGAAAGACTTTAATTCAATAGTTTAGTTAGTTTTGAGTAAATTAAATTATAAAAGGTTATCATAATCACTATTTATTCATTAAAACTTTGATCTCTTCAACTGTCAACCATCTTCACCTTATTCTACTCTACCAAAACTCCTTATTAACTTAAAATAGTGATACAATTAAAAGCTTTGTTAAAGATATTAAAATATTAAAAACAAATTACATTTACATAAATATAAACTAATCATAATAATTTCTGCTTTTTTCTATGTTCCTATTCATTATTTGCAGATTTAAATTATTTGTTAGTTGGATCGATTGCATATTCAGGCTTAGTGTGTATGGCTTCAAATCTAAAGTTATTTACAAAATATTCTACCTTTTATCATTAGGATTGAATCCAACTTTTGGCTTTTTATCATCTTCAACTAATAATTTTAATTGTGCTGATTCTAATTTCTTTTATTTTAATTCTTATTTTTTAAGTTTCTTTTTCTCTAAATATTTTAAATGCTCTTTTGGTCTTCCCTCGTTATCATCCTCTTCTTATTCTTAGAATCCAACAAAAAAATCATCTATTCTGCCTTCTTTTGGCACATGGAAATTTTTTTACTTCTAACCCATTCTTTCAATAATTGAATTTTAACCATTTGGATTAAATCCACTTTGGAATGTAACTTTTAGATTACTCTTAGATTCTAACAATTAGATATATTAATACTCTTTTTAAATGAACTTCTCCAATCCTCCTCTTCTTCATTTTTATTTTCTTAAACTTAATTTAAAAGATCTTTGACTTCATCCTTAATCTTATCCTCATCTTCGCTTTCATAATTTCCAACAATATCTTCAAAATCTTCTTTATTAAAATTTTTAATGTTTTTATTCCAAAAATTAGTTCTAGGCTTACTATCCTCCCAAGTTAGTTTTACATCTGTGTGGCCAACAGCTCTATTGATAATATTGGTTGATGTAATATGAGATGGTAAAGTATTGCATTCCTATTTGAGATTCTCCTTTGGTAGGACAACATCATTAGGGATGAATCTCAAATCAATTTTGATATTAGTTAATTCAAATTCTTAGCCATTAATTTGTTAATATATTTAATCTGCTGTTTTGGCTGAATCACATTCAATAACTGCGTAATAGTATTTAAGTCTATCTTTTTCATATTGTCTCAATTTTACAGGGTCTACATCTAAATCCTCTTCATTTCCTTTTACTATCAATTCATTTACTGCACTGACTTCATCTTTTTATTTTTTTGGTCTAAAAATTGAATTAAAATACTTACACATAGTTATCTTTGAATATTTGTCTTGGTCCGAATTCATTCTCTTCAGCCAATTTTTACTTTCCATATTCACTTACAAAGACTTATACTTGCTATATAGATGAGCCTGTGGGTGCAAATGAAGAGAAAAGGACGAATAAATCCTTTGCCTTGATTTATTACCAATCATAATTTTATAATGCCAATCTCTTAGTAGCTTATAAAATAATTGGAGCATTCTTTTAATCTAACTCTTCATCTTCCCAATTATCAACTCCTGATGATATAGAAATATCTTCCTCAGAATTTAGTTCTTCTTCATTTTGATCAGATTCATTTTATGATTTTTCTTAAGAGTCCTCTTATTAATTTGATTAATCTTCAACTTCTTTTTCTACATCTTCTTCGTTTTGAACTACTTATTCTTCCTCTTAATCATCCAATTCATAATGATCCTTGAATTCTGAGTCTTGCTTTCTCTTATTTCCATATATGTCAAATTTAGGCTTAGTAGAAAACTTTGGGTCCCTGAGAATGGAACTGAATTTTTTGTTTAGTTTAGTTTTGAGTTGTTTCTTTGGTAATGATTTAAATCTTGGATCTTTCTTAATACGTGCAAACCTTGGATCGTCCATAAATTAAATAATTTAATTAATTTCTTAAACTTTTTAATACTTTATGCCAATATTTATTATCATGTTTTCTAATATATTTCTTATACTTATAATATATTTCCATAACAAAGTAAATAGGTTTCTAATAACATTACTAAGAAGAATAATATTTATATTTAACAATAAGAGTTTCATTTAATAGAGTTTTTTTTAAAAGGTCAATTAACTGTAGCATCAATTATTTGAATATTGGGGATTTCATTAATTCAGTCATTTTATATAGAGTAGAATATTAAATGAGATTATAAAAAAAAGTTTTTAAAAGTGAAAATTCAAAAACTCTTAAAAATAAAATGTAATTTCATAAAAATTATATTAATTTTAAAATAACATAGTTTCTAATAAATGCACCTTGATTTAATCTACTTATATTACAATCTGTTTATAAAATTAAACAATTTTAATATGATTGAATATATCTTCCTACTTAAATTAAGTAGAGTTGTTAAAATATAGAATCTAAATTAAATAGTAGAAAAAGTAAAGTTAGTAAAAATAATGTTCAAGGATTGAAATGAATTTTCATATTTGTTTTCTTCTACAGTCTCAAGTTGGTATTGATTTAATTGGTAAAACTAATATATTTTTTGAAATAATTATTAAGTTCCCAAGATTCAAGATTCAAGAAGATAAAATCAGATCTAAAACATTGAATCTCTAAGAATGAAAGAAACAACATTTAATTATTATTTAGTTTGCAATACAATTACTAATTTATTTTCATAAAATATATTTTTCTAATCATAGTTAACAAAAATAAATGATTCAAATAAAAGGACCTAAGATTAACTTTAGAATGCCGATTAAAATATAAGACTTGATGGAAGAAAAACCATATTTATAATTTGATATTGAAAGCACGGACTGCTTCAGAAATTAAAAAATTTCTAAATATGTAAAATTTGCCCCAACAACTACTATTTTTCTGAGATACTAAGATGAAGATATCTATAGATTCAGAGATAGACTTAAAACTTAAGTATAAATAACAAAAGAAACACATAATCTTAACCCAACCCTTGAGGATTCCCCAAAAAAGTAACAACTTAAATCATGCATGAAAATTCCAATCGATTCAGATTATTGAAGTCTTGATTATAAAATATCTTTTGCTTTACTTAATACTTTTCTTAAAAATATTCTTTTATTCACTATTATTTAAGTGTTTCTTCAATATTTTTTTGGACAGTAAAAATTTTGTAATTGATAGCAAACTCACTATGATTCTAACCATAAATGACCTCTATTACCCTAATCTATAAGATAAATAATATAACTAAAATTTCACCCACACATTATTATTTTGATATTTTCCTCTTACTCAATGGCAATAGCTTGCTATGTTTACAACAAAACTAGAAATTGCTCTTTAACCAAAAATAATGATTTATTAATTTTCTGAATGGATATAAATCTTATTAATCAATATGACCAAACAATAAATTTTTAAAGACAAACAGGAATAAAACAATTCTCTATAATAAAAATAAATTATTAAAAAGTTTCTTAATTGTGCGATAGCGACCTAACTATATTAGTGTTGGTGTTAGTGTTAAGTTATTCAATGTTTGTTGGTGGTGTTAAAATCCATATTAATTTATTCTTTTCTTGTTTTTCATATTAATTTATCATAACTATTTATTGTTAATTTTAACATAGTTCAACTATAAAGTAATTAAAACATAATTATTAATAACTATTTCTGCATTCATCTAAGAAGATTTACAAATTAATTTATTTAATTAGTATTGCTATCTGAATTTTTCATCAGATTTTTGGTCAACAAAAAGAATTATTTAACTGTGTGCTTCAAAATAACAACTTTTTTAATAAAGTTTGAAAATAAAAAGTATAATTTGATAATTTAATAAGAAGGTAGAGAATTAATCTTTGTTATATTTAGTGAGTAAATGGGAGAATTTCTATTATTGAATTTATACTTGATCATAATTAGAAAGTATAGAAATCGATAGGAAGAGAATTACGATTATTTGAATTCTAATTCTGTTATATAGTAAGAATTTAAATTCAAAAAAGAAATTGTGTTTAGAATTGGTAAACGAATGCAATAGATGTGATTATTCATTTTTTTCTAATAAATAATAAATGAATAGATGTATCATAAAAATGTTAAAAGCTTCTCCCTCCTATGTTAAGTGAATTGATAAGTTTGCATTATTCCTAATATAACTAAAATTGCAAAAAAAAACACCAGAATTCTGTAATAATTTTTGTAATTTAACTGATCCTCTATTGGGTTATGGTAACCATTTGATTGTTATTGAGATTATTGTCCTTAGTTCATTTTTTTCAATAGTTAATTTATTAAATAAATAATAGTTTTTATGTATATATATATATTTATTAAATAATATGCAAACTCCTTTCAGAAAGCAACCCAAAAGCGTCAAATAAATTATTAAGGAATTAATACTTAAAGAAATGGAAAAGGAGGGCAAAAAAACTAACTTCAACATAGTAGTAATTCCCACTAGGGTTGGATAATCATGTTGGGGGACTACTAATTTAAGAAGAATATCACCTACAAATTATTAAAGAGTTGATTAAGGCCCAGTATTTTCTCCTATAAATTGTACTCAAATCTCTCCTATTACTTTCAGCTAAGGAACCCCTAAAAACAGCAAAACTAAATAAAAGTCAAAATATTAAAAATTATTAAAAATGACTGATGAATAACCTTATCAATATAAGAAATAATAGGAGAGATATAAAACTGAAGCCCGTTAAAAATCTTTATCTCTTAATACTGCAAAAAATATCCATTAAAGATTGCCTTCTTTGCCTAGAAAGATTAATTATTTGACTGAGGAAGCAAAAAGTCTACAAATTAAATTAACAGACACAATCGAAGGATATCAGGTACATGAAGATGATATGTCATTTGAAATTGATGAATATGTTAAAATGAAATATATTAAATAGATAAAATATTAAGGAAATTGAAGAAGATGTATTTTCTTTAATTAGAATGCTTTTAAAATTTAAAAGTGTGTTTTTGGAAAAATTATTTATACAAATTATGAACAAAATTAAAAGAAAGCTTTTCTCTATGGAGGCCATCTTAGATTCTAGAACTATAAATGACTAACTCTATTTTTTAGTAAAATGGGCTGGCTATCCAATCTCATAATCCACATGGGAGAAAGCAGACAAAGTTCCTGTTGATTCAAATATGATTTCAGAGTATAAGATGAGTGTTCAGATGCTTGGAAAAACCTTCTATTTTGATCCATTAGATTAACCTCCTTAGATTGAAGATTTTGTAGATATTCCTCCTGAAAAAAGTGAACTTTCAACTTTTAACACAAAATTGAGTGAGTTTCAGCATTAGATCAATACTCTTAGAGATGATGTTAGATTTATTCTATAATCTTAATTGAAACTCATTAAGGAGCTAAAAATGTCCAAAAATGCTATTCATCAATATGACTTATTAAGATCACCTGCCTCCCAAGAGAAATAATAATCTATATAATCTGACATGATGCAGTAAAGTGCTTCGATAAATTATGATGGTTCCTTTGATTAAGGGGATAAAGTTGAAAAAATTGGTAGAGCTGTTTAAATTAAAAAAAGTAAAACTAAGATGTATTATATATTGTGGAAAAGAAGAAGCAATGGTATAATATTGTTTTAAATTTAGGTTAAATTCCAAAAAATTCATGGGTAGAAAGTGAATAAATGATTGAGAATGATCCTGCTAAAGTTTGTCAATACTTATGGAATAAAATAATTTGAATGAATATTTAATAGAATATTTAATTTAGATAAAGTATTAATCAATTATGTTTACCTTTTGGATTGAAGTCTTTTACATTTACTTCTGTTGCAAATGTTTTCTAACTTTTAGGACTACTCATTTATTTCTTTTGATTTTCCAAAAGTTGCTATTATTGGATAATTTTATCTTATTACTATTTGATCTATTTAAATTAATATATGTACTATAAGGTTCAGCTTATTGATTTCTTAGGATTAAGAAGGGTTGCTATTTTCTTTAATATTTATTTCTAGTATATTACATCTAAATTGAAATATCAATAATACTTTTATCTTAAAATTTCATTTTCTTATACAAGTTAGTCCAACAGTTATCTATTTTATTATGAATTGTTTTCATAACATTTATTCTTCCATAGTTCTATCTCATTCAATCTATTTTTCAACATCACAGTTAATTTTTCTATTTTATTTTATTATTCTAAATATTATTTTTATGCATGATGTTCTGAAGTTGAATATTATTAAAATTATTCTTTAATGCTATTATAGTTTTATAATAATTATTAATATTAAATTTCTGTGTTTTATGAATTTTATAAGTTTTACTCAAGAAGACTTATCGTTTTTCGTTATTATTATATTTGTGTTGTCTGATGTTCAACTAGACTTTATAAATCTTTCTCCTATTATTCTAATTAACTTATTTTCCAAGAATACTGGTTCATCTAAGAGGATGTTTATTAGGTTTCTTATATTTTAGATTCTAATTAAGATGTAGCATTTTATAATTCATGGATCTTTAATTAATATTAATTTTAGAGTTATTGTTTTTCTATCTATTCCTTTTTTAATTGCTAAATTATTTACTCCTATGAAATATTAAACTCTTCTTTCATTTTACTAATTTTTTCTAACAATGCATTATTTTCTTATTGAAATTGTAGCAATTCTTATTTATATGCCTCTAATTATTAAGTTAAATCATTTTGGAGATTGATTAAATATTAATTTTCCTTGAAGTTCTTATTGCATTCTTCTTCATAATATTTATTTTATTCTTCCAAGCTTTTTATAACTTCATTCAGTCTAATCATTTATTACTTTATTTATACGATTTCCAACTTCTACTATTTTGAAGACGGGTCATCAACTATATCCCCCATTTATGTAGAATTTAGCATCTAAAACTTTCTTAATTATTCCCTTAATTAATTGTTTTCTATATTTGTTTGTTCAACAAGTAAATTATACTTATTTTTTTGGGATTTTAATTGATTAATTTCATTAATTAAATTTGCATTCTCCTATTATTTCTCTCTTAATTAACTTTGTGTTAATTGGATTTAGTAAAGATGCTGTGTTTCCAACTCTTCAATCTTTAACCCATAATGCAATTCAAGCTGACTTATTTTTGATTAGCATTCCTATATTTATTGTGTCTTCAATTTTATACAAATATTTTGTTTCTCTATCTCTTAAATTAGAGCTCCTATCTGCCTTTAGTTATTTTAATATTTCTACCTAGTCAACATTTTTGTTATTTGGTTATCCATTGATTCCTTACTTATTATCAATACTCAATTCATTTGGACTTCGAATGGGCGAAATAGACTGAGAATGATGAGGAGAATTGACTTGTTTAAGAGTAGGTTACAAATGTCCAGTTTCATATTATTTGCTTTACTCTGTTCGAAGTGCCCTTTAAGATCTATTATTTTAAAATAGATTATCCTGTTGCTTCGACATTATTTTTAAATAAATTCTAAATTTATTATAAATAACAAAAGAAGAATAGCTAAATAATTATTATACCATATAGATAAGTAACATTAGATATTGATTCTTTTATAAAATATCACCAATAATTTCAAAAATCATTTGCGAAGCTATGTAAGTCTTATTTATTTTAATATTTGCTTTTCCTTTTGAAATAGAGAATTTCAAAGAATATTTAATTTTAAATAAATAACAAATGTTATAAAATCAAAAATTGTTAGTCATATTTAGTGTGAAATTCATTCTAATTTTAAACTTCTTCTAAAGGCCAAACATCTTTCCACTTAATCATATAGTTTTTATCCTCCGCATTCCATTACTGCATTAATCATATCAGCAATATTTTATTTGCCATTTAGAACAGCTTTCTCCAATTATACAATTTAATGTTCTAGAGAGCTACATCTTTGATCACTTAATTTAACTATTCTCTATCACGGTAATAATGATAATTACTTTTGTTATTTCTAATTCTTTTTGATTGCTCTCAAGTCTTATTTAATCTTTCTTTGAATTAAGTACTTAGAATAATATTTAATCTATACTTAATTGTTGATTTTCTTTTTAACTAATTTATAATTCATTGGAATATTCATATACCAATTTTTGTAATTCTGATCGTGATAATTAGTTAAATCTAGGGGTAAATTGTATATTATTTTTACTTTCCTTCATTTTTTAATAAATTATCAATCTAAATTTTAGAACCCTTAGTTCTACCTTTTTCATCATTAACTTAATAGATAGTTTCTACACAAATACTTGTACTATACTATAATTTATCTCTGTTTGCTTTAAGTTCTTCCTTTTACAAGCAAATGCAATATTCTTTGTTAATTTAAGAATCCTTAAGAGATTCTACATAGTTTTAGAGTGCAATCTTTTCTTTTTATAATTCAACAATATTGCTCTTTATTTTAGTTAGTTCTTCATTCAATTTTGATATCTCTTGAATATATTTTTGTTATTGTGAATCCTTCTCATCCTTCAAAATATCATACTCTTTCAAAAGGATTTCATTTTCTTTTTTAAGTATTTCAGACTCCTTTTTGATTTACTAAATTTCCTTACTATTCTTTTCAGGTAAATTATATAATTCATTAATAAATGAGTTACTAAAATTACTGTTGAAACTTTGAATCTGCATTTTTTTATAATCTGATTGAAGAGCAGCGTAAGTTTCTGATAACAAATTAAAAGCAGCTTCTGATTTCTTAATTTACTCCAATAGCTTCTCATTTTATTGTTTCATTAATTTATTCTAATATTGTAACATCTAGATTTAAATTTGTAACGAATTCTCATCCTATTCTCCCTTCTCTAATTATCTACAAGATAATAACAATGCTTGCTCATTTTAAGTTGGTCTGGAATGGAAATTATCAAATTAATCTAACTTTTTTGGATTTGCTTTAGGTTTAGTGGAGCCTCTCATTATTTCCTCATGATTCTATACATTTTTGGTCCTTCTCTTGCCAGGAACTACAAATTTATTTTCTCTCAAAGCAACAAGGCCATCTAAATCAGATTTTTCTTCCTTGGATTTTTATTATTATAATAAACTAACTTTCTAAACTCTTACAGTTTATTATCTTTTTGTATTTCCTTCAGCTTCATTTAGCTTATCAGCTTCAGAATATTTTAAATGATTTTCAAAATTACTTGGTTATTCAGAATATTTCTTTAAAGTGTCTTCTCTATTATGATTCAAAATTTCTCCTCTTTCTTATATTGGGGAATGCTGACATTCTCGCTTTTATCTAAGCCACTCTTCACTTTTTTTAATTTCCTAGTTAATTTTACTTAATTCGATATATAATTATACCATCTATTGTTTCCAAGTCGTTTATATTCACATTAATTTGATTAGTTCCATGCCAATCCCACCTAAATATAAGCTTCTTGATCATATCTATTATGTATTGGAATTTTATCAATAACCAATGGTAAATTATTTTCAATATAAAAACCTAGATTCAGAATTGCTTCTCCATAGCATACTTTGCAATCTTGAACCATTATTTTTAACTAGATTAGATATATGGAAGTTACATATCGGTTTTCAGTATAATAAAAATCAAACTCAACAACTTCATTTATATCTTAAACACTCGAACATTGACTCAATATTTTAGACGTCAAAATTTTAGATTCATTTACTATTAATAAGATTTGTATATTACCATCGTGAATGACTATTTTGCATTATTCTGAATATTTTTCAATAAAAAACTACAAAGATTATACTTCGATTTCTAGATGAAGCATAAGCCGTAATAAATTATTATTATTATTTATTAAAATATATCATTAATAGCATCTGAGTAAATAAGCAAGCGATATATATGTGGATGAAATAATCATTTTTGATAATTATATCGGCAGTTATCAATCCCTTTATTGTTACTTAGGCATACTCCTTCAAATTATCAAATCTCATTGCAATTAAATATTTAAAGATTTTCTTGAAAAACCGCCATTGTCATCATTCTATATTTTTTTAATTCTCTAATTTTCTCATATTCTAACATCCTCAAATACTTAATTATCACCTCATTCATTAGAATCTTTCTAACTATTTTGAATAGAAACTTAAACTTAAAATCATCTTAGGATCTTTACTAGCATTACAAAAAATAAGGTAAAATGCACTTATTTTGATTTGTTTTATGAAATTTACTTGAATAATTAACAAAAGTGTAAAGATATAGAAGATGATTTCCTAAAAAGCATATCAGATGGATAAGATTTTATTCTAAAAACATAACAAATAAGAATAGAATTGAGCGGATTTGTATAGATCAATAAGTTATACCTTATAGAGGAATAATGATATAATGTAAAATCTAAAATAATTGAAAATATCAATTGTCAGTTAAGATAATTTTCAAATTAATTTTATAAAAAAAATATATATTCTTTCAAATTTATATTATATTATGTAAAAAGTAAATATTCAATCATCCAAATTTGGAAACTGTAATACTCCAGGATCTCTCACAATTTAATCTAATTTGATCTTTTTGACTTGATTGATAATAGGGGTAACATCCCTTGGTTTCTAATTTTTTGGGTATGTTTGCTTGTTATAGAAATCAATGATCTCTTATTTCTTCAGTTATTTTGATTTGTTTAAATTATCCATAAGCTTGGCGAATAATGATGTTAATTGTTATATGAGATCATCTCCAGTTGAATTATTAAATTATTTTTCAAATTATTTTTCATCAAAGTTTTATGACTTCTTTAATAATTAGTCTGCATATTCTGTAATTCTTTAGAGAGGCTTGATATATCTGACCACGTAAAAAACACACAAGATGATGTAAATGATTGGTATAGATAAAGCTATTGGAATTAATGTTTGATTGAAACTATCAACTTTTTTGGAATATGTTTTTTTCTAGAAACCAATTTCTTGTTTGGGTAAAAAAGTTGGTTAAAAGCTAAAAATGTAAAACCAAAATTTACATTCCTAAAAAGATTCCTTTATAATTAATATATGATAATATAAAGCATTAATCTTAAAGTTCTCCGTAATAGAGTTCGAAGTATGATGAAAAACTGATTGAGGCAAACTGAAATTAAGAGATGTTCATTTTCTATAATTTTGAATCTTCTGTATTTATGGTTTTGATAAGTTCTTAAAATTCCTCTATATTTACCTTATATTCTCTTTCCTCATAATGGAGTATATCATTTTCTGATGAAAGCAAAAATAAAGTGTAATTATACTGGTTGTTGATGGCTATTTAATTGAATAGTATATATAGCATAAAGGGCATTCTTTCACAAAATATCAAACCAATTTAGTTATTATTGTCATCTGCTATTGGCAATACTTCTCTTTGCAATATTGTACCCAAAATTGGATCATAAGTGTGCTCAATAGGAATATTGGTGAGATACCTTCTACTATTATACATTTGTAATCGATATTCATTAAATAATTTGACATTAGTTACATTCAAGCCTGGGTATTGCATCAGGAATCCGTCATCAAAAATCCAAAAAAAAGTGGATCCCAGAGTTTAATAATTATAATACATGATGTTGTTAATGGATAAATATTTTCTCATTTAATTTTCAGATACCTATTGGTCTTTTAAAAGTGAATAGGTAGCAACTTCAAGAGTGTATTGATCTACAATGCCTACTTTAGAAATATGTTTTTTAGAAGAATTTGGTATTTAATTATCAACACTATACAAAACATCATTGTACCTTAAAGTTCCCGATTCAATTAAATTTATTGTTACATTCATAAGCTATATTTCATTCTCCCTAGTTTTTATCAAAATTTAAACAAAATCTATTGTGACTTCACAAATTTATTTTTGTAAAAGTGTTGATACATTGTCATTAGTCCATAATAATACTGTATCATATAATATATGTTATCCTATTTATTGGACTCCGACAAATAAAGAGAATGACGTAATGGCAATAATTATTTATGCTATTGTAACCTGTATTTTTAGTGGCCATCTGGACGGTATTGGCAAGAAAAATATTGATCCAATCCTTTCATTAAATAATAAATTGCTATGACCAAATCCAATATATGCTTTGATTTTTTCAAGACAAGTCTCTTTTATCTAATATAATTGTGATGACTACATCTTTCTTCTTAGTCTCATCCTTAATGATCTATTATTCTGGGAACGTAGAACCTTAAGATTCTTTTGGGTTTAATTCTTATTCTTCTTCATTTTAAATTGAATCATCATTGGAATTATCATCTTCTTTAGAGGAATCACTTTGAAATTATTCTTGCTCATTTCTTTCAGACAGTATTGCTTCATCCTAAGCATTTGAAAAAAGTTCAATATTTTACATTAAATTAGAATAATATAGTAATTGTAAGAAAAGTTAATTTAGTAATCTTTTAAGTTCTTTTATTTCATTTAGAATTAACAATAAAATGTTCAGAAATAAATAAGATGCCAATTTAAGCACAATAAAAGCATATAGATGTATGTATTTCTTATCCCTTATATTGTAACATGAAAATAAGGAATATAATCATTAAAATTTATGAAGCTGGAATCGTATTTATCATTTTTTTTTTTTGAATTCCAAATTTTTTAATCCATTCTTTCGGGAGATTTAAGACTATTTTTTAATAGGAATCATCAATTTCAGATGTATATTATTTTATTTTTTCTTCAAATAATCTGATATCTTCATTTACGAAAGGACAATATTTGGTTGATTTGGATGAATTTTTTGAATCTGAAATTTATTTTGATTTTTCAACTTCTGACTTTGGTTGAGATTATTTGTTTTTTGGTTTTTACTTTTCTTTTTCTTTGTTTCTTTTATTTTTGGACTATTTGCAGAAGTTGAATGCGTAGAACTAACAAGCCTGAAATTGGTGTCATTATTTATAAACATTTCGGAATGCTAACTTGAGAACCAAAAATACATTTGAACAATTAGTATTTATTTCAAGGATTTATTTGAAAGAATTCTTATCAATATTCTTGCATGAGATCTAAGACATTAATCGAATTATTTAATTAACATTACTATCACTAAAATCAAATAAACCTTGAAATTTACGGATAACATTTTTTGTGTTATTGCCTAACCATGAAAAATAATAATTACAAGTTTAAAAAACTACATTATCGTCTTTTATTGATATAATTAAGTCTTTCGATTTACTGTTGCAAATGCATTTCATTTATTTAATAATAATTTTATTTAAAACCAAACAAATTATGACAACATTTTAAAAGTTCTTGAATTAATATGTAAAGTATCTTACATTTCAATAGTGAAATATGAAACTATGAAATATGAAAATAAATTGAAAGTTAATTATTAATTTTTTAGTTTAATATTAAATTTTACTCATTTCAAAATGGGCAATGCCTGTACATGCTAATGTTAAACTAAACCAAATGACGAAAATGAACTCAATACAAATTAAAAACAATAAAGTTAATCAAAAATAACAGCTAAACCTGATAATGCTTAAAATTAAGACCCTGATGTATTAAAAGGAAATAAACTATTAGGGTAAAGAAAAGATCAGCAATCAATTAAAGGATGAAGATGTAGCTCAAATGGCAGGGGCTCGAAACAATTCTATTGAGGATAGTTCTTCCCCAAAACTTATGAAAAGAGAAAATGGTAATATGTGTTGAGAAGTTTAGATGATAACAAACCTGAGGATCAATATATTGAGTAAGTTTAAGCAACGAAAAATAAAACAACAAGAACTAAGTTGGGAGCTATTGAAATGAAAAATGGAGGTGTCTATGAGGGGGAATGGAAAAATGCAATGAGAGATGGTTCAGGAAAATATGTGTGGCCAGATAGAAGTTTTTATGAAGGGGAATGGGTGGAAGACAAAGCAAATGGATTTGGAAAATTAGGTAACTCCTTATAATACTTATTCAGTTCATGTTGATGGGGATATTTATGAAGGACAGTGGTTAGATGATATGGCAAATGGCCGAGGCGTTTATATTCATAGTGGTATGTTTAATTAATACATTCAAGGAGGTGCTAGATATGAAGGAGAATGGAAGAATGATTTGTAACATGGACAAGGAGTGGAAGTATGGCCAGATGGAGCCAAATATGAAGTAAACCATTAATTCTCGATATATATTAGGGTAGATATGAAAATGGTAAAAAGCATGGACAAGGAACTTTGACCTTTGCTGATGGCAGTTATTATAAAGGAGATTTTGTTGAAAATGATATAACTGGATATGGAGAGTATTATTGGAAAGACGGTAAATCATATAAAGGACAATGGAATAATAGTAAAATGAATGGAAAAGGAGTGACTTAATGGGCTGATGGCAAAAAATATGAAGGAGATTATAAGGATGATAAGAAACATGGATTTGGTATATTCTAATGGGAAAATGGTAGAAAATATGAAGGATATTGGATCAATGGTAAATAACACGGAAAAGGTATGATTACACTTCCAAATGGAGAAAAAAAAGAAGGTATATGGGAAAATGGAAAAAGAATTAAGTGGTTAAATGTTGATGAATCACCAAATGGATGATTTATAAATTCTTATTTTAAATCATATCTACTTAATGTTAAAAATATCATATTTTTGCATTCTCTTAATTTTAATCCAAATTATATATATTTATTTTCAATACAAGTTATAATTTGTTGATTAAACAATTAATTACAATAATATACAGGCAAGTTTATAAAAAGAGTTCCTATCATAAAATTATCTTAAGTTATATACCAAATTTAGAAGAAGAAAACCAAACAGCTTTTATAAATAATAAATTTAATATTTTCATATTATAATATTATTATTTTTTTTCTTAAATTTTGATCCGATCTCATTCATTAACAATTATTTAATTTCTTAGTAAATAAAAGTGTTTCAATACTCCATACGCTTCCATAAATAAACATATTCAGTAAAAATTTCAGACAATGGTACAAATATATAGAGATGTTTTTATATCAGCAATAATTAGATGAATCGAGAAACTAAAATTTAGCTTTGAATTATGTTGAAAACCCCTAGATAAAATTCAATTTAATATTTAAATATGAAGAACTATTCAAATAAATAGCAAATAGTTGTCTAAAACCTACTAATTAATGCTATTCTATGATTGTTATGGATTATCTCTATGTCAAACAAATATAGCTGTTTATATATTTTAAATTTTGTAGAATTTATTGTTATCCAGCAATATTCAATTGATGAATAAAATCATTTGAGTATTTCAAAATTAATTCATTTAATATTTGAATAGTTTTAATTAATTTAATTATAGATTTTTTTATCAATTTTATATATGTGATTTCGCGAATAGAGATAAATTTTGCTCCCATAGTGATATTATTTTTTCTTTCAAGAGAATCGAAAAAGTGCTCATTTTCTATATGTTAAAGAATTAGATACCTTGATCATAACTGTTTCATTCTCCACTTAAGGATAAAGCTATTCTGCTAACTAAAAAAATGTGTGTAGAGGAATGGTTATTGAATCTTTCCAATATTAGCCAAGGAAGCACTTTGCTTTACACAAAAATTGGCTAAATGACACCTGAATTAAGAATTATAGATACTTTGCCTATTTTTGAGTGTTACTTTAGAGTCTTATCAAAATGAGATTATTTTGTTAACATCCAAATCTATATTGCTTTCTTATAAAAGAGCACTGCAGGTTAAATAAATCTAACCTTTTCAATTGTTTTCATATCGAATTCTGATTAAACAGTGGTTTCAATGATAATTACTACAAATTATCCAGCTATTTGCCATTATTATTCTTGAGAATTAAATGTAATCAATTCTTAAAAAAAATTTTCGCTCATTTTTTCCATTTGCTTAGAAAACTTCCTCATTTTATTAGATAGAACGATCGCTGTTAATTCTTTGCTGTCAGTTTTGCTTCTGCTGACCTCTTTTTGATATGAATTATGAGAAATTTAAGAAGATGTCAAAGTTGAATTTTTGCTATCGTCATCGATGTTTAATTCATCAATTCTTTTAATAAGACATGTATTCTCAAGTGGGCACTTTTCTCGAAAGACGAAGAGTGGCTTTATGCAGTTCTTATTATAATTCAACTAGTATTCCCAAGTATTGGTTTAAACGATTTCTTTTTATATAAAAGTCATCTCCTAAGAAAATATGTCAATTAGTCTATGAAGTTTTTCCATTTCTATGTTTAGTCTATTCAATCTTTTTAATAACTGTTTTTTCAGGTCTTATAACTCATTTGATAACCAACTATATATAAAAATGTCTAAAATGAAGTTTGAAGTCACAAACTTCTACTGGCTCTCAATGGTTAAATAAGCAGTTGTTTTAGCCATTATAAACCACACTTTTGGTAGTTAAAATAGTAAAAGCTTTTTAATTTTTGAACATACGATTAGGTCATCAATAATGTCATTTGGTAATGGTTTTGCTACTGAATAATAATAAATATTTTGTCCTTCCATATCAAAAGTAAATGACTATCCTCTGTTGTTGTCTTATTTCTACAGATAACTTTACATAGTAAAAATAACTACTGAATAAAGTTTATTTTTATTAAGAATAAATGGTGTAATTAATAAGTGGTTTAAAATTAAATATAAAATCCTTACCAACAACTCTAAAACTAACTAGTATATCTATATTTATTTTGAATATTACAATTTTTTGTCATTTTGTGAAATTGAGAATTACAAATCGAAATCAACATTATTTGATATAAATGAATACAAGGTAAACTATAAAATAGATTAAATAAATAATTTAAATTTATGTTTTCTGCGTGTAATATTAATCTAAATAAAAACATAAAATTATATTCACTTAAAGACTAAATATTAATTAATGATTAAGAGCTTAAGATTAGTATTTTAAAATTATTTGATTTCCAAAGGAGTAGAGTGGCCACTTTTTAGATTCAATGAAACCTATCGTTTAATTTTATTTTGTTTAAATTCAAATGAGCTTTACTTTTTTTATAGATATTTTTCTAATTAAGAACGAGATGTTGATCTTTTAATCCTAAATTAAAATAGATGTCAAAAAATACTTACAATAATTATTTCTAAGTTTGAATATCTAGAAGTCTTTTACCTCTCACACTTTTTTTGGTTAACAAATTAAAAGATGAATGAGAACTAGAAGAATCCTCAGAAAAGATGATATGCTAGATATCAGATGAAAAGATCTAATGAGTATCAAATGATAATTTAGATTGTCGTGGAGGAGCAATCTACAACTATTTTTATCTTCTGCTATTCATCCAATTTTATCTAAATCTACTTGCTATTTATTCTTTTTCTTCTCTCATTTCTTGTAATTTTTATTCAGAATATTTATTTATTTCAGAAATTATTTTAGTTGGATTAAATTCAGTATAGAATTCTGAATAATCTCTATGTCTATCAAGACAAAAATTATTATCGTCAATCTGTGTTGATAACTTTGAATAATCAACAGCTGATTCATCCAGATTTTCAATTTATTATGAAGTTTTTACAATTTATTTTAATTATTAGAATCTGTATCTGAAAACAGCATCAGATTTTGAATAGATAATTTAAGATGATGATATTAAGGATTTTCCATTTCTTCTCTTAAAATCTTTAATTCTGGTGTTCTTTTATTTCAAATACTCTTCTATTACTTTCAATCTTCTAACCCTAAAATGCATTATAGAGCAATTCCTTGCAATATGATGTGGCCTATCACAAATATAACATCTCAATCGCAATGGCTTTAATGAATTCTCAACATCCACACAATTCTTAATATAGAAAAGCTTTTCCAAATCTGAATTTAAATCATGAGCTTGTTCCCACAAATCTTTTCTACTTAAACTCATCAAATTAACAAAATCAAGTGTTTTTGCACTTGCTGTCCTAGGACTTTTACTAAAAAAACTTATCTCCCCAAAGTAATCTCCTTTATTTAATAGTTTCAATGAAAACTCTCTTCTTGTTAGACAAATATCCACTTACCCATTTTAAATGAAGTATAATAAATTACTGTCAACTTAATTTTCTTTGAATACATATTCTTCTGGTCCTAAAAGATGTTCTTTTAAAACATAAATTAGTTTGTTTGTCAATTAAGAGGAAAATTCTCTGCTGATCAAATTAACTTATTTTAAAATTCTGCCATGTAATAAAGTCAACACTTCTGTATGCAAATTCGATGATAAGTTATTTAAAATGACCATTTATGAATTTTTGGCTACTTAAGCAGATCCTTCTAGCCATTCCAAATAATTCTTAACTCTTATTTATAAGGGTTTTGGTATGTTTTTCTATTTAATATATCTAACTGAATTATTGAAGTAATTACTTAACTATTTTTTAATTTTATTCTTTTATCTCTGCAATGTTCTAATCCTCTCCTTGTATAATGAAATTCAAACTAGACATACTGAATCCAAAAATTCCTGATGATAAAACCATTACAATAATCCCAAAAATCATTTCTAAATTTGTATTTGGACTGATATCACCATATCCCACTGTTATCATTGTAGTTATGCTGAAGTAGAAGGCTGTTATATATTTAACTTCCCAAGGAGCATCATGGATACCATACTGTGTCATCCATGTTAGTTCTACTTGTTCATCCACAAATTCTACTATATTCCAAATACATGCTATCCAATGCGCAATACATAAAATCATAGCTGTTATTTTGAGGAATTGTATTATGGCTTAGAGAGTTTATTCTATGGAGAATGTTTCTAGAATCTATTATTATCCTTTACATACCTTCTATTTTTATCAAGATTCTTCCCAATTTTAATACTCTTAATAGACGTATAATCTTCACAAATTTAAACAATCTTACAAATTTTAATATTTGCGTTGACTAATTACTATCAGTTCCTATCATTAAATCGAAAGGAAGAACTGCTATCGCATCTATCCAAAACCACAATTTTAGATAATTTAATGCTATATATTTTAAGCGATACTCCAATTTTCCACTTATAATATAAGATTTTTGGTTACTTTTCATAATATGCCAATCGAAAATTAAGCAGCATATCTACAACAAAAAATATATCCATTATATCATTAATGATTTCCATCTCAAATGAGCTATCAATTGAAAATGATAATGCCATTGGAATGTATATCATTTATACAAAAATAAATAACATGCTTATTGATTCCCAAATTATTCTAAAGGTAGAGGTCGGATTAGATACTTCCATTATTGTTTTTATGAATATTGAAAAAACTTCAGTCTTGGGCAATTATTATTATTCTTCCTGTTCTCTTTATTTCAAAAAATATAAATAATCTCTTGCCTCTTTATTAGTTTCACATATGACACTGATTAATTTCCTTTAGTTTAATCGATCATTTGAGTCATAGTCTTAAGCTTTATCTATGCAAAATTAAATAAGCATTACCTATCAATTTCATAAATTAACTATAAGAATTAATAAAAATTATTGAATTTGTTTTTATATCGACAGCATAAACATAATAAATTAATACAATAGTCTACACCTACCAAATATATTTAACCATTTATATTTGGACTCAAAAAGAATAATAATTTTATTATAGTTGAATTTGGAAACTATCTCTCACTCTTACTATCAAATATTCATTTTAACAATAAGATATAAGTTAAAAACTTCATTAAGGAATTACCTTTTAGTAAAAGAGAAGATTTTTATTTTTGCCATGTAGTTACTTATAATATTAAATTGAGTTTGCAAACTAAATTGAATTATAAAATGATTTAACATTAAGAATAATTCTCATAATATGATCAAATTTTTTGTAAAATCAAGTTATTTTTTCTATTTTTTAAAGTAATCAAGGCTATTTGCTATCAAGACGTAACACCCTTTTATTTTGTAAAAATATTTAATCTGAGATTGATATTATGTTGTTATTAAAACACTCAGAAAAGAGGATATATTCCATAATCTTTATTTTTTAAGATGCTTATTTGATTATTAAGGTATTTCAAAATTATTTAAATGAAAACAAATATTCTTAAAATCTTAAAGACTTCCTTGTAATTAATCAATTCTCACCACTTAATAATCAAAAATTGATTACAAATTTATTTTGTCCATATCAAATATTCTAAATAATATTAGTTTGAGATTAAACGTCTTGCCACAAATATTGAGTTGAAATTTATTTTTGATAAATGGAGTTTTAGTAAATTTTTGAGATTGGAAAAGCACAACATCAAAGAGATAGGAAAATTACATCTTATTAGGGAAATTGGAAAAATTTAGAAAAATATTTCTAGGAAGTAATCAGTCAATGTGAAAAAATTAAAAGCACTTAGGTAATGATTACACCTTTAGATACATAAATTAAAGAAAACTATAAGTAAGTTATCAGAGAGATCATCTCAAGCTTATCAAAAATATTATTGCAAAAATAGTGAAAATTTAATATGCTCATTAATGATCGATCAAACTATTAGTAATTTTTAAACTATAGCTGATATTTAATATTTTTTTGTATAAAATTCTGAAAATGGAAAGAGGACAAGGAGAGATACAGATTAATCAACAGAAACTTATATTTAGATCTAATTGTATCAAGATAGAAAATTCAAATTAATGATATTTTTGGGGATAAAATGAATTTTTAGAAATTTAAATATTAAAAATGAAAATAATCTAATACTCTCTGTTATTTTCGTCTTTAATAATAGCTAATTGATTGATAGTTTTTATTTGTTTCATTTTCATGATTCCTTAATCTGTTGTCAAAATTATTTAGGAATCATTCTTTTTGTTGATATAATTAAATCTCAATTTTATACAAAATATTATTTTAAATTGAATGCTTATTATAATTGACCTAGCTTTTAGATACTAATATTCAATATTAATCCATTTAAATTATTATTTAATATATTAATATTTTAATGAAAGTCGATGATAAATTTTTGAGGTATTGTTGAAACTTTTAGGATGATTAATTATATAATAATAATTAAAAAAATAATGAATTATGAAGGGATATGAAAATTTAATCATTTTTTTTTATTTCCCTTTTAATCCTTTTCTTTTTCTTTCTAATTTTGTTTTTATTTTTCTTTTTCTTTTTCCTTTTCCTTTTCTTTTTCTTTTTCTTTTTCCTTAGTTTCTTTTTATTCCTTCTTTTAATTTTTATTTTTAATTTATTAAATTCTTTATTCATCTTCATCTTCACTTTCCTCATCATCTTTAGAAGCCTTAGTGACTTTTTTTGATCCTTTTTTGTGCTTTTTCTTTTCTTATTTTAATTCCTTCAAGCAAGTTTTAACTTTTTCTTCATCTAATTTATATTTTTTGAGCCAAGCCTCATAATCTTTTTTATATTAATTTTAGGCTTTCTCTTTTTCATTTTCGTATTTCTAAATATAAATAATATACTACCTCTTTTTTTTTTTTATCTAAATCATTCCACATTTAGGAAATAACTTAAGTTAATTCAGTCATGCTTTTCTCTTAATTTTTCTTTTTTACTTCATCATAAACTTCACCTCTATATATCATATATGCATTTTGAGGTTTTTTTGGCATATGCTACATTGCATCCTCTGATATATAGTCCATAAATTTTAAATTTAAATTTATATAACAAAAAAGCGCTCAATCTAAGATTTATTGTTTAATTATTAATGAGTGTTTAACTTAAAAAGTCATTTCATATATTAGGGACTCTAAAAGAATGAGAATCCTACCTCTCTCGTAAAATATTGTTTGTAATAACACAATTAAAATAATCAAACTATTGATAGGAAATGGTTCTCTATTTTTTAGATCCATTTCTATTACCCAAGATAAAGATACGTTAACTAATTGACGTCTCTAATTCTAATTTGATTGAAAGTAGCTAACCAATATATTCAAATTTACTTGTTCCATCACAAAATGACCATCCCCATGACCTGGCTAGAGTAAAAGCACAGATAATGGCCTCAAAAATGGAAACTTCCTTGTACATAGCCAAACCGCCAAGACGTACAACTCGGTGGAGAGTGGTAAAAATACTGTCTGTGTATCTCAGAACCTTTGTTGGTAGATTTGCTATAATTTTGTTTTGTAAGAAATCATCTTTGATATTATTGGAGTAAAAGGTTTCTTTTTTGGGTATTTGCAACCTATATATAATTTAATTAATATACTCCTATTATTATAACTTAAAATCATTATTCTATAGAGTAAACATACTCAAATTGTATCCAGTTCCAAATACAAGTTAAGTTGTTTAACCATATACGCAATACCCCATAGATGCTATTTGTTCTGCTTATTGTTTAAAATCATTCAAAGTAACTTACTTAAACTGTGTAGTTTATTTCTTAAAAATGATAAATGCTGAGGCTCTACATGAATCTGTGCCATCTACGGCTCGAAAAGCAACAATATATTTGGATTATTGATTATCTGCTTACAAGGTCTATTAATTATCAAGAATATATAGTATTTGGCAATATTATGTTTTAAGGAATGACTCATTTAACTATTGAATAGCTTTCTTAAGACCGGTTAGAGAATATACGAATTTAGATATGATTCTCATTTATTCAACAAGATATTTAACTAATTAAGTGAAATCTCCCGATGCTTCGTTGTGTTTTAATTGTTCTGCTTCAATAAACTTGTTAAATGATTGTGCATTTTCTGGGACATTGGAATAAAAGTCATCTGTAAATTTTTCTAGTTTTAATCTAATTTGAGCTTAATGATCATAACGACCACAATCATAGATAACAATATCAGTATGTTATTCCTATTTCAAAACTTTTAGTATTTATTTCATGCCTCTTATGATTTTACCGAAAGCCACTCTCTTATAATCAAAGAATGGCATAGGTGCCAATGTAATATAGAACTAAGAATGGTTTGTGTGCTAAAATCCATCGTTTGCAAATCCAATGATACCTTCGCAATCATGTTTCAATGCATAAGATTCATCTTCAAAATACCCTCCGTAAATTGATATCTTTTTATCAAACTAACCTCCTTAAATAAACCCTAAATTTAAATTATATTACAACCATTAGGTTTGTATTTAGTGAATTTACTATTTTTATAAGAATAAAATTTGCCTTCAATATTGACACCTTCACAGAATTTGGTGAAATTTTCACACGCTTTAGGGGCAAAGTCGTTAAATAATTCAATAACAACTGGGTGAAGTTAATCATCGATTGACAACATCATTTATACATAAGCTAAAGGTGATTAAACAAAATATACTATTCTTTCTTGAATTAAAAAATCTCAATTGTGATTCATAGGCTTAACTAATCATGGTCTGAGTAAATTTAATTCTACGACCTGCATGTACAGTAGGTGTTCCATTCTAAATCAATAACAATGGTCTATGATATTTCTATTTTATAAACCTTTTCACTGTTTTAGACATAAATGAGTCATCCATAGTAAACGGTTCTTAGTTACAAAGAGGTTGTAATTTCTTAATTTAAATTCTCAATGAAGCATCCCTTTTCAGCAGTTTCACTTGGTGATCATATTCAGACTAAATTTTTATTATTGTACTTACCTCATGCATTTCTTAGATCTCATAAGTCTTTTTTCGTTCTGTCAATTGCAAATTTTTGAAGTGCAATAAATCGGGATTACCTGTTACGCTCATCACTTTAATTTTGCTCATTTTTAATTTTATGTAATAAAATGAGATGATTTAGCTACTATAAAAAACTGGTGATAAATTAAAGAATAAAAAACTGGAGAGAATGATAGCTGTGAATCCTTCAAATACACAGTTCACTTAATAATTCTTATAATAATAACTTGATAAAAGCAGCACTTAAAAAAAAGGTACCTTACTCACCTAGAATGAATTGAATTAAGCAATAAAAAAGTTTCAAGAATATATAACCAAAAATCAGGACACACATTCTCTGTAGACTTATTAAAAATCCTAAGAAAGTGAAAATATGGAAGATAAACCCAGGTTTAAAACAATAAATTTTGACACTTCTTCCTCAAAAAAAGTATAATCAAAGCATTCGCATAAATTATCTCATGCCCTACCAACTATGCCAAACGATAAACCACCATCACAACATGTTAGACAATCTTCGGATATTATAAGAAATGATGGAATTGTGGACAAACTCTATGATTCCCTAATGAGTAGAAATGCTGGTTATTCTAAACCAATAACACCAAAATGTGGGACCTTTCAATTTCCTTAATTTTCAGACGACAATCAAGAATAAACTAATGCCAACTTAGAAGAAATATACTATATTCAGAAAGTTAAATAAGCCATAATATTATAAAATTAAAATGATTATTTTACTAGATTGTATCGAAATCATTTTAAACAATTATGTCAAGAATTAAGTATTGGCATCAAATTAAAGCCTGCCAATTATACAGACATTAAAACAAAAGGAGTTAAATTAGACAAATAAAATAAATATAAAGGTATTTCTTTACAATATTTAGATTCAATAACTCTAATATTTGATTTAGATGAAACTTTAATACATTGCAATGAAAGAGATCATAAATTATATGATGCTATTCTTACTGTCAATCTTAATAAAACACAGCAAGTATAAGCTAAAATTAATGTACGACCGAATGCAGTTGAAATACTGAGAAAGTTATCAGAGAATTTTGAATTAATAGTTTTTACTGCCTCTAATAAAATATATGCCAAAAGCGTAATTGATTATTTAGATCCAAATAATGATATATTTGCTCATAGGCTTTATCGAGAATCTTGCATTTTAACGTCTGGTGGAATTCACGTTAAAGATTTAAGAATACTTAACAGAAATTTAGAAAAAGTAGCAATAATTGACAATTCTGCTTGCAATTTTTCATGGCAAATAGATAACGGAATCCCTATAATCCCGTTCTATGATAATTAATTAGATGATGAACTTAAACACCTATACAAATATCTGTCTGGTATGAGAGAGTGTAAAGATGTTAGAGAGTATAATAGGTATTCTTAACTTTTATTTTTAGGAAACATCTTCAATTATATAGATACACAGGCAATATTAACTAATATCAACACATCAGCAGGTAAATGAAGGAATAGGATTATGTGATTGAGGATAAAAATTGATTATTTCTATACTGAATTACTATTATTTATTTTTATAGGGTGATTGGTCAAACTTAAGAATTTCATTAGTTTTACATCCCCTTATTCTTTCGAATTTAACAAATTTACTCATCATATTTGAATTACCTTTTAAGTTGAAGTTGATCCAATTATTATTTCACTAACATCAATCAGACAATTAGGAGTGGTATCTTCAAATCAGCTTAGCCTTCTTTGTAAGAATTACAAAGAAGAAGCAATTTCAAAGGTGCTAAGAATGATATATAGAATTAATGAAGGAACTTTCATTAAAATATCTGGGAAGCAAAGATGTATCAATATGAATTTCAAAAAATATTTCTCTGTCTATATTTTATATTGCATTATGGTATAATAAAGAGTATTAAAATTTTGATATTGATGAGCTCGTTAAATCGAACAGTTAAATAGATTGGTCAATATTAATACAACGAAAGACATTGCTTAGGAGAAGGAGCGTATGGAAAAGTGTATTAGGGGATGGATATTAAAACAAATGAAATAGTTGGAATAAAGAAAATGGATTTAGTGTTATTTGAAAGGGACACTTATCTAAGGAATTAGATTGTTAGTGAAATTGAAATACTGAAGAAGTTTAATCATCCAAACATTGTCAGATTTATAGATCTGATTACTACTCAAAGATCTCTTTATATAATTACTGAGTTTTGCAAGGATGGGGATTTGAAAGAATTTCTTCAAAAAAAGAGGTTGACAGAAAAAGAAGTAAAATATTCTATCTATTTTGAAAGGCTCAAGGCATCATGTTATAAATTGTAAATGGATTCAAAGAATTAGTTAAACAAGGAGTTATTCATAGAGATCTTAAGCCAGCAAATATATTAAATCATGAAGGCATTGTCAAAATAGCAGGTAATTGAGTATTCAAAAAACTTAGACTTTGGATTTGCCAAGTACGTAGACAATTATACATCATAATTATTAAGATCATGCGTTGGTTCTCCCTTATATATGGCACCTTAAATATTGCAAAGGAAAAGCTATTCAACAAAATGTGACATTTGGTCAATTGGAGTTATATTTTATGAGATGGTATTCCATGATGTTCCTTGGAAGGGAAGGGATGAATAGGATTTGCTCAAAAACATCCTAATAAAGCCCTTAGTATTTAAGGGCAATCAACCAATAACTGATTTCACTCGAGACTTTTTGTCAAAGGCTCTGATTGTAGAAGAATCTGAAAGGATTTCTTGGGATCAAGTCTTTTAGATGTTTGAAAGTATGGAGAAGGGATTAGTTTCCAACAATCCCACTTTATAAAAGCTATATAATGATTAAAATTTGAGTTGGATGCAAAAACAATAATAAAAAATGACAGGTGACCAACTCGTTAAGTAATTATAATTTTTGTAACAAATGAAATAAAATATAGCATTTCGACACTTTGTTAATTTTGAGTTGTATTAAAAATTAGATTAATTGAAGATACTATTTAGAAGAGATTAATCATTAGAAGAATGTATTGCCATTCTATCAAGGCTTGTCCTTGCATATAGCAATTTATTGATATAACTGATTGAGGAAACCTGTGATTCTGGTGAAGACATTCTGATGAAAGGAACTAAGTGGAATATCTTAAATTTCATTAAAAATGAATAAGAATATTATAAAATTTTCTTTTAAAATTGCAAAGAACAATTTTGTAAAGAAACACAATATGAAGCTGAATTATCAGATTCTGATAGAAATAAATTAGAAGATAGTTTTACAACAAAAATCATCAAATTGATTGCAGATAATATTGATGATCTTAAAAAGAAGTTATCTGAGGGAATATAGTATTAAAAATTTGTTATTCTTTTAGTTAAGATAGTTTGATTGCCATAGAATTATTGTTGGATTAATAAATTGTTCATAAAAATATTGTTAAAACAACAGATTCAGACTTTTAAATGCTATTGATAGAAAAGTAATAAAGAGAAGATTGGAGAAAAATACTAGATCGCATAACAAATAAATGGAGATAACTTTAGAAATTATGATAATTGAATTTGCAATATTATATTTAAATGTCTAATTTCAATCTAAGTCTTACTCTTTTTTCTTATTCTATTCTTCAATGGGAACCTTTAACTCAGTGTAAAAGTTTATTATTGGGTCAATTATGTTTTCTTTAATCAAAAAATTGTTATGAGTCATATTTTCATGTATTGACAAATATGATTATTCTTTAATGTGTGCAGGCAAGCTTTAAATACAATGACTCTTTACTTATTGTACAAATCTTAAATTGGTTTTAGGAATGTAAGGTTATCTTTTTGTCCATGAATAAATAAGCATTTGCATTTGATTTTTTGACTATTCTCTTCATTATTCAAATGATTTTCATTTAAAAAATAGTGTGCTCTATTTGGAACTATATCATTAACCAATTTATATAGAGTTATATAGGCAGACAAAATTATTAAGCCTGCACAATTTCTGTTAGTTCCTAAATAAAATGCAGGACCAGTCCCAATAGATCTTGATAAAATCAATATAAAGTACCTCCCAAATACGTAAATTTGATTATCTTTCACTGCAAATTTTTATTTTACATAATCAAAAACTATCAAAGCATCCTTCTCGATTTACTCAGCAGTTGTAAAAATTGTAGTTTAGTAGCCTCCATATCCTGGATATTCAACCAGCACAAAATGAGCTTTAACATAGTTTGTAAATCTGTCCAACATAGAAAATGAATTCTCTCTAAGGTGTTATAAATTATTACATATTTTCACCATTTCCATGGAAGTAAATTATATAATTATTTGTAGACTTATCTTCATTTTCTAACAAATAATATGGAATCCTATTTGCTCCTTCCATTTCGATATATTGGACCTTTTTAGCAAAATGTTGATAGTATCCACAACCCTACCCTGGAAAAATCGTGTTTGCTATTTAACGCAGCTATTCTAAGCTTTAGTCATTTATATTCTATTGCTACATAATGATTATTTAATATATTTAAAAAACACCTTTAATATAAATCTAAATGAGTTGGTTTAATTGATTAAACAAATAATATTTATTTACACAAAAAACTCTATTATAGAATAACTAAGTCAATTAGAATATTTCAATCATAGATGTAGATAAAGATATACTTATTTTCTACAGATATTATTTAAAGTTCTTTAGATCTGATTGTTAGATTAAAATATAAAAAATAGGATTCATTTTTCTGTTAACTCTCTGTATCCTTTCCAGTCAGATGGAGCCTTAAAATTACATTCACCCATCACAGAGTATAAAGTTGCAATAGGGCCATCATTTGGTTTTAATAATTTGGCTCTTTCAAACCACATTTAGGCTTCCTTCCAATTTCCCAATAAGTATCCCTAAAATCCTTGACTGAATTGAGCCTTTGATATAGAAGTATTTTACTTGGAATTCAGGATTATAATTTTTCATAATTAATAGGAGATCTTTGTTTCTATTCAAGTGATTTTCAGATTTGAATTCTCCTGCTTCAATTTAATTAACAAAGATTTGCCTCTTTTAGTCCATAACTTAAAACCTTTCCTCTTGAGGATAGTCTTCCTTACTTGGAGGTAGATTGTCACCCTCAATATCAATAGTGTAGAGTCCGATAGGTCTAACACTTCCTTTAACAGTTACCATATCAATTTGTCGTTAATACTTTTTGAGACCTGAAGAGAAAAGTATATACAGATCACTAGAAATGAGAAGTGAGACTCCGTATTATTTGGTTGCAGCCTCTAATCTAGAAGCCATATTGACATTCGGACTGAGATATGACGCATCAATCTTAAACTCAGAACCAATAGCTCCCTCAATCCCCCATCCTATATGCAATCCAAATCCCATCTTTACTTTGTATCCAGGCAGTCTTTGTGTCAATCTTGCATCATTTCGATACTCCAATATTTTAGGTTCTCTATTAATTTTAGCAAATATCTTCATGAAGGAAAGCAAGGAGCAATCTGCGATCATATTGATTTAATCATAGTTTTTCCTTAGAAATAAGAACTATAGCGTTACCATTTGATTTTCCCATTCTCCTCATACCAAGAATGATCAGAGATCTTCCAAACTAATAGAAAAGCATCACCTATATTTTTATTGGCTGAACCTTAATACCTATTTACCATTGCATGAACAATCTCAGCTATACTATTGACAAACACCATGACATCTTTCTATAAGACTTCAGTTGCATCAGTGAAGTTTCTTATGTCACAGAATCCATAGATAGCCAATTTCTTCTTGCCAGGCAACATAGGGTCTACATCTCCTGACGATGCCATGTTAGTTCCTATGATAGCTGATCCTGCATCTCCAAATCCAAGGGCTAACAAGGCTCCTATCTTAATTATAGCATTTTCAATTTAAGTTGTCTCTCTTTGCAGTTATTCTACTTCAAGTTTCATCTCTTTTGCTTCTTGAGGATTCTTGGCTATAACATTTACTTTTGCAATCATTCTCTCTATTGGAGCTAATGCCACATTTTTTGCATCATTTGCAAAGGCTAAAGCTCCAAATAGTAAGACACAACTGACAAACAATGTGTTGACAATGTTTATTATGGAATTTAATTTCTCAATCTATGAATTATCAGACACAAATAAGATAATTGGATCTCCAATGTAATTTAATCCGACCAATATTGGATCAACATATTTGAAATAATAGCTCTTTGCACTTTCTCTTAAATACTCATAATTTTCCCTTTCATAATCTGGTATCTCTGTAAATGGATTTCTTATGAATCCCACAGGTGTATCAAATTAATCATGTTAGCTTATTACAAAGTTCAAGGTTTCATTTATTTCTGACAACTTAGTATTTGGAATTTCAGCCACAACTTTAAAATATTATGCTGCATACTCTAAACTTGAGGATGAATCAAAATAATAATCTGAACTAAATAAAGGCATTATTAGTAGCAATAATATCACCAATAGTATTACTTTCTTTGTTGTTGCATCAGACAATCTTTTACTAACTCTAGATTCCTTCTTGTGTATTTATTCTTTATGTTCTTTTTCCTGCATTTTTCCTGCTGCATCGTCGTTCTGTTATTGCTATTGAAAGTAATAATTTTCAGGTAAAATCTATTTTAAACTACGTCGCTATTCATAACTGTTCCCTTGATCAAAACCCTCAATCACACTTGTCATATTATTTAGTTAATCTTTAGATTAAACTGTCTGTCCATTCATTGTAGTAAAGTGAGGAATCTCTCTGGATTGATTTTAGAGAGGAGTATCACCATCTCCATTTTATAAAGGATGAATCTATGTATGATTTGGATTTTTCATAAGTACAGTAGAAAGTTTCTTGGTGAGAGTTTTTTGAAAATCGCCTTCTTTCTAATAATTCGCTGCTTTATACAGTTTCACAATTCTAATCAACCTCACTAGTCTAACAACTCGAACTGCTTTAGAACTTGTTTTTGAAGCTTTATTTGCTTAGGATAAATCAGATCCTGTTTTGGCTGATACTGAACCTCTACTTTTTAATATATTATTTACTCTAAACCTACGGCCATATTAAATAAGGTAATATCGAGAATCTGCGAAACTGTAGAAATTATATCAAGCCAAAAAAAAAATGAATTAAAATAACCCTATCGTACTATTGATGTGATAACAATTTCAGTAGAAAATATAATCTATATTTTTATTATTTCTAATATTTTACTATGCAAAATATTGTTATGCCATCAAAAGTACTGTCTGCTCGTTTATCGAAACATATTATTCTGATATCATCTCCATATAAGGCATACAATGTCAATAGGTTAACTAACAATTAACTTATCACATTTTCCAATAACCTATTGAGCATCGGATATTTCTCTCTTGTATTCATTGATAAATAACTACTTTTCTTCCTAATAATGAAACACATCTAATTCCTCATCACTCGACTATTCTGAAAGTTCCTATTGCTCTTATATGTTATTCTGACCTTGTAATTGTTAATCTGTCATATAAATTTAATTATTCTGTGTTGCTTTTTACACAAAGAAATGTTATATATTTATTTTTCATAAATAATTTTTAACCTTTTTTTATCTCATCTTTCTTACTGTAATTTAATTAAGTTGATAATTAATTCCGAAGAAATAATTTGGGCATTCATTCAATTTACTCTTTGAATAAATATTTTGCTATTTTAATAAACAATTTTAATAAATTTCAAATCGATTCAAATAAATTAGTTTGAGGATTCTGAGTGTTTCAGGAAACTTAATTTATTTATATATATAATCATTTGATAATTAAAGCAATTAAGAAATATAACAATATAAAATTATTATTAAAGTAATTGAATAGCAACAATAAAGTGGCTAGGTCAGTCTATAAATAGATAAATCTCAATTTTATTTTTTGTGTTTAGTTTGTTTCTTTACATATTCTTAATCATTTTGAAGGTCGTCCTTTATGTAGCGCAATTTTTTATAATATCTATTTTTTATCATATTCATAGTTTTTCCAGGAAATGATTTTACTATCTTGTTAAAGTTAGGACCAACCTATTACACTAATTCTAGGATTCGCTTATCCTCTTGGAATGTGAATCTAAAATGCAATGGTTTATACAATCGATTCATACCTTTAGTCATTAATCCTCCTTTTAGCAATTTATTATTTAAATTAATCCTCTTCACCTGGTTGTTAATTTTGGATTAACGAGTTTACCAGATGTTCTAGTGATTCATCATTTTATACAAATTAGGACTATCTTATAAAATAAATTATTTTCTTTTACTTTTCTGATTGATCGTTCTACTCATCATTCATTGGCTATTTAATGAATATTTCATCATCCATTATTTTTAATATTTTATTTTATAAGATTCTTCAATAATCGATCATTATATAATTCAAATAATTTCTCATTATAAATGTAGTGTAAATTTGAGATGAATTCATAATCAATAATATTAATATTTTTAATTCGTATAAAATTTAGAATTTAATATTAAATAATAAATAGCAAAAATTCGATGTCGATTCAAATTATTAATCTACGTTTAATTCAATTCCAAACTTATAACTTTTATAGCTAAAACCTTTAAACATATTTAGTAAACATTCCGATTTCCTGATTTTTAACTTCCTCAACCCTTTACCTAGAAGCTAAATTGACTTTGTTATTATTCTTATAAAAAGAATTTCGAAATCCAATATGCCTCTCAAATTAGCTCATATTAACAGGCGACTTGTGAACAGTCTACTACCTCTTCCTTGTTTTTATCAATGGTTTCAATTAAGCTTTTTATTGGGTTGGCGATATTTGCTTCGGTTAGTCAGGTATTTGTTTATCGGAATCTAAATCTTCATCAGCCTCATTTATTTGAAATGGATTAGTTCCTTCCATTTCAGCATAAAGTAGTGGCACCCTTTTGAAATTACATCCATAAATTTAATCAAGAGTTATTGTGTCTGAATCTATCATGAAGAAATTTCTAATAAATTCAATAATAAATATATTAAATAGATAAACTAAATAAACTGAAACATATCAATTTCCCAACAAATAAACTCTGAATCAATTTGTCTCATCCAATCTAAATTTTAATTATGCCCTCAAGAAACCTCCTTCGTTTTTATCAGAATCATTTGTTCTTCCAGTAATTCTACTTTAAATAGGAGGTTGCACTTCATCACAATACAAAAATAAACCATACTAACACATCCATTTTTCATCTCCTTGCCACCTAATAGATTTAAAAAACTCATTTTCAGCAATTTTTTTTGTTAACAATAAGTGACGAAATTTGACTAAATTTTCCTACACTTGAAGAGTACCCAATCGTCACAAACACATTAATAATTTTCAATTTTAAATAAAGCCGAAGTAATAATCATTTAGTAATGAGATTAAAAGAAAAAGGAAACAAGTAAACTATTTATTGAATATTAAGGATGGATTAATAGTAAATCAAGTATTAAAACTTAAGGGAATTTAATTAATGAAGTTGCTGATATAATAAAAATTTTTAAGATTAATAATTATAAGCATCAAGAAAATATTCAAAGGTTTATTATAAAAGGATAGCTCTATTAATAGTGGAAATCATCATTTTAATTAAATGAACCTCGTTCTTTGGTTCAATCTTTTATAAGCGTGAACTAATATTAATATTTTTTCATCTGATATCTAGATAAAGTGAAAAGCATAGAGAGAAAACAAATAATAGAGAAGATGGGTCTTTGAATGAATTTTTAGGAAATCAATTTAAAAATGAAAACTAATCCATACTAATTAAATTATTTAATCTATATTATTTTTGATAGATATAACAAAACAAAAATTACATTCAAATCATAATTCAGAATATTCATTTTCTGTAAGGCATTTTATTAGATCTCAAATTCTATTGAGTTAAATAATATCTTACTATTATATCAATTAAAATATGTAATTTGATTATTCGTTCGTTACCATTTCCATTGTATCCTGTTTCATTTTATAATTTCTTTTTCTGACAATCCAGGATGGTATTTCACAAATAAATTTATTACTTTTCCAGATTAATTGCAATCAGCTAAAGCATGGAATATCCCATCATGATCTATTTAAAAATTGAGTTATATTTTAATTTTTTTTGGAGGAGATGGCCATTATTTTTCAAACAAATAATTTAGTCTAAAATATAATTTCCTAGCATACTAGAATGTATAACAGGCCACTCTAACATATCATTTTTTGATTATGCTTGTATTCCTATAACAAGTAAAAGCATCTAAAGAGTTTTCATGATTAAAAGCATATAGAAATTTTAATTTTCAAAGATGTAATTTTATTCTCATTCCATTTACGTATGGTTAAGAACAATTTATTTTTTGTTGTTCAATCTATTTCTATAATATTCCTTTTTTAAATTAGACTGATTCGTAAAATCTATTGCTTCATTATTTTTCAATATATTGCAAGCTTTAATATAACCTAAATCATATAGATTATTATTTATTTTTTTATTTAAATCCTTAGAATTTAGAAGTCAAAAAATCTACTGTGTTGAAAAAATAAAAATAATAAAAAAAAACCTTTTTTAATTTCTAATTATTAACAGATTGTTCATCCACAATACCAATTTCTATTCTAGAATATTTTAGAAACAATGATGTAAATACATGTGATAATTATTCTTTCATAATTTAAATTAGATATGCTAAAATTATGACAATACAGCTACTTTCCATAGAATCAATTGTAAATAAAGTTCAAAATAAATAAATGAAAAGGAGGAGAAAGATAAGTAGAAATGCATATGAATATGCTCTTTAAATTTAGTTTTCTAGAAAAAGTAAATATGCATTCGACACGGAAAAAAAAAACCTGCCATTCAGCTTAGAAAGATCTGAAATCATAGTTTCATTGTTTGTTGATTTAATATATATTGTGAAATTTGATATAATTTTCTTATTCTCATTCATTGACTGTTTACTCATCGAAATTTGTCTTATAGTCTTATAGTAACTAACATTTTAGTCTTATTATTTTAATTCTTCTAAATAATTGGAAGTTTTCTAAATTAATTTTCTGTTATTTGGCCTATTCTTTTTGCCCCATTTTATATAGAACATTTCCAAAGAATATTAAAATCTTATTATAATTGTTCAATAAAATACATCAATACATATCATATAACTCTCTATTTATTTATGTATAATTGCAAGAGAAATTTTATAAATAAAGTTATTATATAATTTAATCTATACTCGAAAAAACTAAGCTTAAATATGATTATAACAAATCAATAATTCAGATTCAATATTATATCTTATTACTTTTTTATCCATTTAAACTTTTTTACAATAATTGTTATCATTACTTTAATTAAACTCTTTTTAATGGAAGACAAGAGTTAGAGTCTCGTTTAAGGAAAATAACTCTTTATTGGTTTTTTCAAGTATTAATGGTAATCATAGCATCTTCTGAAAAAGACGATTTTTTTATCACAAAGTACAAGTTAAAAATATGGAACTAATATTATGTGTTACAATTAGAAAGCCTAGTCATCAATTTAATTTCTAATTAATAATCAATTTATCTTAATTTGATGTGTAAGATAATAAAGTTTAATATTTAAATTGATTCTTCATTATCAATCAGTTAAGCATAATTTAAGAATTGTGTTTTATAAATCTTGCAAGGTATTAAGATCCACGATTTAAATATTAGCTATATATTTTTTGGGAAAATATTATTAATATAAAAAATGGCTCTAATTGCAAATGATACTAAAAGCTTCACCCATTTTGCAGATATAAACACAAATGAATATTCCTACAAATTCCTTGATAATAGTAATTAGAAAAAATATACACCTAGATATTCTGTATTAAGGGCAATTGTTGGATGATCAAGCTTTTCACGGTTATGGCAAGGCAATCTTTCCTAATGGTATCCTTTTCATAATTGAACATAGGGGACATATATGAAGGAAACTGGAACAATAACTAATTGGATGGTTATGGAAAGTACACAACAATAGATGAACAAATTTATGAAGGTTATTGGGAAAAAAATTAGCTGTTGATATCAGAAATGGTGATTGACTTACCAAAATTTGAGACTTAGATGTTGAAAAAAATGATTGAACAGGAGATCTATAGCAAATACAAGGAAACAGATATTATAATTTTCGATGATGGTATAATTTAAACACTATATAGGTTCTTCGTATAGAGGATAATTAACAGATAACATGTAGGATGGGTGGGGAGTTTAAATTTATTTGAGTGGTATGAATATTCTAAGAAAAAACTAGGTTAAATGTATGAAGGTCAATGGAAGAACGGAAAGTATGATGGGTATGGTATCAAATATTTTGTCAACGGGGATGTATATATTGGACATTGGAAGAACGACGAGGCAACGGGTTATGGGGAGTACAAATATGTCGAGGGAGCATTTTATCGGGGATATTGGCTACACAGCTTTAAACATTATTTTGGGATGGAGTAATGGAATGAGACAGCTAAATACATTGGGGAATTCTAAAAAGGATTTAAACATGGTAAAGGAATATTGACATTTAATGATAATTCAACTTATGACGGAGAATTTATCAATGACGAAATCTAAGGTTATGGGGAATATCGTTGGGTTGATGGTCGAACTTATGTAGGAGGATGGTTTAAAAATAAAATGTAAGGCAACGGAAAAACTACTTGGCCTGATGGAAGAATTTATGAAGGGTCATATGATTAAGACTTGAAATAAGGGTTTGGTTTGTTTTGTTGGCAAGATGGTAAGAAATATATAGGAAATTGGATGTAAGGGAAATAACATGGAATAGGAATCATGTATGCATAAAATGGTGATTATAAATTTGGAGAATGGTTTGAAGGAAAGAGGAAGAGATGGTTGGATTAAGTTTAGGATTCCGACATAATTGAGGCATTTAAAGCTGATCATCAATTGTAATTTCTCACTTCTATTTTAGTGAAATTATTAAGTAGATTGCCACTGATAAAACTGATGAATCTCCGTTGAAAGTGTCAGACAGTATTTGGTCTATGCCAAGAATCAGTGATAAACAACTCATTAGTAGATTTAGTTTAACTTTGGCTTAAAAAGATGGTTAATTTTATATTGGAGAAACAATTAGAGAAGAAAGATCTGGAAAAGGAAAACTGTTTTCATCAGATGGTTCATTATATGATGGCTATTGGTCAAATGATAAGAGACATGGATATGGCAAGTAAGTCTATTCAAATGGTGACACTTATGAAGGCCATTGGATATGTGACAAGTAAAGCGGAATTGGGAAGATGATTTATTCGGATGGCAGTATATTGGAGGGATTTTGGAATGGTTAGATTTTAGATGGATATGGAAAGTAAACATGGCCAGATGGTTAATATTATGAGGGTTATTTTAAAAATTGTTTAAGACAAGGAGAAGGAAAGCTGTTATTCAAAGATGGTTCATATTATGAAGGGTAATTTGAATCGAATGAAATTATTGGTAAAGGGACTTTTACTTGGAGTGACGGTTCATAATATAAAGGATTTATGAAAAATGGTTTAAAACATGGCTAAGGCACATACATTAATTGCGATGGGGATTTTCATATTGGATAGTAAACATAAATAATACTAAATATTTAGATTCTACAAAGACACTTGTCATGGGGATGGAACTTATGAGTATAATGATGGTAAAATCTACATTGGATCCTGGTTCCATGGAGTAAAGCATGGAAAAGGAACTCTTAAACTTCCAAATGGATAAAAGTAGGAATTAGTATATATTTTTGGAGAATTAAAAAATTGATTAATCTCTTTCTCTTACTTTAATTTTATAAAGCATAATAATTTAATGTTAAATTTATTATATCTTTCCAGATATGTTTTCTAAAAAGCTGCTGTATTGTTGGTTATTGAATCAAAATTTAATATCAAAAAATAAAGCGAAATTAAATTTTCATCTCAAATTATATGATAATATAATTTTATTATTGTTTTAATCTCTTGCCTTTTATAAATATCACTTATATGAATCAACTTATTATATTAAATCTTTATAATAATTTACCAATATTCAAAATTATGGATAAGTATTCGAAAGGCCATTAAAAGAATGACTTAAAACAATTTTTGATAAGTTTCTATGTAATGTCTGAATTATTGAGAATTGATTATTATTTTATGTTATTTTCATTTAAATTAGGTTTATTTCTTTTAACAATTACTATTACAAATAGCAATATTATTTATCGATAAACATATTTATGAAATCAGATAAATTGATTTAGAAATAAAATTTATAAAGATAGATAAATTATAAAATCATGACAGAGTCAAGACCTTATTTTATTCCTTCTTGTATGGCATATTAACTACTTAGCTGCTTCATCCAAATCGAATACTAAACGATAAAATGCTACTTAATCTAATTATGAAGCATTACTTTCTCAATTTAGCCAAAGCAAAAGTACTTCCAATAAGTTAACAAAAACTCCATCTTCAATCATTTAGTATGACAAATTTTATGTTCAATAACTGTAATAATAAATAACAGATTTAAAAGAGTAGGTAAGTATTTTATTCTAAGAAAACCAGAGATTATAGTAACGATAAGACAGACAATTACAAGTAATGAAGTTCTTTTTTTATTTTAGAGGATAAAAGAGCAATATTAGTTATTAACAAAATTTAGCAATGTTATACAATAAGTGCAACAATTAAAAATAGAAAATCTAGCTCTTCGATAAAATGTTTAATCTCTTAAACTAGATTTTACTATTCAAATGAACCCATTAAAATAATTATATCATCATATTATCCAAATACCAAAGTAATAAATCAATGACATTATGTAAATAAGAATACAATAGCAAGAAAGTATAAATATCATAAATCATAGCCTAAATTTCTCAATAAAAAAATAAAGTTGAGATTCTCAATCTGGAACGAACACAACTATTAGAGTTATGCTCGAAATAAGAAGAAGAATTGATTTCAATATTATAAAAGTAGATTTCTAGCTGAGTTAATCACTTTGATGGTGAATTTTATTTATATCCTTTTTATGATATCATTAAATGATTTAAAAAATAAAGATATTTCTTATTAAGAAACAAAGTTTAATAAATATTATCTGTTCTTAGGATAATATTATTTCTGAAACTCAAAATGAAAGAACTCATATTAGCTTATGCTTATTCTAGATACAGAAGATCATGAGTACTATTAATAGTTTTATAAACTTAAAGTACTTAAATGATTATAACACTATCAAGAGAGATTTCCTAAATGTAGACTTATATATTATTAGGGGTTGTTAAATCTTTTTAATTTTGGATTTTATCAAACTCGAAATATATAATCGAAAGTTAATACAAGAAGTGAATTGATCTTGATTTTGAGCACATGTGTAACGTAACGTCTTGAAATTTATAATTAATATACAACTTTCTTAAAACAATCATGTTTTAAAATAATTGATATAAAAATTTTGACTTTATAATTATTTTTTATAACTTTAAAAACTGATCTTAATTAAGAGTGAGAATCATAATGGATTAGATATTGAACTTATTTTTATACATCATAATGATTGATCTCCATCTGATTATTATTAGTATTCTTCATCATCTTGATCATCCTATTCTTCTACAATCTCACCTTATTGAGAATTTATTGGTTAATCATATTCATTGGCAACATTAATTATTTATTACTACTCCACATGGTCTTATATCCATATTTTAACAGTTTTATCATCACTTGCTGTTAATAATTGTGCTGTCTGGCTATGCCAATCAACGAAATTAATGGGTTAATTGTGTCCATCAATCACATTTTATTGTAATTGATTGTTTTTATTAAAAAAATATACTTTACCATCTTGACTACCGACACAAACATAATTATCCTTCTTACTACCAAAGCAGCATTTCATCTCTATGCCTTTAACTTAAAATCCAAAAAAAACATGTAACTTTTAGAATGTCTTTAGACTCCATAGATGTAATTTTGGTTTTTCTTTTGAAACATTTAAAACTAAGAATTATTGATTTTAGCTGACAGCTGATGAAACTATCAACTCTTATTCTTCCATATGAGTTATTATTTTATTAAATTTAGAATCATTTTCAATTACAGTAATTGAAAATATTGCAGCATTGTGAAGTAACAAGTATTAATCAGTTAATAGAATATTTTTAACCACTTTGCTCTTTATTTAATTCACTAATTTACCATTATCTTACCATATACCTATCCATCCATCTACACCTCCACTAAATAATTGACTTATTATAAGATATTAAGATACTTTTTAAAGTAAGCCAAGCATAAGACTTCATTGGTATGTTAACTCATAGTTACTTTTAATTAGGCAGTTTATACATCATAACAATTAATTTTTTTATCATTTGATGCTGAAAACAACCTAATCATTTAAAATTATTCAGTTTTACAATTTATCATCTGATGAAAAGACTAGTGAATTTATATCCATCTAATGAGCTTTGCTTATTTTCTATTGCTATTCCTTTGAAATAATATATATTGAATTCTTCTTGGTTGCACAACCAATCCATGTACCTGAATTAGAGAATTTGCCAATCCACACTTCATCATCGAAACCCTAAAAATGAATTGAATTATTTTTAGGTATTTAATAGGATTGACAATTATGATCAAGTAATAAAGAATAATTCTTATTCTCGCTGGAATCATTGTGGTATGGACAACGTTTAATTTGATACTCTAAAGCCTGATCAATCACTTTATCAAATTGTGTTTTTAATGAAAAGTCTCCAAAATTTATAAGGTTAAGGGTTTTTTAATAAAGTTACAATCTTTGTTCCCTTTAATCCATTGGTATTCCCAATTAAACATATAATTGGGAAGCATCTTCTGGAAGAAATATCATTCTATTTTTATTTATTAGTATTTACTTAGCTAAAACCTGCGATTCTTGTTCATTAAATTCCGACAATTACCTTAATAAATTGACCGCTTGCTCATAATTTCTTTATTGAACTATTTCTAAGTACAATTATTTTTATATCTCGTATTATAATTTCTATTTTAAATAATAGAGTACCCTATTGATCATGTCTGAAAAGTCTAATTGTTGTAAAATGTTTTCATAGTCACCATTTAAAAAGGATTCCTTTAACTCACTCATTTAAGTAGTGTCTAATTTAGTTTGAGATTCATCCTCAAGAATTTTACAAGCATCATCATATCCCATCTAACTCAATTCTTAAAGAATCATTCTTACTATCTCCTTCAATCTATCAGGAGAGTCATCAATACTTATAGATTGTACTTCTTATAGAGCGAGATTGTCATAAACTTGCATTTATTAAATTATTATTATTCAATTATAATTATTTTGATGAAATGAGATAAATAAATATATGTTTCCATACTACAAATTGTAATAAGTATATTTATAGTTGTATTCGGGGAGGAATTATTACATTGAGAGAATTCATGTAATTATCTAAAGGGTTGGTTATTGTTGAATATTATATTATTATCTCAAAAGTTCAAACAATTTAATTCTAGGAAAAAATAGTTTACAATAGTTTAATATGGAAATTTAACATTAAAATAGATAGTTATAAATCTTCATATTTGAATATTAAATAATTAGTAAAGAAGGCAAAATTAAAGAGATAAACTTTCTATTAAAAGTTCTTAAAACAAACATTACATTTACATTATGATTGCATTCCTATAGATCTATTTAAATCAATATATTATTTTCTTGTTCTTTGGAATCGTATCCTGAATCTGAAAATTATTGAAATCATGTTTTTTAGACCAAAATATTAATAAGGTAATTTAATAAAACAAGTAAGTTAAACAAAAATCAAAATAATACAGATTTTGAAGTTTTTACTTAAATATTTTAGTTAATAAGTTTTAATAACTAATATTTGTATTTGAGTATAAAATCACAACATTATACTCTGATAGAACTCCAAATAATTAATTTCTTATCTCGTTTTCAATAATGAATATTATCTACTCTACTTGCAAGACATCCAGAAATAACTATCTACAAAAGGATAGGATTGCCAGACGTTATCTGTTTTTAGCAATAATTCGAAACTAAATAATTCAGGATCTGAAAAGTCAATAAATATTTGATTTAATGTATTTTATTTTTATTGTCTTTTAAATTGATAAGATAATAAGCTGCTTAAAATTTAATTAACATTATATTTATAAATACAAAATATGAAGGCAGCAATAGAAAAAGTTAAAGGGAATTTATAATGTCATAAATTGACAATTAAGGAGATTGTTCAGGAGGTTCTTAAAAAATCTGATATAGATTTTGAGGATGATGAAGATCTTAAAGTAAGCTATACAAGGGTATTCATTTATAGAAGATTGTGGCATTGCTTTAGAAAGATCCGAATCAAAGAACATAACTGGATGTGGATAAAATTAGATTGTCATTCTTTAGATTCAAGTTTTTCTAAGAATTAGAATAATCGATGGGTGCTGATATGGTTTAAGGGTTATACAAATAATTGGGTTATGAATTGCAGAAAAAAAGACAGATTATTTTTAACATCGGTGATATCGGAAAAAAGTTTTATATAATTCTGAAGGGCAGCGTTTGGGTTTTGGTGTAGAAGAAGGGATTGTAGGAAGGTTCTGGTCCTACAGAAGAAGATTAAAAATAAGAAGAACAATTAAAAAATGAGAAGAATAAGGAAATGATGGACAATGCGAAAAAGAGTACGAAAAAGAAAAACATAAAAGTAAAATCTTAGGCATTTGTAACTTAAGTAACATTAGATGATATCTTTGCCACAATGACAGATCAAGAATATTTGGATACTCAATTTCCAACATTAACAAAAGTAGGAATAATAAATGCAGGGGAGAGTTTTGGTGAAATAGCATTGACTAAATAAGTGCCAAGGACAGCCACAATAGTTGCAGCTGAAGATACTCATTTTGCTACAGTTACAAGGGATTAATTTAATAAGTTATTGTCTGTTTTCTATGAGGCTTAATAAAAACAGAACGTTGGATTTTTAAGCAAAGTTGCTATATTTTCTGAATGGAATGAACAGATGTTAAATCAATTGTATTATCATTTCAAATTGGAAGAAAGAAAGCTATTCTAAGTGATATACAAGGAGGATGAAGAGGCCAAGTATTATAACTATTTAAGTACCTTAGTAATGTGTATTTACTGAAATAAGGGGAAATAGAATTGTCGCGGTTTGTCGATGTAACTCAATAATAAATGAGTCCAAATCTTACACTTCAAAAGTTCTTTACAAAAACCGAAAAAAAATTAGAGAGAGTTCGAACTACAGTTATTACGGCAGGTTAGATTTTTGGGCATGAGGAAGTAAGTGGAACTATAACTTTAGGTTATGGCTGGAACAAAAAGATAATATAGAGCCATGAGCATAAGCCAGAAAGTTGTTTATTTTGTATTAGATAAACAGAGATTCTTACAGTACTTTTAGAAGGGATAAGCAATTCAAAAACTATAAAAATTTGATGCCAAGAAAATAGGTTAAAGAGCATAATCTTTGGATATAATTAAAGAACTCAAGAAAATTCCTTTATTTGTTGAACCCAGAGATGTTCCATTCATAGAACCTCACTAGACCAAGACTAGAACCAAAAATTCTGTTGAACGAATAGGAAATCCAGTTGAACATACAGGATATGAAATGCTGCAAGGACATGGTCATATTAACAAAGCTCACTATAATTTCAGAAGGAATATTGAAGTTATTAAATAGAATGTTTAGAGTAGTGAACCATTATCAATAGATAAAGCACTATTTCATATTGAGGCAAGTAAGGGTTCTTAGATAAGCATCATCAATAAAGTAAGAATAAATGAGAATTAGGTTTTTCCTGCAGCTGCAAGACCCAAATATTCAATACCTGAATGCTATATTTCGTCTTAAACTATTATAAAATCTTTGAAGTTACCGAAAATCTTAACCGAGGTTGATTCAGTCATGCTTAATAGAACAAATAAGGAGTACTTGAATAGTTTCAAAGCTTCCTCAATCTATTCAAATGGATTTCCTAATGAATCACAACAGACATTAAATTGATACTCTTTATTCTTTATTTAATAGAGCCAATTTATTGTAATCAATTTTAATTTTCATATTTATTGATGAATACTTCTCTGCATTCATTTAATTATAATTATAATTTTTTACAATGGATTATCATCCCTAAAAAGGAGGGTATGGAATATCAATGAGTGGTAATATCCTGTCAGGCTATAAACATTATTACAAAGCTACAAATCATATACGAATGCCCTACGTGGAAGAAACCTATGAATTTAAAGAAGAGGATAAATAAGACCATGTAGATTTCACAAAAAAGGAGAAATCAGGAATCAAGATATTTGATGACAACACACTGGAATTTGAATGCAAAAAACTCACTATGCAAGATTTAGAAAAATTGGATTTATAGCAAAGCAACATAACTGAATAAGGCATGTCTACAATTTGTTCCTCAAAGAATTGTTGTAATATAACTGAATTGGATTTATCAAAGAATTCTTATAACGTGACAGACACCTTCCTCAGATTGATTGGAGAATCATAATATTTAGTTAAACTTGAAACCTTATTCCTTGATGACAGTGCTGTCTCTGACAATGGAATTATGTTCATAACATAGCCATTCACAAAACCAGTTGATCAATATACTTTGTATGCCACCCACAATTTAAGAAGAACTAAAAAGCATCTAGAATCCACTAGAGGAATGACAGGATAAAATTTTAATAGTACTGCTGCTATGACTCATACCAGTGATTCTTAGACTCAGTTCTCAGATTCAAATAAATTCAGAAATTTTGTGAACCATCTTAACAAATTATCCCTCCAGGGGTTACATATAACAGATAGAGGACTCTAATGTATTTCTTTTAGTTAGAATGTGCGACTTCGATATTTGAATTTGTCATTTACTAAAATAACTGATAAAGGAATGATTGAATACTTTAATTCTTCTAACAGCGCATTTTTGGAATACTTAGATATCTCTCATTAACCAATTACAGATGAAAGCATTAAAGCCTTTGCATATTCTGAATTTTGCAAATCCTTGATTGTTTTCATCATAAATAGTTGCCCATTGACTAATGAGAGTATGATTCATCTTTGTAATTCTCCTAATACTATTAATATGGTTGAACTCAATATTGGGACTTTCACTAAATCTTATATGACTGGAGATGCCATTAGAATTTTAAGTGAGGCAAAATACATGAGTGCCTTGAAGAATTTGAATTTGGATGGACAACCATTTCCAGAAAGTAATCATGATATTGTAAATTTAAAGTCACCCTTCTGAAGTTCATCAAGAGTCCTATCATGAATAATATCGAGAAATTGTCGATAGCAAAGAATGAAGACATCACAGATAGTTTTTGTGGAGCCATCTATGAATTTTATCAGGCAGAACAATACAAATCTTTAAAGTATTTGAATTTAATGAAGACCAATATTACAGAAAGAGGAGTAGTGCAATTATAAGATTTATTTAAATTGGTTCATTCAATTGATAACTTGTCTTCATTGATAAAAAGTATGTATTGAGTTCATCATTAATTCTAGTTAAGGAACAAACAAGAGCAGGAATAAAGTGCTTTATATGTGATCGATGTTTGATGTAGTAGGATACTGAAAGGGATAATTACAGAGATAAAAAACCCCCTATAAATCCTCATAATTGTTTTATTTGCAGAACCAGATAGATTACAACAATTGAGTATCCAGCCAAAGCATGTTATGGATGTGGCAAAGGGTTCCAAGAGAAAACATGTCATTTGTGTTAAAAATAAACAGGAAAGCATCAATTATTTAGATGCCATCTTTGTGCAATTGGGAATAACAAATTCAAATGCTTTAATTGCGATAGAATGATTTTGGCTAAAAGGTGATAACTCTATAATTATTTTACTTATTATTATTTAATATGTAATAAGACGCAACAAAAAATTAAGAATTTCTGTTCATAATATGTATTAATGTATATATACATCACATCTTGACTTCTTTTAATCCGTCTAAAATGTAAACAAAAGCTGGAGAGGCTTAACCCTCTTTGTAATAACCAAGAACGATGTGATTTTCCATGTCATATGACTCAGGACAGTAGCTAAGTTATAAATTGCATAAATTACAATTAGAGATCATTGAAGTTAGCAGAAACCCATTTGATGAATTCACCAGCACCCTTTTAGAATGAAGCAACTCTATCTGGTTTGTTGGCTTCTAAGTATGCCTTAACCTTCTTGGCATAGGCCTTGAAGTATGTGACATAATCAGCTTTGGTAAATTGTGTTTCAGCGTATTTAAAAGCATCAATAATGTTGTTCACTTTTTAGGCTTAATCTTCAACACCACCTTCTTCTTCATCTTCATTCTTGCCACCGAAATGACCACCAGCACCTAAAAGTATTATTTTTTTAATTTACCAACATCAACATTGAGTGCTCCTTTAACAATATCCTATGATTGAACTTCACCAATAACACCTTCGAATTTCTCTTCCATATTGAAACTGTCTGAAACGATTTCTTCTCCACTGAATGCGTCAACGTAGATCTGAAAATAGTTTATGTTTATACCTTCATTTAATTTTTATCTAAAAAAAAGATTTAAATTTCTGGTCATCATAATTTATGGTTTTATATTGTTTTCATAATTATTTAAGCATCTTTAAATAGTTAATAAATATATAATAATCATAAAGCAATTTCATAACTTCTTTTTCCCTATTACCAAATGTGCAACCCCCTTCTTCTTCTACTCTTCCTTCAAAGCTTGCATCAAGGGTCCTTCTGATTAAGCCCTCATTTTTTATTTTTGTCTAATTAAATCTCTTTGCTTCTTTTTCTCTATTTTGTTCTTACTTGGACCATCCCCATGAAATATCCAACATTAATATCTAAATGCCTCTTTAGGTGTCATTAATTTTCCAGAATGATCTCTATAAACTAAATTGATTTCCCCATCCTTATGTTCTTGATCTTTAAAAACTCTCTGATCTTTATTTCTCCCAACATAATCATACTTAGATGGATTCAATTCACCCCTCTTTCTAAGTAACTCTAAAGTTGCAGTCAATCCATGAGCATGTTATCCTTCTTCCAGAAATTCTATTCCATCTTCATCCTTTTTAATTTCATCATTATCTTTCTCCTATTATTCTTCTTATTGTTCCTCTTTCTCAATAAAAATGTCATTTTTTTAAGTCTCTTCCCTAATGTTCTCCAATTCCATTTTAGATTATTATTATCTATTCTAAACAACTATTCTTTCTGTGGGTAATCTCACATTTACAACTGAAGTAGTTCCATTTTTAGTATCTCTAATTGAATATCCTGTGTTAATTCTTAGATTAATCTCTTCCATTTCCTTGTCTGTCTTAACATTGCTTAAAAAATCAGTTGATTACTCAATGACCTTAATTTCTTACACCTCACTTCCTTGAATCTTTACTTAAGGAATCATAAATTCATTTTATTTTTGCTTCTACAATTCTTCCTCCTTTTATTTATTTTAATCCATAAGCTCTTTAATATTATCTTCTTATTTTTGTGTTTATTAGTTCATTTTCTATCTTTATTAACTTAAAATGGATCTTTGTAATAGTTCATAATCATCTTCCTCCAATAGAGCTTTATCTACCTTTGATATTCGTTCTTCAGCAAATGGATTTGATTATTATGGTTTTTGAAATTTCTTTTTAATCAATGTGGTTGGAATACTTGGCTTATAATCACTTGCCACAGTATCTACTACATTTAATGAAATCTGCTAATTTTTGTTTAGTTTGCTTTTTATTGCCTATAAGTCATTCTACTTTGGTTCTTCTATTATCTTTCCATCAGTAGCAATATAAAAGCCTTCCTTTTGTATTTTAATTTCATCATACTTCTCCAAGATTTCCTTTTTCTCTTCACCATCGTATTTTTAACTATAATGAGCCTTTTTTATTTATTCTTTTAATTTTTCATTTTTCTTAATTTAATCTTAAACTTTGATGTGATCGTTCTCTAGAACATCGTCTACTTCGTTTAATTGGTCACCATCCAACAATTATTAATCTGCCAAGCAAAGTATCAATTCTCCACCTGCTTGGATTTCATCCTCATTTACGTCTACTTTAATTTTATGTGACATTTTAATTTTATATATTAATGAATAAATATTGTTGTAGATTGTGTTAAGCACAATTCTACGATTAATAGTTCTCTGTAAATTTAAAGGAAAAATCAAATTTCACCATTCATCAGTATTTTTGATGTTTCCTTCTTTTTCATCCAATGGAACTGCTAATTTGACTTCTGGGACTTTGAACGTCTCATTCAAATTGATTTTTTCTAATGATTAATGTGATTAATTTACCATCTTCTGATAATGAATTAAAATTAACAGGGATGACTGATTGTTTCCACTTTTAATATTTAAATTTCAATTCCTCAAATTCTGAACACGCTTTAATTAAATATTTTAATTAATTTTGTGTCACTGCCACTCTCTTCTCCGGTAATTTTACTTGCGGTTTCAGTTCATTACTAGTCCCAGTAAATAATGGGATGGCAACATCTTACTCATCCTCATCAATGATTCTATATGATTGAGCATCACTGCTACTGTTTTAGTCAGTCGAACCTTTTTTTTTATCTTGAATCCTCTTCTTTATCAATTTGGTTTTCATTTATTTATGAAAATGAGTTTCCTCGATCATTTAATTTTATTGCTGACTTGTAGATAGTTGTTTGCCCTCTTCTATTTATTGTATAAATCGAAAGAACTTCATATAAATGACATCAGACTATAAATATGATACTAAACAATTACAATAATAGCTTTAGATGAGTTTTTTTAATCGAAAAAACTGTGTTGCTTTCTTGGTTTCACCTATTGTTAATATTTTTGTATTAAATCCCTACATGATAAGTTATAAAGTCATACTCCTCATTCAAATTCTTATTAGATTTGTGAAGATGCTGTATTCTGTAGAGTAGAATATGGTGGAAAATCATCCGAATATTGAAAGACCAATGCATAAAGAACTTGGTGGCCACATTCTCAAACAGCAAGTCTGTTATGTCCTTTCTTATGTCCACTATTAATTAATGTTTATAGCAATACATGGAAACAAGACATAGTTGTTGTATATCAACCAAAGACATTTAGAAACGCTGAAAGCATGTTCACATTACAATAGAATCATCCTGATTCCTTTTAAAAAGAACTACTAATCCAGAGAGGTTGGCATCGATAATTTGTGATTGCAGAGATACTATAAACAAGAATTGAGGATTTCTAAGCAATTCAGGAGAGCATCTGAATCAAAGAGATTTGTTTTGTTAAAGAGAATAACTATAACAATGTTCAGCAGACTTGTGTTATTTAAGAGTGAACACATAGCAGCTTTCATTATATCTGGGTAATTCTTCAGTTCCTTAGCCTTCATTTCCAAAAGGATTGCCTTAATCAACACATTATACCCTGGCAATTATTGATATGGAACATTCTGTTTGACTACAACTGAAATATCGATTAAATCACACCATTCCTTAAGAAAAAAGAAGAAGGCAATGCCCCTTTTGCCAATTCTCTTCTGCCATTCTTCCTAATTGATAATTTCCATCAGTTTATTGACATTGGCATTATATTTGGGTTGTTTAGTGAGATATTCATAAAAGTGTCTATTCCAATCAAATAAGTCATTAAATTCCTTGTTGGTGATTTCATCAGTTTGTTTAGTGAGTGATCTCCATTCTGGAATTTATGGATCATCTGCTCTTTAAACACTTTCAATTATTTTAGTTCTGAATTCAGGGATTTTAAAATAGGCACTTGCAAAAAAGTGTTCAACAAAGGCCCTTTCATTTTCAGCCAAAGATTTCTGTTTCAATTTCTGCAACACAATACCAAGACATTTATATAAAAAAGATTGGTAATTGAGACCTATCTCTGTCTTGAATTTCAGCAGCTTTTCACTAGTTTTTTCTGTCTCCTCAGAGAATCCCACTTGATTTAAACTTAATTCTCCTCTATTCAAAATCAACTTAAGGAGAACGTAATACTATTCCCTAATAGTTTCCTCTTGCTAATCTGCAGATTCTAATAATTTAGAGGCTATTTCAATCAATAATTTTTGAGCGTTGAACAGATCCTATTGAGATTTATATTCAAAACAGATGATTGACTGTTTATCAGTCTATTTTAATATAGTTTAGATAGTATTCAGTTGAACAGTTTGATGGTTCTTTAATTCTGATTTGAGAAATAACTAAATTAAGATAAGATATACTATTACATTTTTGGATGAACAATTTTGTATCTTGTATTGAATATCTAATAATTGCTGACCTGACTAACTTAATTATTGGATTTCCTTTACTGGCATCTTTCCTGAATTTACAACACTGCTCCCTTATTATATACCTTTGTCAGTTCTCACTCCTACAATTTATTGGTTTAAATAGGTCGGGATAATGACTTGGAGATTGCAATTTAGACTGCCTTCGAGGACTCCGTGATTCCATAGTCGCCTATTTGTTTGTTGATACAAAATCTTATACACTTTCAAATTATTCTCACAAATCTACAGGGATATATTGATAACATACTTGATCACTATTTAATGCTTAAGTAAATATTTGATTTAGATTGAAATAGGTTTCAGCTATAAGAGTATAATGAGTCTTGTTCATTCCTGATGTCACATTGTTGGCTTGTTCATTATACCACAAACACACTTAAATACTAGAGGAGGATATCTCTATGAGGGGTACTTCGACGGTCATTTCAACTCCAGATTATTTGTACACAATTTATTTGATAACTTATTATTTGGCTTACGCACTATTGTTTGTGGATTATTAATTCTTTTGATAGGCAGGATTCAAGAATGCATCTGAGTATTCGCTTTAGAAACACAAGACTGAAGTGACCATTTTAAGTGAATAATAATACTCTGAATGTATTAGTGGTTCGTTCATATTAAATTCCATCAACTGTGGCACAATGCTTACTTTAATGATTTACGCAATTTTAAAATCAAAGCTTATTTTCCCCTATTATTGTTTCTTATTAATTAAACCAGTATATTCATAATCCATGTGCTATGGCCCAGTTGCTATTAAAAACAAATTTATTTAAATCGAAGCTATATTCTCATTATTCGGTGTCAGCAATGTCACAATCAGATGCTACTTCTTCAATTGTTCTTCTGTTGTAGACATTTAAAAAGCATGGGTCTGTTTAAACTACATTATAGCAATTAATCACTCTTTTACATATAATTTTCCATAAAGTTCTTTCGAGCATTCTGTTTCAAATTAGTCATATTCACCTATTTTCATTGATATTTTGCCAGCTGGCTATAATACTATAATCACTCGATTAAAAATACCAGATTGTCCATCTTTACCTTAATGCCCGATATTTTCACATTAAAGTCCAAAGTACCTTAAGTTAGGATAGGTATTGATTCAATATCTGTAACTAGATTCTCCCTTTACTAAGACTTTCCTGCACAAATACCCATATAATTATTAATATGTATCTAATATAATATATTTAATATTAATCATAAGTCCTCTTTATAGTATAAATTTAAAAATTGAACCATTTCCATTGAAATCCCTGTTTTTTAGTATTCACTTTCCTCTTTTTTTGTTCTTCCTTAAAATTGAAAATAATTACTAATACTTTTTTTTTTGGATCATTATTTTATTTTTGGCTTAATATTTATAATTCACTTTTGTATGAAATAAATTTATTCTCCTTTTTATCCTAAGAATTGAATATCCAAATTCATCTAGTTGCTACCATCAAATAGTAAGATAAATTCTATCCATTTCTTATTTAATTACTACCGATCAAATACGTCAGGTAATCCATTTTAGGGAGTATTGAATTGTTATGTGTACTAAATAAATGGAAGTCTAACTCAATCACTTTTAATACTCTTACAAAAGACTCTTAATTATCATCGTAATTTAACTGCAATTTAATAGTGCTACTTTAATATAATTTTAATGATTATTATTTTATCAATCGAATGGAAGTGCAGAATATTTTGGAATACCTTTAAATCGATACTAATGCTTAATCAAAATGATAGTCATCGATTTTACTCTTTCTAAACTACCTATTCTTCTTCTATTTACTTAGACTCTAAAAAGGTGACAATTTAAGTAGATATATCTTGAATGAAAATTTGTGTAATGATAAGATAGGTAATTGAATAAGAATATTAGTAATTTTATAAAGTATTAAAGATATATATAATTATTTCACAAATCTTCGTTTATCATTTCTTCTTCCAACCATTACCTATCTATCATTCCTTCACTATCAATCTTAGGTCTCAGAGGATATGAGGTGGAGGGTCTTCTCTTTCTCGATTTACTCTTTCGATTGTTTTATTGAATTAACTAAGCGAGCAAGGCATCAACATAGTCTCCTTTCAGGGGAGATTTAGGAGTTTGTACCATGGATTGGGACCAACGCAGAGTACTCTTTTTTGTCCTTTCTATATTTCATAATTTACTTGTACTTGTAGACTGATCCTTCTTTTTTGGACTTTTTGTTTTCCCAGGAGATATTTTTTTAGAGTGACTCTATTTTTATCCATTTGGTTTGTTTTCTTTTCCAGGCTTTCTTTTAATTGGACTAGCAGGGTCATCCTCTTCTGTAATTGTTTCTAATTGAGGTTTTTTGCCCATCAAGGCATGATAAAGAGATTTCTCTGTCACAACATAGTTATTCATGCAAGATACCCAGACCATTTGTTCTCCAGGATATACCAAGCATTGAAGCATGAATCGTTTCCTTGTTGAATCCAATTAAAGTAAAACCTCTTAGGTTTGAATTTTGAGAGCAACAACATCATTTAACTAAAATTAAACAATCACTTCCTCTTTGTTTGAAAAACTTGTAAATTCTAAATCTATTAATGTACAGAAGTTTAGTTGAATCTCCTCAGGTTCTGGGTACATAATCCTTAAATCCTTTGAAGCTCCTTCCACTCTCACTAAAATACTCATATACGTTAAAAATTAATTATTAATAATGCAAAAAAGCATTTTTCTAAACATTTTTTAATATTTGAATTAATATTTATCATAAATTTATTATACTATCAATAATCACATTCCCTAAATCTTCTATGAATAATTTACCAAAAAATTTGCAATAAAAAACGCTTTGTCATCAAAATTAAATTGCACACGAAAACAGTATTGTACAGAAGCCCGGTATTAAAATAGAATGTAATCACTACATTTCGATAATAAATATTGTGGACTAATATCTGTAGTAGATTGTATAAATATCTATAATTATTAAGTTTACTAAATTTATACAGTAGTTTGAATATTTATATGGTTACGTAAATACGTATAATGAATTAATTAAAAATACGGTTCTTTTAAATAAATGTGCAAACAAACTCTGCCTATCAAAAGAGTCAAAGAGCGTTCAATCAAGGAGGCTAAACAAAAAGTCGATTAATGGAGAAGCCTATATAAAAATGGAGAGATTGATGCCAATGGTCAAAAAATTAAATATAGCCTAAATAAAGCTGCCGAGAAGGTAGGAGTTCCAAAAAAGTCCTTAGAGGATTACCGTTATCTACTAAAGTAGGAATCTATCATACTATATTTTAGGAAAGCCTAAGGTTTGGTTGATTTCAATAATGTTGGAGACAAGAGGATGGGGTTTTTGCGACTCTTGCTTAAATAGAAATAATTAATAAAAAAGAGAATGTCCTATGATTACCAAAATATCTTTATTGATGAAAGATCTCGGATGCACGAACCATAGCATCAAAATAATTTTGTAGATATGATTGTAGAAGGAGATACAGTCAAGCAATCTCGGGATAATGAGTATTTTGATTACTCATATGTCCTACCGCATGTTTGCCCTACTAATTAACAAGATGAAGAAAATTTTGAAAAGCAGGTTAAAACCACTAATACTGATTAAGAATGTTAAAACAGACAATAAATTTTACATTGAACAATAATTTATGAATATCTATAAAAATATGAACAATAAGTTATGTTTTGTATCCTAGTTTTCAGTTCAACTATCTCTTAATTTTAATTAATTTTGTTAACTGCACATTTATTAAGGAAGTAACAAGAAAGAAAATAAAGAATCCTATTGGCATTAGATGATTGTTATTCATTTTAACATTGAGTTTTTGAGAATCTGAAAAATGATAATTTAATAAAAATCTAAAAATATAAAACTCGAGAGTTACAAAAGTAGAATTATATATTTATTAATATATAAGAAAAATCAAGAAGAAATAATTTTCTAAAATTGAAAAGCAAGAAGTACTCTTTTGAAATGTTTTAGATAGTCATCTATTCTGATAAGTATAACAGATTTTCAGGTTGCTTCATAAAAAGAATTCTACATTTTTATATATAATTATTAAGTAATTTAAATATATAATTATTATTAAAAAATTATTGAATTATCAATAAATTAGTCAGAAACTTATATTTACGAATCAGCAAAGTTCTTTTTATATATGACTTACAAAATCGTTCTTGAAATTAAATCATAATTTTTATATTTCCAAAAAATTATGGTTTTTGAAAATTCTAAATCTGAATAAATATATCTCTAAATCCTGTTTTGAATTCTCTCAAATGCCAAATGTCCTTGATTCAACTATTTGGTTTTGTTAGAATAGTAATAATCAAAAAGAACTATAAATAAATTTCAAATTATTTAGTCGAACATAATGTAGAGTTTAGCCTTCCTAAGAAACAGATTGATGTTGGATACTAACCTCAAGGATTGAATGATTATATATTCTTATTTTATTATTTATAATAGAGAATAATACAATATATTATGGGAAATTAATGTTAATGTGCAGAAAGCTAGGGAGACACTGAATAGGTAGTCACTTCAGCAAAGAATGATTAATAACTTTAACTAAATGATGAATAGATGCAGGCAATAAGTAACTCCGATAATAAGTAAACCCAATTTCAAATAAATGAATAACCTTTTCATACCCCAATTGTAACACCTGGAAAGCAATTACAAGGATCATCAAGATATTTTGAGGCCAAATAGCCTGCAGTTGTTGAGAGCTGTAGCGAAGAAAACTAGAACAAACAACCATTTGAAAAGAGTTAACATTAATATGAGTTGGAAAATGGAGCCATTTATAAGGGAGAATGGGTAACAAAATGATTATAATAATAAGATTGGAAATATCAGAGAAGGGTTTGGAGAATAAATTTGGAAGGATGGGGCAAAATACGTTGGATAGTGGAAAAATAATAAGGCTGAGGGTAGGGGTACATTTTATCATGTTGATGGAGATATATGTACATATTCAAAATATAGTTAGATGAAGGAGAATGGAAAGATGATAAAGCACATGGAAAGGGGAAATATACTCATGTAAACGGAGCATAATATGAAGGAGATTGGTTTGAAGATTAACAACATGGAAATGGAGTGGAAAAATGGACTGATGGGAGTAAGTATGATGGAGAGTATAAAAACGGATAAAAAGAGGGGATTGGAAAATATTTGTGGCCAGATGGGAGTAGTTATGAAGGGCAATGGTTGAATAATAAAATTAATGGTTTTGGAAAATATAATTGGGCAGATGGAAGAAGTTTTGAGGGTCAATGGGTGGCCAATTAGATGCATGGAAAAGGTAAGTACTAATGGCCAGATGGTAGAGTGTATGAAGGGGATTACATCTATGATAAAAAACATGGGTATGGTACTTATATTTGGAATGATGGAAAGAAGTATGCTGGAAATTGGTTTGAAGGCAAATAGCATGGGAAAGGATCGTTGATTCATGCAGATGGGCATATTATTGAAGGAGAATGGCATGAAGGTAAAAGAATTAAATGAAAAATTAAATTCACTATTTTTCACATTATTACACCTGAATCAACTATTCTTACTAATTTTTTTGGTGCTCCATTTGTTGATGAGACTAAACAGTAGAAATTAATTATTACTTTTCTCTAACTCGTCTAATATACTGTAATCTTCAACAATCTTGCCGAAAACCGAATGCAATCCATCAACCCATGAGCAATCTGTAAAAGTGAAGAAGAATTGAGATCCTATATTGCCATTTCCATCATTAAACATAGATATCAGCCCTCTCTAATCATGCTTGAATCGTTTTGGTTCAGCTTTGAAGGTTGGTCCGTATATGCTACATTATCCTGTGCCATCTTTATTCAAGATATCTCCGCCAAGTGCCATGAAATTGCTATAAACCTTGTGAAAAGGAACCTCTCTAAAATTTAATTTCACATCTTGTCTAGATATCTAATATCATACATGGATTAGATTTTTCTCCTGTGCATAATGCTCTGAAATTTTCACAAGTTTTTGGCATTTCATCATAAAACAGTTTAATAATGACTCGTTTTGGTTTTTCAGTTCCAATTTTTATATCCAAAAATACCAATTGAACTTTTACGGCTGTTTGCTTGCTGAAACTGTAAAATAATGAAGAATCAGTAAGCATTATAAATTATTGATAATAATTATTTTTCAATCAAAATATTCACCTTTTATAAGAAACAAAGAATGCCTTAATTTTCTAGAATAAATATCTGTTGAAGTTGATAATCAAATTTTCATTCCTTCTTCACAATAATTTAGGTCATTGTGTCTATGCCAATATCCAAGAGTTATTGTGAAACATCTAGAAGTTATAGCTTTTGAATTGGGCAAATCAAAATAAATCTCATAGGTTATTGTCTGCTTTCGAAGAAAATGAAATCGTAAAGGTCCTATGCGATCAAATTATCAAATACTTCAACAGTTGCATCATAACTAAAGGTGTATTACTTATTTTAGCCACCAGGCAATTAAAATAGGATAACTAAGCCTTCCTCCAATTACATACTGAATTTCTAACTATGTATCAATAGCATCTTACTTATTCAAGTGTCATTAAGATAATCGACCTATACTCAGCATCGAGAGGATCAATATTAAAATTTGGATAATTTACTACTGATTTTTAATGCTAAAATTAGACTCCCTATCCTTGAAACTTGGGAGTCGATTACTTCTTCTATGGTTATTGACCTTCTTCTTCAAATTCCTCATCTGTTGATTCCTAAACTATTACTAAGTAGTACATATTTTTCTCCTTTGCTTTATTTTAATGCCTTTTCCATTTCGACCTCATCTGAACCTCCTATGTTCAATTTATAATTCTTTTTCTTAACTCTTCTATCATGAACTTATTTAACGAACTAGGTAGTAAGAACCTTTTATCGATCACTTTAATCGATGTTCTATAAAGGCATAATGAGATTATAAATACATCTAATTGTGGAGGGGGATAAACACCCTTCACTACGAAGATTTGATATCCATTCTCCTTTACTGATAGTAGGAATGCTGATAGATAAAAGTCACTAATGATTTCTGGTGCTCTTTTATTCGTTGAATTTAGATTGTACCAAATGTTATCAATCTTTCTAATTGAAAACCAATGAGCTTAAGAATTGCAAATAAATCCACTCTCTTGACTTAATTTATATAAGCAGAATCGAATACCTCAAGTCTTAATTTTGGTTGATTTTTGAATCCACTGATTCAATATACAAATCTCCTAATTTCTTTAAGGCCTCAGCTAAAACTTAAATGGAGAAATTGCCATCTTCTGCAACATTCTATGACTTGTAACGATGCCCTGTTTTACCCAGCAATTCAATTTCCTATCTATCTAATTCTTAAGCAATTGTTGCTAAATCAACCTCATTAAAATAGGGTCCTTATAAAAGAGAGTTGATGCAATGCACACCACATAATTGATCATAGCCCTATTTTTCCCAATATATGAGTTGTTGTTGTTAATAATTCATAAAATAATTAACATTTATTTATACTGTATGATTTTATTAATTACATCGACAAAAATTCATCCAATGCGATGATAAATTAGTGGAATATTAAATGAATAATATTTATTACTGTAAATCAACTTTACTCCTTATCTCCTTTTTTTGCCTTTTCAGCTTCAGCAATAGCTTATGCTTCTGCAGCTGCTGCTAACTTGGCTTCCTCGATTGCCTTGCCGCATAATTATATTCCGATCATAGTATAATCACCCTCTAATTGATAAATCTGTTAATACATTGCGAAATTATATATTCTGATTAAGCCTTAGTTCTGATTCTAATGACTTCCAAATCGTTCTTTTGAGATTAATAAAGTAAATAATACATCTTGATTCCTCAAATCCCTCTAAATGCACTTTTTAGTAACATTCCACAAATCAGCAACCAAGGCAGACATGTGAACAGCCTTTTCATAAGAGATGTTTTTTTCTGATCTTTTCAATGGGATGCCTAAAAAAGATGGTTTCTTTTTATATTACAATCCTGATTGAATATCACAAAGCCATTTGCTCCTTCGACTGCTGACAACCCTCTGAGTACTTCGTCGACATTGATGTCATTGATTGGTTACTATTTGAATAATGTGAGAAGTTACCATTTCAAAAATAAAAATTTATAAAAATAATAATTACATAAATGAAGTCACATAGTTCTAAATACATCGCATTAAAGTAACTAAGAATAAAAGCAATAAATGATTACCTCTCTGGCAGTTGCTCGATGATGAGGATCCAAAACAAAGACCTGTCTCAGAAACTCTCTCACATCCTTATCCTAACTATTAATAGTGTACTCATTATTTCTTATTTTAAAGAAGAGTTCCTTTTCTGTTGAACCCTTAAATGGGAAGCTACCCTGAAGTAAACCAACAAAAAGAACCCCTAATGCCCATATGTCAGTTGTCCTTCCATCATACTTCTGCTTTGTGACTACTTCAGGTGACATATAGCTTGGAGTACCACAATGACAAGTTATGCTATTGTATATAGTACTAAACCCAAAATCTATGAGTTTAATTTTTTTATTGGTTATCAGGATATTCTCAAGTTTGATGTCTCTATGACATATATTCTTCTCATGAATGTATACTAGGATCTTCAACAGTTGATGAATAATATTGAATGCATACTCCTTCGATAAGGCTCTGTGTTATTTAACCAAACTGAAGAGACTCTCGTTTCCACAGTACTCCAATACTAAATTTATTGTGCTTCCACAATGATACACATCTAATAATTTAACAATCTGCTCGTGATTGAGTGCTTTCAAGGCATTGATTTCTTTTACGAGATTATTGAGTCGCTCGCCTTTTAAGAATAACTTTTCATATACTTTAATTGCCACTTTCAAGCCTTACTTATTAGTTCCAAGTCTTACTGTAGCATAGCTCCCCTTACCTATTGATTAACCAATGGAGTAAATACTCCCATCACAAGTGGGAGGAATCAATTTTAACAAATTATCATTCACCAAATTTTCAATGGTATTAACATAGGTTCTTAGCCTGATTTTGTGCAGTCCCTCTACTTTCGTAGTCAAAGGTTCCCTTGAACTTATGTGTTAATCCATTTGTAATGGCTACAATAGTTTTGGTGTCGTCTTTCTAAACAGTTTGCGATTCTGTATTGGAGTTTCCGAAGTATGTTGATTCTCTTTATTATCCAAAGATTTCAGCTTAGGTCTCCGTTATTGCATATGTTCGTTAAAAATTATATATATATATAGGTTTATTAATTTATTTGGCGCAATCTACTCTGAAATGGTTTGAATATTCCTCCATCATCATTCAAAAAATGGTCTGAAATTATAGGCTTCTCAAAATTCCTTTGCCAAAGCAATCAGTAAGATTTCTCTCTAACCAACCTGATATTAATAATAAATTAATGTCAAAAGAACAAAATAAATTCAAGCACATTCTCCTGGTCCCCAACATTGTCTCTGATCAAGCCTTCTTGCAAAGACATAAAACATTCCAAACCTATGTTAAAAAAGCTCACTCAGATCTCTACTATTTGTAACTGAAGAAGATCGGAGGGTTGAGGAAATCCATTGCAGAAAAGGCTGATTACGGCTAAGTTTTACAACAGATTAAAAGTAACAGACTACAGAATGAGTATTTGAATCAACAGAAGAAGAATCAAGGGTTTATGTACAATAATTAACTATGGTCAGATAAATACTATAATCAAATCTATCAGATGACTAGATTGTCTCAACTCTCAGAAGTTCTCAGCAAACAAAAAACCAAAGGCAGAGATTAATTAATCAAGGATTTCGAAGTCTACTTCAATAAACACGTTCATCCAATCAATGATGAATTTACTGAAATCTAAAAAGTCCTACCTCTTTCAAATTGTACAACCAAGTGCAGTTCAAGAATTAACTCCTAAAAGTTCTTACTCCCTACAGAAAGACGATTAAATTCCAAACAAGAAACCCAAGAGGATGATATCATTAGAGTCAAATCTCTGCAGACCTCGTTCCACAAATCAGTTAATGACAAAATAGTTAACCTTTTGGATGAAGCCAGCAATCTACACATCCAGAATCTGGAAACCATCAAGTAAGTTTCATCAAGATATTTAAATAGAAAAACCAGGGTATTCTAAACTGAATAGAGCTCCTCTCGAAAAATCATCTATTCTCAAATCCAAAGAAGAAATGAACGCATTAACATTTAAACCTCCATGAGGAATAGATAAATTCATTTTAAAAATAAATTTGTATAAGAAAGATTTTAGAAGGAAATAGAAAAATTATCTGCTTAGAACCTTTGAGATTTATATTATAATCATATTTTGATTAATCCTGATCCCTATATTATTGTGATTTGTCTATAGATAGGTTCCTTGTATTATTCAAACGATAGCTGCCTTGTCAACGACTCAGGTTGATCATCCGTTCTCCTGCATTCAGATTTGTACAAATGAAATGCTGATTCCTTTTTTATTTCGATACCCTTCGATTTTTCAAACCAATTCAACCTCCTCAACAACAACTTATTCACTCTCTTTATTAACTTTTTTAACCTCGCCATCACTCTCGACAATGGACAGAAGGGAAAATTTCTTTTGATTGTTGATTTTCTTACTAATATGATTAAGTAAAGGCTTTAAACAATCTAAGGTCCTTTGGGAATCTCCATTATCAGAGAACCAGTTAATCTTTTTAACAAGTCAAGAACCTACGAATAGATAGAAGCATTTACTTATGAAATTGTATTCTCACTTAATTTAGACTCGATCAATGAACACAAAAGCTTCTAGAACTCCAAGTCCATCTAACTCGCTTTTCGATTCATGCTTTAGTTCTCCCCGTCCAAATCAGTTATTTAATCCTTATGTGAATCCCCCTTTAAATTAGTTAAATGTTCCGTGCTTTCTATCATCATTTCCATTTCAATAGCAATGTCCCTCTTATCTTGCATAATAATATAAATATTATTTAATCAACTTTGATTAGAAGCTATTAGAACTTCCTTAACAATAAATAAGTAATTATCTATATTTAAAAATATATAAACACTTATTCGTGTGTAATTAATCCGTAAATTCTCAGTAAAATTTAAACTCCTCTGAAAAATAAGATATTCTGATATTATTCATGGGTAATTGTAATCAACATTCCGATAATATCTTCTCAAAAAGTATCTCTCGAATTAGCAATCAAAATAGTGAATTTACAGTAATTTTTATTGTAAAAATTAACCGAGAAGTTCTTAAAAAAGTTAAAATAAGCGTATCTCTTCTTAATTAAATTGCTTTTCATATATAGGTATAATATTTAAATAAAATATATATGATTAAATGTATCCTATAAATTTTATTTTAATTGTCTCCACTAAAATAATCTATGGATCATAATACTAAATTTCTAATTTCTTTCAAATAATGCGGTGGGTATTTCTGACAAGTTTTTAGGATAAAAGTTCAAGTAAACTTATTTCATTTTGATATTTCAATTTTAATATACAATTTAACCCATTCTGAATTAGATCTTGATGGTAATATCATTGTTTTAAGATGTTCTTGAAATCCAAAAGTTATGAGTTTTTACTTTTTTATCTAAACAATTGATCAATATTAATAATTAAACTATTCGGTTAAAAAAAATGAACGATGAATCACCTAATAGATCAAAAAGCATTGATATCAACCTAACAAAGATGTTAGATCGAATGAAAAACAATTCATTTCATATGTAGAAAGTATGTGTTGGTGATTTAATCAATAAAAGTCAAACTCATGTAATTGCTAAACCAATAAGGCAATCAATGACTCCTACACCTGAAGAAAAAGAGAATAAAGAACTTACATTTAAACCATAAATTAATGTATTATTATATTCTAATAAGAAATATCCCAATTATTTAAATCAAACTTCCTTTTTAGAGAGAAATGAATAATGGCAAAAAAATAAATTACAAAAGCAATAAGAAACTAGCAAAGCGTATTTAGAGGAAAAAGAAAAGATTATAAATAAAGAGTGCTCTTTTAAACCCAAAATCACTCCTCACCAATCTGCCAGACTACCAAGGCAGTAGAAATAATAGCTTCAACCAAGCACAAATACTATCAAATAATAACCAGTAATACCCAATATCACAATGCAAGCCTTGTAATATGAACTAAGGAAATAGTTGCATGGGTTATAATTATGAGAAAGATTAATTAATTATAAATTTTCATTTTATTGTTTATGACTGAAAAACATTATAAGTAATAATATAATATGATTATCTATTTTATGTAAATCTATAATTGAATTAGTTTCAATTAATTTTGAGTCTTAATATGAATTTGATTTTCATTAAAAAATGGAATACTTTAAGAATTACTTAAATATTATTAAGCAAATATTATTTGCCACTTTTTAATTCCTCAATTCAAATCTATATTAATAATAAATTATTTAGAGTTTGAAGTAGTGGGTTTTGATAAGTTTAAAGTATTATCGTATTTATTATGATTATTTTATTAATATCTATTTCTTTTTATTCACAAAGAATTAATTTTTATTAATATTTTTATCACTACAAATTAATGTAATTTTAAATAAGATTAAAGTAAGAATTTTAATAATTAAAATACTCATTATTTCACAAGCTGAAATACTTTTCCAGATTCACTGCTTTAGAGTATTATTAGAATTAAGATAAAGATTACATTTTTCATTCTAAATACATTCACAATACCCTGATTTTTGAAAATAATAATTTAGAAATTCTAATTTTTTATTGCATTGATTCTACTCATGTATTTCTGAATGTTTATAATAATAATCTTAAACTGCTTAAATTAATTCCAATTAAATTCAATCAAAGTCAAAGGGAACATAAGCTTTTTAATAATTCTTACTGATTGAAGATATTCATTGAAATAACATTCTAATAACTATTTCAATCAAATCAAAAGGGCTCTATTACATTAAATAGAAAAATCACACAATCCTCTTCTAAGAAATTTCGATTCTATATTTGTTTAAAATTCCTTTATTTTCTTATGTTAAGAGGTTTAATCAAATTAATGGAGCTTATAGGGTTTGAGAAGAGCTAAAATAGAACTTTTGAGTTGCAATAAAAGAATTTATATGAGCATTATAAAATTAATTAATTCATTTTTTTTCTTTTTCCAAACATAATAATAAGTCATTATACAAGTAGTTAATGGCATATTTAATTTGTTCTTCATCTGATTCTCTATCATCATCATTTTTCTTCATTTAATATAAACTTAATATTTACATGTTTTTATAGGATAGATTAGTACTCTTAAGGAATATTTAAATCTTTATCCTCATAGCAGATAAATTACCTTTAAGATTTGTGTTTTTTCAAATTAATCATTGTCTTCAGCTTATTATGATTAATACCTATTTAGGTTTCTTATGGATCGGTCCTCTTCTCCTAATTGGTGTTTATGCTGCGCTAGGAAATGGGTACTCGCTCATAGATACATTCTATTTTATAGTGTATATAATAAATATATAAAGGAAGAGATATTTATGAGAATTTTGTGGTGAATACCTCTTAACAAGTGACAGACAAGTCTTCTCTCTGTTTTTGTCTATCAGAATTCCTAGTTTTCATTTTATTAAATATTTTATTCTATAGATCACTATTATAGTTTGTACAACAATCATATAATAATATTAAATATTCATTTTACATTGTTTTGTAAAAAATATCCTTTTTCCTATATTATTCATTTACTTATTTTTGTTTACCTGCTAATACAAAAATAACTCATAAATGGATTTAAATGCATTTCTCTATGTAAACAATAAAACCCTTTAATAGAAATCAGTATGAAACAATTATCCAATTATTTAATATTAAATAAATTATATTTCTAAAATAGAATATCAATAAACAAACATAATTCCATCTATGTAATCTAATTATCAATTTAATAGAAATAGGGAATTCTTCTGCTTAACCATATATATCATTTAAGAGTATTGTATTCAAAATATATTTATTTATATAAAGCACATTATTATTTACTTTAAGGTAGAAACTTAAAGAGCTTAAATTATTCAGTTTTAAAGTAATGATTTCTGTTTCTAAAAAATAATTAGCCAAAATAATCACTATTATTTAAGAGGCTGATTCGTAGAAAGATTTGGATAATATTCATAAGTTATTAAATTAACAGATCTGATTTCTTATCCGAAAGTTTATTTTAGTTCTTTCATGATTAAATAAGATAAGCAGAATTTCATGTAGGTTCCTCTCTTCTTTTTCATTTCCTCCTCATCTTCTATCAAGTTTTGGATATTTGCAAATTGGAAATAGTGTATATAATCAAAATGAAACGATCTACCTATCATTTAGAAGTATTATTTCTAAAAAGACTCTCAATTACTTATCAAGTGCTTACTTCAATAATATCAATTAAAATTTTCGTATTATTCTAATTACTCTTTCTCTCTTTCTTTAACTATATGCATATGTTATTTTATTATGCTCTTAGTTTTTCTCTTCCTCTTTATATAGTTATTACTTTTTCTAAAAGAGGCTGAAAAGTGATATTTACTATAATTATTGTTAAAAATTATTAAATTCAGACAGTTTATATGAAATAACATATGTTAATACTTTTTATACTCCTTTTTTCAAATTCATTGATTGGAATTATATAAAATTAATCAACAGTGTTGAGAACACCTAACTTCCATGTTAAATTTATGATTAACAAACCAATTAATATTTTTTCAGTAAAATTAAATTTTTGGGGATATGAGAACATCCGTTGTTTTTATTTTATTATTATTGGCTTTAGCAACCACAAAAAGAGTTGAAATACACAAGAAGGCTGAAACAAAGTACATTCATGTAACAATATATTATATATAATCAACAGAAAGATGTGAAATAAAATGAAGAATTGTCTTATGGAACTTCCTTATTAACCCCAGAGGAATAAAAGAAAGCAGATGATGCTAAAAAAGCAGAAGAAGCAAAGAAGGCTGAGGAAGCAAAGAAAGCAGAAGAGGCAAAGAAGGCTGAAGAAGCAAAGAAAGCTGAAGAGGCTAAGAAAGCTGAAGAGGCCAAGAAAGCTGAAGAGGCAAAGAAGGCTGAAGAGGCAAAGAAAGCTGAAGAAGCAAAGAAGGCTGAAGAGGCTAAGAAAGCTCAAGAAGCCAAAAAGGCAGAAGATGCTAAGAAAGCCGAAGAAGCAAAAAAGGCTGAAGATGCCAAGAAGGCTGAGGAAGCTAAGAAAAAAGAGGAAGAATAAAAAAAAAACTAAGATGGAAAAAGTTAGGGCTCTAATAATGGAAACAATGGAAATGATGGAGAGGAAAATGAAAAAGAAAAAAACAAAAGAGCCGAATATTAAGAATGTCTCAAGGATGAATGTGCATAATATTTTAAAGATTGCAACGAAGATTGTGTCGACAGATTGAAAAGCTGTAAATAGAAAGCTATATATGAAGGACTTGATGCTGTAAAATATGGTTTTAATTGTAGTATAATCAATGTGTAAAAAATAACGAAAAGGCCAATTCTTTAATAAAATGCATTCAGACTAATTGTTAAGAGTGAAATTATCATAAATAATATTTACATTTAGTATCTTTTTAAAATTATTCACATAATTGATTATTAAATTTTATTACTNGATCTACCTATCATTTAGAAGTATTATTTCTAAAAAGACTCTCAATTACTTATCAAGTGCTTACTTCAATAATATCAATTAAAATTTTCGTATTATTCTAATTACTCTTTCTCTCTTTCTTTAACTATATGCATATGTTATTTTATTATGCTCTTAGTTTTTCTCTTCCTCTTTATATAGTTATTACTTTTTCTAAAAGAGGCTGAAAAGTGATATTTACTATAATTATTGTTAAAAATTATTAAATTCAGACAGTTTATATGAAATAACATATGTTAATACTTTTTATACTCCTTTTTTCAAATTCATTGATTGGAATTATATAAAATTAATCAACAGTGTTGAGAACACCTAACTTCCATGTTAAATTTATGATTAACAAACCAATTAATATTTTTTCAGTAAAATTAAATTTTTGGGGATATGAGAACATCCGTTGTTTTTATTTTATTATTATTGGCTTTAGCAACCACAAAAAGAGTTGAAATACACAAGAAGGCTGAAACAAAGTACATTCATGTAACAATATATTATATATAATCAACAGAAAGATGTGAAATAAAATGAAGAATTGTCTTATGGAACTTCCTTATTAACCCCAGAGGAATAAAAGAAAGCAGATGATGCTAAAAAAGCAGAAGAAGCAAAGAAGGCTGAGGAAGCAAAGAAAGCAGAAGAGGCAAAGAAGGCTGAAGAAGCAAAGAAAGCTGAAGAGGCTAAGAAAGCTGAAGAGGCCAAGAAAGCTGAAGAGGCAAAGAAGGCTGAAGAGGCAAAGAAAGCTGAAGAAGCAAAGAAGGCTGAAGAGGCTAAGAAAGCTCAAGAAGCCAAAAAGGCAGAAGATGCTAAGAAAGCCGAAGAAGCAAAAAAGGCTGAAGATGCCAAGAAGGCTGAGGAAGCTAAGAAAAAAGAGGAAGAATAAAAAAAAAACTAAGATGGAAAAAGTTAGGGCTCTAATAATGGAAACAATGGAAATGATGGAGAGGAAAATGAAAAAGAAAAAAACAAAAGAGCCGAATATTAAGAATGTCTCAAGGATGAATGTGCATAATATTTTAAAGATTGCAACGAAGATTGTGTCGACAGATTGAAAAGCTGTAAATAGAAAGCTATATATGAAGGACTTGATGCTGTAAAATATGGTTTTAATTGTAGTATAATCAATGTGTAAAAAATAACGAAAAGGCCAATTCTTTAATAAAATGCATTCAGACTAATTGTTAAGAGTGAAATTATCATAAATAATATTTACATTTAGTATCTTTTTAAAATTATTCACATAATTGATTATTAAATTTTATTACTAAAAATTATTTTATTTTATTAATATTGTCTTTAGACTTTTATATTAACGAAATCTAAGTTGTGAAAATGTAAATTGAGAATGATATTCTACATTATGATAATTTAGATGATAATGAAATTATTGTATAATTATAAAATCATTAACTTACTAATCCAGCTGGCATAGAACTTGTGATTGTTGATAAGGGTTAGAAGCCAAGCTCTTCTGGTGGAATACCAAATTCCACTAATTTTGCCTCATAGACTCTAATTGAATCATTGTATGCTTTAGTAGCATGATGAATTGAATATCTAAGGTTCTTGATTAATTAGTTTTTAGCTCTAAAAATAATAATGTTATTAAATACTCAATAGATTCTTTGATTTTGATTGTTAATTATTAGTACATTTATGGATCCATGTTAGTTCTTTCTACAATAGTTTTTAATTAAACTTCCTAAAAATAATTTCAAAGTATTTACTTTCTCTTCCAATCCGTCTTACATATTTTGTAATTGTTAACCTAATACATTATTTTATAAATCTGTATGTTTTTTAACTTCCATGGCAATTCTTTCAAATTTTTCTTCCAATTCTTATTTTTCACGTAGTAATTTGTCATACTTAAAATTTAAATCATTGCTATTATGTTTTAATTCTGCATATTTCTCTGTTAAAGTAGTGTTTTTTGACTGTAAATTTTGAAGAGACATTTTATGCTAAAAATACTCATAGTGAACATTACCTTTGAAAATTATTTAAGAGCATTTTTTAAAATGTCTCTTTCTTCAGTAGCTTATTTCAAGGGGATTCTGATATTATTGTTGGCAGCCTTCATGTCAGCTATGATTTTGCTATTTTTTTATAGTTTGGCATTGATGCTAGCTATTTCTTCTTTTTAATTCTTAATCAGTTCTAAATTCTCTCTAGTGATAGTATTATAATATTGTTTAAGTTCAGCAAAGGCTGTTTCATGATTATTAATTAACTCATTAATGTGTAGATTCTTTCTTTCTTCAAGTTCGTGGATCTCTACTTTTAATCTTAGTTCTAATTCTTCTTTGAGTTTTTGGAGTCTCATTTTATATTTCTCTTCCATATTTTGTAAAGTTTCATCAAAAACTTGTTTTGATTTGTCAAGTGTTTTTTTATTGTTTTTTTCTTCCTTTTCAATAGCGTGAATATATGAATTTTCATATTCCTCTTATAATTTTTTTAAATGTGTTTTTTATCTTTTCTATTCATCACTTCTCTTAGAAAAATGATCGTTTTCTAAATTATGCGCTTCCTTTCCATCTTTTTCGATTTCATCATTTGCTTTTTCTTATTCATACTCAAGATGTTTAACCTATCCTGATTGATAGTTATACTTTTTATAAATAGCTTTTTAATTGGATTCTGTGAGTCTCCTCTAATTATTCGGCTTCAGTTTCTTTGTTTACAATTTTAATATTCAGCTCTTAGATTTCTTGTAAGCAATTTGAGAAAAAATTTTGAACCATATCACGATCCATTTGGATATAATTTCTTTTTTGCTTTAACTCAGTTAACTTATCTCTGAATATTTGTAAATTCTATGTAAGCTCTTAAGCAGTCATCTTAGTAAATTCATCTTCTGGTTCTTGTGGTGCTTTCTTGGGTTTCGGCTTAGGAGGCATTCAGAATAATTAAATAAATATATAATATAAAAAAGTTGTAATTGACTAAATATCATTTGATAATAACGTTTTACCAGCAACTTATTCATCTAATTGATTTCTTAATCATAATCTCATGTTGTCCAGCATTTAAATAGTTATCAAAATATTCATGAGCAATAAATCAATTATACTATACTAAAGGTTTTAATGAAATCATCAGCGAAAATCTATTCTGTTTTGAGATTATGTTCGATTCGACACTAATTATCTACATTTAATCATAAAAATAATAAAATGATCATCATAAATAAACTTAAAAAATATTAATTTTCTATTTTTATGATCCCAATTTGCTCAAATGGTTATGATTACAATAATTTCAAAACGAACAATGGATATCCCTAAATATTAACAAATCATATATCTCCAATTAAGAATATCTTAGCACCAAGCAGATAGGAAATATTAATAGATATTCTACAAAGCAAGTTTAATGGATTCATTAAAGATGTTGAGCTAGCCAAATAAAAAATTATCAAGGTTATTAAAGACTGTTCAGAAAATAATATTTTTACTATACAAGACAAACCAATTAATTTTGATGACTACATGAATTTTATAGAAAACAACACCAAAAACTATATAAATGAGATTAAAAATCATCATAAACTTACTATAAACTTAATAACTCAGGAGAGCTCTGAAATCACGCATTAATCATCATCTTTTGATATGTAACAAATGTGTGATAAATGCTAAGTGATGGTTGAAAAAGACTTAGTTTAGTTGGATTGCTTTCATTGCTATCATCAAAAATGTGTAGGTGATTACATCAAAATACAGATTAATAATAATTGCAAAACATTGAGATGCCTAAATTGTCAATAAAAAATAAAAAGCTCAATTCTAAGAAAGTTTGTTCCATTTTAGTTAATAGATAAAATGTTTAAAGAATAATTAAAATCAATAAAAAATAGTTTCTTACCAAATCAAATCTTTAGCTGCAAGAAACCTGGGTGTAATTATTTTTGCATTAGACATCATGGAACTAAGGGACCAGTTAGATGTCAAATATGCGAAAGCCTTATAAATAACTGAATATATATATATAACTAAATCATATCAAGCATTTGTTAATTCAACAACTAATTCACTTCTTCTATCTATTAACACATTAATGTCCAAAACGTTAGCAGCCCTATAATTGAATTACTACCTCTGTTTATAATAAAGAATATAATAAATAGCCATCGGAGAGATCATTAGCGTTAGCACTTTCATAATAAATATAACAAATATCTATTTAATAATATTAAATTATTACGCTAGTAATAGACGAGGCCTCATAATAGGATTTACAATCAGCAATTGTATACGCACTCATATTAGCCCAATAATCCCATCCAAATTAGATAAGACCAGACAACAAGTCACAACCCAAGAATATTTTAATTTCTAAGGCTTGTTCATTCATCTTATTCTAATCGTCAGGTTTTAATTCTTGCTTTGATATTTATAATTAATCCAGTGCATAAAATCCAAAACCACTAGCCAACAAAGTCAAAATTACTGTGGTTCCAGATAAATAAACCAAATCCATTTTCAAGCAATAATAGCTTAATATTTATCTAATAAATTACTCATATTCCTCATTTGAAATAATTGCAGTCCAAAACCATTCTATAAATACAAACCCGCTTAGGACCTTCAAAACGATTTCTAATTTATCTAAAAAGTCTTTTTCGAATCCTATTTCTGCTAGCAAGGAACATAATAAAATTTCATTCAAAATCCTAAGACATCTAATAGTCGAAATAACAAAATCAGATCCTACAGTTTTATTGAAAACTTACCCCAAAAGATAAAATAGGCACTAAGCAATATTAATTAACTCATAGATATGCCATAAATAATTTTATTCAATTTCGATAGCAATTTATTACGATCTCTAAATATTATTCGGAATCCATTTATTGCCATTATTGAAGTTGTAGTGGAGACGGCCACTTCAAGAAAAGCTTCAATGCAGTTTGCACCATCACATTAAAACAGTGTTGCCATTGTATTTTATTATTTTTATAATTCAATTATTTTCAGAACTATGTAATTTCAAAATTAGAATCCTCCATCCTTCTTAATCATTGATACCTGAAGCTATGATACTCAAAACTATTGAACTAAAATTTACTCCATAGTTTGAACTTAAAACTTGATTTTCCGATAGCTTTCAGCTCATAGAAAAATATTTTTGTTTAAATTAAAATCAAAACATCAATTTAGAATTATTTAATTAACTCAAATTATCTATATTAATTTTGACATGGATCTAGATAATTTAGCCAACATGGCGTTACTATTTCGTGTTTTAATAAATCTATTGTAAATCATAATTAAAAAACTTGTCTTCCAATTAATTGTTCTAAAAATTACTACATTTTTATCTGTATAAAATTATATACATCACATCAATCAAATTATATCAGATTGTTTAAAGTAAAACTATTTCCCAACAACCTTAATAAACTCAGATATTTGTTTCTTGTTTTATAAAAATGAAAAATAAATTGAAAATTTTCTAATTGATACTGAAAATAAGCAGATAATCAATTTATTAGCTAAGATAAAGAAGACAGTAAATTGGATATGTAGAAACAATAAAGATTCTGAAGATTATTTAATCTTTATAATGATATATTATTTTTTAAATTTAAAAAAAGAGAGAATAAACAACGGACAAGATTTGTCCTAAGTATATGAAATATTAGGCTTACTTGGAACAACAAGATATTCTAGAAACTAATTAATATTTTAATCAAAGAATAGAATGACTTTAAGATTATATGGATATTCCCAGGTGTTTTATTTAGGAGTAAACATATCGTTTATATTAATATATTTATTTATTAAATATGGATCCCAGGTCTTAAAACAATTCTGAAAATTAGATTCATGGTGATGACAATGAGGATTAAAGATCAGGCGATGAAGGAGTACTAATTTTATCATCTTTAAGGATAAATTACATAACTTCAAGCACAACATTAATGAAGGTGGTGAAGTAATCCATGAGAATGTCAAAAAAATAGATATGAAAAAAACATTGAATGATACTACCTTCATTTTGACTTGCTTAAAAAACCATTTTGTATTTTATAATCTGAGTGAAGCTGAATTGTAAAAATGTTTATATATATATTTAATAGGGAGAATATTGTAAACAAGATGTTCTATTGCGAAGCAGCTGCATAAACTTATATCTTCAAATAATAAGATCATGCAACTTGCTTTTTTATTTTATAAAGAGGGAGTCTAGAGGTTATAGTTAATGAAAAGGTATGAGTTCTCAATTCAAAATTTTAAGGCCAAGAGAGAATTGAAGACTGGAGATGGATTCGGAGAATTGGCTCTCTTGTACAATGCTCCTCGTTCTGCATCAGTGAAATGTTTTGAGAATTGTAATCTTTGGGGAATCGATAGAAATACTTTCAGAAGAGCTGTTGAGGAAATGATAACAAAAGAATATGAAGAAAACAGAAAATTCATGGAAGTAGTTAGATTTTTTCGTAAGTTCTTTTATAATAATCCTAGATAATTTGACGAATGAACAAAAGGATGCAATTGCTGCTGTTTTAATTGTACAGAAATTCTATAAAAATTAAATTATTGTAAATGAAGGTGATCCTGGATCTTCTTTTTATATAATCAAAGAGGTATTGAAATTCAGAATAATCTTCTAGGGAACAGTGTCGGTGCTTAAAGGAAACAAAGAAGTTAGAAAACTATATAAGGGTGACTCTTTTGGTGAATAAGCCTTGTATTATAACACTGTCAGATAAATGACTGTTAGAGCAGAGGATGATGTTAAGTGTTTGGCATTGGGAAGAGATTCTTTAACAAAGATCTTAGGAGATCAAGTGCATGTTGTCACATTCAGAAATTTATAAAAATGGGCCTTTGAGAAAAATGCCTTGTTGAGCAAATTAACCAAAGCCTAAATTGACAAAGTGTTGGATGTCATGAAAATATCTTCATGTAAAGCAGGCGATGTGATTCTGAAAAAGGGTACTCAAGCCAATCAAAAGATTATTGTTATAATTGAAGGTAGTTTGAAGAAGAGTAAGTCTGGTATTACAGTTGCAACTAAGGCTTAAGCTTGGGGAGAGGAGTATTTCTTATAGACCAATAAGGCTAAGATGTATAAGATATAAACAATTATTTAGTTTGGATGATGATATTGTAATGGAAACCGATGGAGTAATTGCAGAAATTACTGCTGACAATTTCATTGATTGTATTTCAGGTGAATTGGAAGAAGTCATTAAGAAGAATGAGAAAATTCTTGAAAAGAAACTTCAAAAGTCAGATCAAACAAAAAAGAAGGAAGCTCAAAATATTAAGAAATCAGAGCTGATTCATATCAAAACAATTGCTTATGGTCAATTTGGTCCAGTCTATTTAGTTAAAGCTAAATATAATTAACAATTATATGTTTTGAAAGCATTTAACAAAAATTAAATTAATGAATAAACTCTTGAAAAGTATTGTTAATTCATAAATAATTTAGATATTTACAATAAGAAAAGTAGGTTTTAGAAATTGTCAATTTTCCATTTATCATCTCGTTTATGAAAACATTTAAGGATGCAATGGATGTGTATTTTCTCCTTGAATATGTGCGAGGAATGGAATTATTTGACGTGATTAGAGATATCGGTAATTCTTAACATAATATATTCAGGTCTCTTATCAACATATGATTCTCAATTTTATGTTGCCTCTATGATTCTAATCACAGAATATCTACATCACCAAAATATCATTTACAGAGACATTAAACCTGAAAATTTCATGGTTGATGAAAAAGGATTCCTAAAGTTAATAGATTTGGGAACTGCAAAAATAATCAAAGGAAAATAAGGAATTATTCGTACCTACACAATTATAGGAACCCCACATTGTATTATCATAATGTCATCATTTATTAGACATGGCTCCAGAAATCATTTGTGGAAAAGGATACAATTGTTTAGTTGATTTATGGTCCATTGGTATATGTCTCTATGAATTCATGTGCGGAATGGTTCCTTTTGGAGAAGAAGCCGAAGACCCTTATGAAATTTATGAGGAAATCATCAAGAAGGATATAACATATCCTAATTATTTGAAAGATAAAAAAGCCAAGAAACTTATGGATTAGTAAAACTGAATTAATAACGTTTTAGATTGCTATCTCGAGTTCCTGAAGTGAGATTAGGAGGATCTTATGCAAGTCTTAAGGGAAATCCTTGGTTTGAAAATTTTGATTGGGTAGCGCTTTGATTTATTAAGTTTAGGAAAAATTGTTAGAAAAAGAGATTAAAACTCCATATCTACCCCCGGCAGACAAATTGCTACCAGACATAGAAATAAAGTAACTTGAATAAAATGGCAGAATGATTGAGGATGAAATTAAAGTAAGTATTATATCTACTCAAGTAAGAACAATCTGTAAGACAAATCGATGGCAACAATTAAGGAGATCAAGGATGGGAGAAAGACTTTTGAAATCTAAAATTAATATTAGAAAACCACATTCATCAAATAATATACACTTTTTCTCTTTCTATTAAAATATATATGCTATCACATTCATTAATCTGATTGTTGTTTATTTTCTGGTTGCTTTCTTTATAAATCTTTCTCAATCATTTTTTTTCCTTCTTCAGTGACTTCTAATATGGCAATCAATTTGATCTTTTTTCCACCTTGATCTGGAGTATATGTTTGGGTCTCTATCTTCTTAATTGTAGCATAATTCTTAGATAGCAACTACACTTTACTTTTCTTGAAAGAGATTCAGCCACTGCGGCCACAGTTTTTGTAGCCTCACCCAAACCATGCAATTCAACTTTTTCGAATTTATTCAAGAATATTTTGGATAAGAAAATGAATTGACCTGAGGATTTCTTCAATGAAATGTTCAAAATTGAATCTTTAGGGTCCAAGGGTTGCTTTTCTTAATTCATAATAATTGATGTTTAAATAAAATATTTAAAATGAATTGCAATAGATACTAATTGTCATAACGATTGCGAGAATAAAATACATTAGAAACTTCACAAATATATGAGATGAAAAATGGATAGCAGTCATTTTATTTAGAGTGTATTTATATTATTAATTGGGTTTTTCTAGAAATAATTCTTTTTTTTTTGTAAAGAATAGTTGAAAACAATAAGTATTTTTAAATGGATACTTCTAATCTATGAATTTAATTAATTAAATAACTTTTACTTAACTTAAATGGATCAGAACCCAATCCATTTGTAAATATTTAATTCTTTTATAAATAATCTATTAATTAAAATTCTTAATATTTTTCCTATATTTATTTATGAGCGTATAGAATTTATATAGAAACAAATTTCAGAATGTAAACTTAAAAAATGTGATATGTAGAAAATCATAAAATTAGAATTATTCAGTGTTATACATTTTATTGGTACCATTAATTTACAACCTAACTATGTTTATTTGTATTAATTGAATAAGAAAAATAATTTTTTTATATATTCTGGATGAATCGGCAGAATTAAAAGGCTATAAGAGCTTCGTTAAAGAAGGCACTTTTTAATAACAGGAGAAGAAATGCATGTCCGAATCAAGGTCGTTAAAACTCATCTCCTTCTATTCCCAACAATCAACCCAGAGCTATAAATCAATAATTTAGACATTTTAGTGATGTCTATGAATATGGGGATGAGTAAATAGGTAAAATGAATATTTATGATTAGGCGAGGGAGCCCATGGAATTGTCAAGAAATGTTATAGAAGAGATCCAAATACCAATTATGGAGCTTCTGACAAAATTGCATATGCTGTCAAAGTGTTCAGAACTGGAGACACAGAAGTAATCAACACAATAAGGGAAACATTTAACCTAAATCGTGGACTAAACGATCTTAATTGTGTTGTAAAAGCTCTTGATTTGTTTATAAATTCAAAAAAAGAAGAGCATCATCTTGTGATGGAATACTGTCCATTTCCTAGTCTAGAACAAAGAATAGGATCCTTATGTGAAGAAGACATCTAATAGATCACCTTAAATTTGGCTTAATCTTTGTTTTCTTTGCACCAGAGAGGAGTTTGTCATAGAGATTTAAAACCTGATAATATTCTAATAGGAGATTAATTATCAATCAAATTGGTTGACTTTGGAGTCTCCAAAAGATTTTTAGTGAAAGGTAAAGTAACAAAAAAAATTGATATGTGGACTAGGACTGGTTCATTATTTTATTAAGCACCTGAAATTTTTATGGGTGGTGGATATGATGAGAAAAGTATTACAATTTAACTATTATTGTAGTTGATATTTGGTCAGCCGGTATAATTCTATATCAGCTATTATTTGGGTAATTGCCTTTTCAATAAGAAACAATTCTAGATACGATTGAAATGATTATCGATTCGAAATTGAACTCTACTGCTCTCAGTCAATTAAATCCTTTAATTCAGGATTTACTTAGAAGATTATTGGAAAAAGATCCAAACAAAAGACTGTCCGCTGAAGGTATATGTATTTACTATCGTGATTAGGATTTGTTCTACATCCTTGGTTACATACTACACAATAAAAAAAATCAAATAAAAGTTTTGATGATTGTGACATTGTAGAAACAAGAAATAATGAAAACATTTTACATACTTCTTAGATAACTATTTAAAGATAGAATTATAGATATTACAATCAATTAATGGTACCAATCTAAGAAGAAAGGGAATAAAGCTCATTAAAGAATAGTTGGAATTATTGGGAGAACCATGTTCATTATATCCCTCAAGATGTAATAAAAATGATAAATCTTGAGGATGGCTACGTAAATTAGGGTGGCACATCTTAAGAATTAGTAAATGATTAAAAGATATCTGATGATTTGACTGATTTTTAAATTGGATTAGTAAGAACCAATTCAGAGCAATTTGATTAACTATGACTAAAAACACTAGATTCATCTTTTTTATTTAAAATAAATCTCCATTATAGCCTGACATCTATTAGCAAGAAGTTTCTAATTTTTGTTCATAAAGAATCCATAGAATTGGTTTGAAATTTGTGTATTCTTTATAACAAAATAACTTTACTTTTCGTTTAAGATAAGAATTTCTGAAAATCTAAAAAAAGAAAATAGCATAAGCATACTTTCAATATCTTAGCACCCAATTAAAACTACCAATTTCTAAAGAAACAAAAAAAACTATGTAGTGAGGATAGGTATTTTAATTAATTATAAGAAGCACTCAAAAAATTCTTGAGAAAACACCTAAGTGTAACCATTTCCAATTAAAAAAGGATCTCTCTACAAAGTAACAATTCAAATTAGAATAATAAACATAATTATTATATAAACTCATCTATTCCTTATGATAATTTGAAACTGCTCTGATTGAGTTTTCAGAAATTCATGAAAAATTATTGTAAATTATATTTTATTTCAATTAAGTGCTTACTTAGTATAATTAAAATTCTTTTCATTTTACTTTTTCAAAGCAGCCAAGAACTGTATTTTAATCTGTAATCAAATAGAAAAATAAATAGTTTGTAAAGTTATTCATTTAAATAAATGGAAAATGTTTGACAATTAATAGATAATTACAAAACTGAATTCTGATGGAACTATCATTGAATTTAAACAATAATAAATCTTTTGTTTCTCAAAATTTAATAAATTTATTCCTAGGCAGTGTTCTTAAGAGAAATTTATTAAGTAAAGAAATTTAGAATTCTAAAAAACAAAAATTAATTAAATTCAGTTTTCTCGAATGTTATATATGTATTCATAGAATTTCATTTGTTTTTGTTTTTACTTTACGACATCGACTTAGTAATAGATTTATAGAAATTAGTATTTTATTAAATAGCCCCAGCTGAACCTTTTCGATGAACTGGTGCATAGAAATTATTTTCAAACTAGTCTTATGTCTACTCGAAATGATTGGGTCTAGAAGTTTTTGGGATGGGAGGCTGAGAATGTCGTGTAGCGAATTGAATCAATTAATTGGCAAACCCTTTGTTAGGATTTATTTAAGGTCGTTTAGATTTAACAAAAGTAAAGGCCTAATAATAGGTCATTTTTTTCTTCTCTATTAAATAGGCAATTACTATGGCTGCAGATCGGGAGACGCCTGCCATGCAATGAACTTAGCTTCTTATAACAGATCAATGCTACCTAATACTCCTCCTATGTTGAATCCTCTTTCTATCCAATCAATGGCTGTTTGAAAATATTAAGAAATATTGGTTAATTCGATATCCAATATTTCTATTTTGTGATGGACTATTCCCTCATATTTTTCATTTAACCCTGCAGCCACTGTTATGATTGTCCTGATTCCTTTGCTTTTAAGGAACTCCTTAGAGATAAATAATCATCATACTAAGTTGAGAGTAGACTCGTAGTCCCCTAACCACAGAGCTCCTCGGTCGTTGAGAATCAAATTGCAATGTTATTACATAAAAATTAATATCATAAAAATTGAAGAGCATCTCCTTAATACTCAAGACTAAAGAAACTGAAATATTAATCTCCCATCTCTTATAACTCATTTCTATTGAAACAAAATGTCAAATGTCTTGTTTCATTCGTAATTCTTAAGCATTACATAAATGGTAGAATTTGAAATCGGATGACATCTCCTTCCCCGAAAGTAAAATTAACCTTTCTAATTATATGATATCTATTGTCATTTTCTTCCTTTTTTTTCACTTCTCCCAATCTATTAACTATGAAATCAACTGAATTAGATAATTATGAAGAACAAACTCCAATTAGTAAATTACCCCTCAAGCGAATTACTCTGCATTTCCATTCATAGCCTTCTAAACCTGTAGTAAAATAATAATCTACGTAGAAGTGAAGGAAATCATTTTTTTATTTATTGTAATTGTATGAATTTCTAATATTCTAATGAATTTTACCTAACCAGCCTTGCAATATATAGATTATCTGTCGTGAATTAGTAGTTTGCAGTAAAAATTGTAAAAAAGTTATACTCAGTTAATGCTATTAGATCGCCTTTCATCATCCTAGCTATTTTCTCCTCATAATAATTAACCATGTCATCGCAAATTAAATACTGGGTGTATAAATTCTCCAATTGCTAATCTTAAACCTTAAACAAGTTTTCTATGCAATTCTGCTAATCATTACAATTATTACATATTTATCATGTTTAGACTCAAGATCACATTTTGGCATCCTCTTATGACATTTCTAACATTCAACAGGAATCTAAGAGCATTATGCCTCATGTTCCTCTAGTTTATTTTATAAAATGTATTATTAACAACCTCTGCATTATTTTTTTCTTTCCTTACAATTAACAATATGGTTTTCATAATCTGCATATGGTATCACCTAAGTGCAATCTTTTAAATACATTTCCATACTTGAATGAATGCATTTCAGTTCGATTTACGATAATAATACTTTCACCAGAGGTATTTCAGTCTTAATGAAGACTCTCTTACACTTTGGACAATTGCTTTCATTCGCGAAGGTTTCTTCCTCTTCTTCGAAAGTTGATTGTGCACTAACCATTAATGTAGATAAGTACTTTTTCTAATTTAACCAAGACTCAATGCAGTATTAGCAAAATGATGAGAAACATCTGTCTTACCCACATGCAATTGGTTTCCATAGAATATTAAAACAAATTGGGCATTGAAGTAAATCAATATTAACACTTGAATTGCATAATTATGAAATTGGAATTCCTCCTTGTTCTAACATCAATTCAGCTTCTTCTTCCTATTACATTTATATAAACTAAATTTAATAATAATAAATGATCTCAATTAATAAAGAGAAGATCAATGTAAAATTGCACTATATTAAAATAATATAATAAAAAATCTAGAGGACAATTAAACATTAAAAAATATACAATAATATTAATTAATTTCTTAGATAACGTAAGACTTATTTGATAAATCAATATTTAATCAAAATTTCAATTCATTAACAATAAATTATTGCCAATCGCTCTTCTTTATACCCATTTTTATGGCTTTGTCATATAATTCATGAAGCATTACTTCTTTGTTTGGGTGATTAAAGGGCAATTCGAGTTTTCTGTTTACAACTAATTAAAAAAATCGTTTTTTGTCATCTTAGATTTCCTCTGTAATATTGTCTGATGTTGTTTATCTTGACAATATACAATTTGCTTTTGGACTTTAATGACTATCATTTGAGCTACCATCTTTATTGAATATCATTATTATTTCTATCTTTTTTTGTTTCTCTTTAACTACAGATATTAATTTTTAAATATTAAATTAAATATTGTATTTCGATTCCTTAAATGATTTTGAGTTTGTAATGTCTTTAAGGTGGACTACCTCTTTTTGAAGGAGATTACTATCTTCGTTTTGTTTAATAATCCTATCTATCGAAACTTGGATAGGTTCCAATAAGGGGTCGTATTTGATGGATTTTAAGATGAGATTTTTCAGTTGTATGATTTTCCCATTTATATCATCTATTTAGGTTTTAATCAATTATTTAGGGTAATATTGAGATTTTGTTCTTTTTTGTAGGAGTTAAATAATATTTGTTTAATCTTACTTCTAATTAAGATTTGCATCCAAATTTTTGGAACTATAGTGACCTACTGTGATGGCTGATGTTTCAACTCTGGGAGTATAGTTGGTTGATGATCTATGCTTATGAGATTTAATATCATTTTCATTTGATTTAGATGGAGGTTGGTTTTTAGGAGTCGAATCGTTTTTGATTACATTTTTCATTTTGTTGAATTGAAAATGTTTTGTCTCAGGAGAAATCTTAATTTTCTTTGAATTATTAATTTGATTTATTATTTATTCCTTCTGTGGTTTTTATTTACATTGATGATAACTAGAGAGGATTTACAGAATTTATTATAAGGAATTCTTGTCAAATTTAACGATTGGTCGCTAATTTTTCTATGACGAAGGATGATTTGTCGAAAGACTATTATTATTCTAAATTAAGAGGGTTTATTCATATTTTGAATTATCAAATGGTTATAATAGGCTATCATTCAGCTGTTAGGATGAGTCTGTGATTGACGAAAAAATTCGCTCATATTCCTTAGGCAATTCGATATTCGAACCAAAATTTTATAAAGGTATTTGAAAAGTTCTTCTCTCTTCAACCACAATTTCATCATCAACAGGATGAAAAATTGGATTCATAAATCCTTTCATTTTTAATTATTATTTAATATCTCAATACATGATCAATTATTATATAATACGTTATTCATAACAAGTTTCTAGAATAGGTTCCCTTATACGACCTCATAGTATTATATCACGAATCTTGATGTAACTAAGATGACTATAGCGTAAGAATCACATTTTGGTGAATAATGATAAAATAAAATTAACATATATATAATTCAGTTAAGTTTTTTATGTAATCTAGTTTAGAAACACTTTATTTTTTATTTAAGATCATAGTTTTCTTAACTTAATAATATTACCTATTCCTAATATTTGTCAGTCTTCTCACATAATAATTATTTTGAAACCAAGTAATCACTTTCCAGCATCTAAACATATTCTTTAAGGTTCCTCTAATTAAATTATTATTTCCTTATAATTTTGAGCTGATTTTATAAAAGTTATAATTATGCTCTTTGTTCTTTCAATTATTTTGTTGATTTACAAAGACATTCTTCATATTATATGCATAATTCTGACTTTTCATCTAATGCCTTTCTTAGAAGTGTAGTCAAGTCTTTATCTTCATAGCTATCTTCGAATAATTCAAAAGCTGTTATATTGATATCCTCTCTTTAATTTTAATCATTTGAATGAGCTGTCTATTATAATTAATAATTCTCTGAATGCACTTTGTCTTTGCTTTCATTATGTGTTTCCAACTAATCTTTCAATTCGTTTATCTGAGATAATAGTTCTTTGTTATTTTATGTTAATTTATTATTTTAAAGCTTTAGTGCAGATGCCTATTTTGATATTTAACTTATTTGGATATTTTATTTCTTTTATAACTTGTAATGAATACATTAATTTTAATATCTACGCTATTTTTCTCTTGTTAAAAATGTTCCTTCATTAATTCCATTTGTCTTTGCATTTTGATTAACTGTTAGTTTAGTTCTTAACTTTCATCTAATAACTATTGATTAATATTTGTTAACTAATTGATAGTGTTCCTATCAAACATCTATTAATTCTCTTTCATTTCCAACTAGAATATGAAAATTGTTATACCTCTCTATCAAGTGAGTAAACCTTCTCTTCCAAATAATGTAAAGTTTCCAACATTTCAATTTTCTCCTATTGGCCATCATTGCTACTTTATTGCATTTGATCCAATAAGTATGTGTTCCACTTTCTTTCCTATTCTTATAATTACTCGAAATGTTTCATCTAAATTGCGTCAATCCTTTAATTCAATTCATTGATGTGACTTTGTTAAAACTAACTATTTACTTTTTGAGTTGCATAATTTCGTCATCTTTATTATACTGTCTAGATCCATGATTGGCTTAAATCATGGCTTCTAACTATTATATTTTTTCATCCTTCTCCATTATAATATCAATAGCACTCTTCTCAAGATCTTAAATCTATAACTACAATTGAGATATGAATTATTTCATGCTCCTTAACATTTGGCTTTTCTAATCCTAATCTAAATGCTCAAATTCCTCTATATATTTGTTATCCATATTAATAATTATTAAAATAGAGTATTATTTACAAATTTAGTGCTGAATAATTTCATTGCATTCTAAAGTAACCGAACAATCTTCAGTAATTCTTAAGATTAAAGTTAAATCCCTTAACTTTAAGTGGCGAAGATAAACCCAATTAAGATTTTATTAAGAGTGTCTCCATATGAATATACTTATTTCAATCTACATTCTATGTTATTACTCTGTTACCTATTGCTCTATATCTCTTTAATTTAAATATAAAAGTAGATTAAAAAGGCATTATATGATTATCAATATATTTGAAATTTAACTAATTGTCTATGTACTGAAATATTATGTATATGACAATGAAGAATGCTTATTCTAGAATCTTTTAAATATTCTTATTAATAATTTTTGGCACAAATTTAGTAACAAGGAAATAATAAGGATGTTTTGAATTTATCATACAATGAATTATTAATGAGAGGAGGCGGTCAATGTTTTTGAAAGCACTAAAAATCGTTTAACTTTATTTATACAGAAATTAAACAGTTTTCAATTCACTATCTAATCTTAGGTGTAGTTTATTCTTGAAATCATGAGATCTTAGTTAGAGATAAGAAAGGAATTAACACAAAGAGTTCAATTAGAATTTCAAAATTTGCACTAATGTTGTTTTGGGGGAAATATTTTATTAGTCTTTAATTAAAAGATAATGTATTTTGACAATTTAAGTTTTCTAACTGGTAACTATCTCAAAAGACTATAATTAGTAATTTGATGATATAGAAACTCAAATTTTAGAATCTTCAGTGAGTATGAATAAATAATTGAAATAAACTAACTGATTAAGAACAAATTTATTGATTATTTTATTTGAATTATGGGCTGTTGCATTAGTACTCCGTATGTCTATCCTGATGGAGGAGTTTATGATGGTGAACTGAAAAACGGTCTTCCTGTATGTCATCAACTTAATCTAGCACGGAAAAGGTAAAATTTAGTGGAAGAATGGAGATTACTTCGAGGGAGTCTTTGAGGCTGGGAAAAAGAATGGTAGAGGAATATTTAAATGGAGTGATTCATCATATTATGATGGAGAATTTAAAAATGAAAATTTTCATGGCTATGGAGAATATCAATGGTATGGAGGCAGACTCTACAAAGGGTAATGGGTTGAAGGAAAAATGGAAGGACAAGGTGTTCTAATTGATGATGGCAAACATTATCAAGGTTCATTTCTTTATGTATTTTGAGGCTAATTCAAAAATGACAAAAAAGAAGGCTTAGGTGAAATGAAATGGTCTAATGGGTAACAATACATAGGAGAGTGGAAGAATGGGAAATAAGATGGTAAAGGAAAACTAATTGATGCTAATGGTCATGTAACAGAGGGATTATGGAGTAAAGGGAAGAAATAATGATTGATTGTTTTGCTATTTTCACATGTTTGCTATTTATATTTTGTATTTTAAATCAATGACCAATATTATTTTAATTTAAATAATCTTATTTAAGTACTTAAAGTACAAAATGTTGTTGCATTTACAATTTGATTTTCGAGTAGATGAATGTAGCTTTTCAAATGATTTAATTATTAATTAATATTATCATAATATTAAGAGAATAATTGAGTAGTAAAGAATTAACAGATTATAATGATCGTTATTTTCAGAATAACAAAATACTACCTAGGTAATATTAAGATTTCAATAATAGACTGAATTTCATTTTTTTATTCTTTAACTCAGTTGAGGAATATTAAAGCTAGTTAGAATAAAACATATTAAAATATTATCACTCACATTCGCTCCAGTTCTATTATGAAAATCGTTCATTGAAGGCGAGAGCAATTCGATTATCACTTGATCTAGCACTGCTTAAAAGAAAGCCCTTGGAACTAGTAGTGATGCCTGTATCTCTTTTATATAATTTTTGACATCATACTTTCTTAAATTGATCATAAATGTCTTTTTCGGCAATAGCATTTTAGCAGGTCTTTTACCTTTAAATTTGCTATGACTCCCATTTGAGACATCATCTGAAAAATTCTTGACGCTTTTTGGAGAATAATCCTCGCCAGAATAATTATGAAAATTTTCTAGGAGTCGAAATTCATTTCTATCTTCAAGAAATTGATTCATTGCGATTTCAATTCTTTCATCTTTTTATATTACCAGGTCTAATTCAATTATAGCAGATACCTTTTAATTTTCCTTTTTATTCTTCATTTATCTGATTTTTCTTACAAAGCATGTAAATTTTGTAAAATAGTTTTCCCTCGAAGCTATCTATCCTCTCCATTTATATTTATATTTATTATTATTATTACAAAACAATTTATTCATAAAAAATTACAATAATGCAAAAAATATTCAGATTCTAAATTCCAAATGACTGCATAATAAAATTTAAATACAACAATTGGATAATATAATATTTCCAATTTTTACATGATGAAAAAGCATTAACAATTAGGATTGATAGTATTCTAGTCAATGTTAATTTTATCTATTCTCTTCTTATTGATTTCATAATTATGAATTTAGCAATCCAATCTGAATATTTACTCAGTTTATTTATCAGTTTAGCATCTTAAATGGTGTTAAGATCAAATTACAAGATCAATAATCGTGAATTTACGCCCTAATAAACTGCAAATATATGAATTCAAACTGATGTAAATTGTATACGATAGCAATATCCATATTACATTTAAATTGAAACTTAGAATTTCATCATAAAATAATTGCATTATCTAATAACAATTGGTTTTATTTAAATCAAATAACATTATTTAATATTCAATAATAATTTATGTAAATTACTACTTTTTCTGATATTTATATATTTGATGATTTAGTGAAGGCTCAACAACATAAAATAATCGCTCCTGTTTTCCAAAACTATAAGACAGAAACATAAGATTCCCTTATTTCACCAAATGGGTAATTAATAGCAATCATTTTTAACATGGACCCGATGCTGAAACAAGACAAATAATTCTCTATTATATAATTATTCCATGTAATAACTGGAGAACAGAGTCACTCAAAATAAGTGGATTAAGAAAGTCCCGTCATCTCTATTTAATTTAGCTTCGATTCAAGCATATTTGTTGTATTGGATTTCTAACATCTAATTATCTTCAATGTAGAAGAAAAAAATAAAATATCCATAATAAAATTGAATAGTAATGGCATAATTTCAATTGATTCAGAAAACAATGTTATTTTGGGCTCATCAAATAATTAAATTATTGTGTATTCTACAAAAAATGCATGTTAAAAAATTTTGCAATTTGATAGAAAAATAGATCACCTTCAAAAGTTGGGCCCCGATAAGGCACTATATATTTTTGGTTGTAATTAATACCTTCTTAATTTGTAAAATAATAAAGTACTGCGAAGGTGGATGAATCATGAATTTGAAATGAAGGATTAAATAATAAACAAAAATCTTCTGATGATTTAAATTTGGGAGAAAAAGTTTAGATCAGTATATATAAAATTATAGCAATCAGGAAGGATTATTAGGAAATACATTAGAATTTCTAATAGAAAGGAGTATTTTAGAATAATTGAGGATAAATCATCAGTTTCAATATAGTAATTTTATATTTCCAAAGTAAAATAGCCGATATTGAATGTTGCAAGGAGTATATATAAGATTGAAATGATTGTTACAAAATTTGATTTAATATAAGGACGATAGAGAAAATATTATTTCAAGATTGATGAGGATTATTAAGAATAGATTCCAATTTATTTATTATAAGATAATTAGCTAAAATATTATCTTTTCATAATTTGAATTATTATTTACTGCATTTTAGTATTGTTATATCTGTTTATATATATTTAGCTATCATTTTTTATAAAATGGAGCTGACAGCTTTCTTATTCTTTTATAAGGATCTTCTGATTTCTTTGGAACATTTAATCTTCGAATCAAATCAGTTTACTAAGTAGCTATTTATTGAGTTTTTAGGAATTATTTAAAAGATTGTGCGCTTGGAGTTTAAGCCAATCTAAAGCAATCCTATTATTGTATTGGAGGACAAGGCTCATAATCTCTTAAAGATGTGAAGAAGTTCGTTCTTCTTTGAAACTTTTTAGATGATGGAGCCTGTCCTCCTTCATCAGCACTAGAATATAAGAAATGAAAAATTACATTACATAATTATCTCTTCCAGATCCATCACTTTGATAGTGTCTAAATTTGGGGACCATCATAGGAGCAGGAGGTTTCCATTGTTTTTATTTGCTAAAGGTTCCTAATTCAGGATGCACACATTAAATTTAAATTTCTTTCCAAATTCCTCCATTTTACAAAGTGACATAGGAATCCCTGCCTTATGATATATCCTTCAATAAATTTACCAGTTCCATCTGGTGCATAGTGTGTCATTTTGGCTTCCAGGGCTCCAGCAGTTGCGCATCTTTGTAATTTTGACATGTCAATATTTAATATTAAAAATAATAATTGAAAATGCTCGTTATATTATCTTGATAATCATTAACAAACTTGCATCAATTATTTATAATATTATAATCTTAACAATTTAAATTATTTATCATCTAAATAACATTCTAACTTTTCTATTTGAAATGAAAATCTAGATCCGTGATTAAGTATACCAGATTGTATGGGATTTTCGATCTTACTTTGTTTTCTTGATTATTATTAATAAAATAATATTATTAATGAGATATGCATAAAATAGTTCAAGTGAATTCGTTTTAGGAATAGCATTTTTGGTGTTGGGCATGATTTACACAACGATATTCTTTTTTGGTGTAATCAGATATTGTAAAATGGGTAAGAGAACAAAATACTTGGGAAAGCATTTTTACTTATCCATCGTATTGTCTTGTTTGGCATACATGTTGAATATGGCTTTGTACTTATATGATGTACATTTACTTATGTAAAATAGGTTTTTAAATCACAACCTACGGATGAGTATATTGTGAGTATTGAAAAGTAGCTGTTAAATACAATATATGTTCCTGATGGATTATTTTGGATAGTTTATCAATCATTATTTTGGACAGTGGTCTGTTTACACTATGACTCGCATTTACATATAGGATAATAGGATGAACTTCCATATAACCCAAATATGTTAATTCATGCTATGAAAGACATTTGTTTGGTATATGGAATAGCTCAATTAATTGTTGTGTTATTATATAACTTTGATTAAATTAAAAGTGGAGTATTATTTTACATCAACATCGTTATCAATCTATCGATTCCAGTCTAATTCATAATAACCTCTCTATATCTACAATATAAATATTCAGGATCTCCATTCAAATCGTCAAAATAGGAAAACAATTCAAATAGATTGTAAAAGTTAATATTTTATTGGACAATCCTCAGAGTCTTTCAAATAATTAGCAATATTTTATTGATGGAAAATCAGGAAAGAATAGAGAAGTTCTTTTCATCACAATTAAGCCAAAACTAACTGTTATTGTATATTTCACTACTCATTATTGATCTATTATTGACCAACATATTTCCATTTATCTTGGCTCTAAGACAGTAAACTTTTTCGATATTTTTGGGTAACAAAAATACTACGATGAGTACAGTATCAGATCACCCAATACATTAGCAATTACTAAATGATAATAAGAGCTCAGTAATGGAAAGGAGATAGATTCAATTCAATTACAATGAAATAATGCGATAGAATGTGAATTAATAATAAGCAAAACGATAAAAACCAAATGGATTCGGATATATTATTGTCTGTCAAATATAATAAAAAAGTTATGGAATGAGAGTGATTGAATTCAAATAACTGTAACCTTATTTGGTTGAATAGATAAAGTAAGAAATCGAACAAGTGAATTAATTAAATCATTAACAACTTTATCACATTCGTGGATTCAATATAGTAGATAACAAGGTAGTATATCTAACCAAGTTTTATTAATATTCATTACACAGTTATCTACTCTAATATTAGATTTCAATTGAAGAAAAGATTAAGATCTTAATTTAATTGTTAAATGGACTCAGTTATATGCACAAATAGGGTCTATGTCATGGGAGTTTGACAACAGAAAATGTGATGGTTAAACCAAATGGCCATGTTAAAATAAGTAAATTTGATATGTTATCTTTACTAGTTGATTTCGGTCTATTTGGAATCAAGAAATACCAATCGCTATTGCAGTTTTACACAAACAAATCTGGATTTACAGCTCCAGAATTGGTTTAACAAAGAGGGTTGGTTGTGAGTGGATCATAGTAAGGAGACATTTACAGTGTCGGAATGATTATGTATGAGATGTTCGAAAAGAAAGTGCCTTTTGAAGGACTATAACTACAAAATATTTAGGATTGTCTTAACAAAGCAGTAAGGCCTAAGATTGAGTCTCAATCTTTGATGGATGATATCATTAGATGGTGCTGGCAACAGGATATAGAGAAGAGACCATTGGTTGATTAGTTATTAAATGTAATTGAAAAAATATAAATAAAATGAGTGGTACAATAGTTGTGGGGTCAAATATTTACGAGACTGAATTCTTGGATGAAATCTTTATCTATTATGGCAATAAGACTAACAACACCCTTGTCTTTAAGGATGGATTGATCATTAGTCCAAAAAAAATGGAATTGCCAGAATATAAAATGAATAGATCTGAACGAGGAGAAATCATCATGGCCATAATTAAGGAAGCCATGAATCTGTTGGAATACTCAAAGTTATCAGATATGGGCATAATTAACATGTTTGAATTACAATACATAAATCAATTGAAATCATATCCATCCCTAAGATTTTAATTGATGGATAGAGAGCAGCCATCAGTGTTGATGGATGTCCGTAAATCCTATTTTACTATGCATAATTGTAACTAAATAATTAAGACTTTGAATACAGATCCCTCCACATATTTTAAGAATAAATTTGTGTTATTGAGGTACCCTGAAAAAAAAATGATTGTTCAAATTAAATCAGTTGTGTTTGATTAAGAGTTCACATACAAGGGTTTATCTTTGGAAGACTACTTTAAATAGAAATATTAATTAAGGAGCAAATCAAGTGTCTATTTAGAAACATACAACACTCAGAACATTAAGAAATAATTCTTAATAGCAGAATTTTGTGAATTGAAAATAGAGTATATTGAGTAAGATGTCACTGTGTATTGTCAACAGCTGGAATATTGGAATAAAATTATTAACAATAGTTCATCATTTATTTAATTCTTAAATTAGTATAAATTCATCATCAGAAATGAGTAAGTTGAATTCAAGTAATAATACTTAGAACCTGGCAATTTAGCATTAAACAATTAAACTAAATCTCTATTTTAAATTGTAGCATCCAGAACATCAAGTGAATTTGAATACTACTACACTGATTTCTTTCTTAAAAATCCCACTACCTTTACAACCTCTCTGACCATCAATAAATTGATGATTTTAGTAACTAGAGAAATCATTGAACTTAGAGACAACTTTAAATCATTTTTAGAAAAATTTGATTCATTTATCAAATCCAGATAATACAAAATAACATAACCATAAATTTATGATATAAATAATAATTTGAATGAAATCCTGGAAAAATATGTCACTGAAGATGCCTACGTACTTTTTGTTGGAGATTAAAATACAGATTTCATTTAAGCAAGAAATACCTTGTTATCTAAGGCCATCCCTAATTAGATAATTATCCTTCCCATATAAGATCAAGAAATCAATAGATTATTAGCCATGATGACTGCCAATCTTGGTAGTGTGCCTTGGGCTATTAAAGAAATTAATGGATTGATTACTAATAAAAAGAGTGCTGTCTTAGGTATCTGGAAAAGCGAGAATTCTTATTCTGCATGTCTCAGCATCAATAAATATCTCAACAAGTATATATCCTCGTTTGGAGATTTAGATTAAGTTCTTACCCTTCTTTTAGCAACTTATTATGCCACCCATAAAATATTGGCTAATTAAATCATTGTATTTGCTGAAGATGATTACACACAGATTATGGAACAACGAATTCAAGGAGTCATTTAGTTGATAAGAGATCAAGGATTGGCATAACAAATCTTAAAACCTGAAGTTATAATGGTTTAAGTAAAGGATGCTACTGCAGAAAGATACTTCACGTATTTTGAAAGAAATTTGTAATATATTATATCTATCATATTCTAGTGAATCTTACTATTGCAAAAACCCTTAAGTAGGTTGTATAATTCCAGTCAATGAGAAGTAAGGGAGATTTTCATTCCATTCTTAGAGAGGAGAACAAGGATGTTTATAAGCTTAATAATTGCACATTAGTTCAGCTAACACAAAAGAAATCGCTTAATTATACTATCATTTGATTTTCTTAAATTTCGATTTGAGTTCCACCACTTATTTACCTGCACCACTTCATTACGCCAAAAAATTGTCAAAACATCAGATTCAGAGTGAACAATACAAAAAAGCAATAGAAAAAGGATTTTTGTTATTTGTTTGAGTATGATTTATACCATGATCTTATAAAAAAAAATTTATGATTTGGATTAATCAGAATAAGAAAATTGAATATTTAGTTATCACTAATATTTTAATAATGTTCAATATAATATTCTCACAATTGAGTCACTGCATTTGGCACTGTTCTTTAATAAAGCAATACTTATTTTGAATAGAAATCTGGTACTGCTTAATATTCAACTTTTTGCTATTAAATAATTTAATCTAAATTTTACTCTCTTATATAAGTATGGGAATGTAATTCCATTGAATGTGTTTAGGTAGATTACCAAAGTTCCACCTACCAACAATCCCAAGTATGCTTGAATTCCTACTCTGGCTCCGTAATAAACTGGATTTAATGAAAACTTTAATGACTTTGGAAAATGTTTGCTCATTTGCTCAAACTTACTGTTGTCCATGGCCATTTTTATTTATTAAATTTATATATATAATTTCTATATTTATATTCATTTATATTTCCTCATCAGATAGCATAATTTTTTTGGTATTCCTTTCTAAAATAATGTTTCCAGAGGAATCTATCTAATGCTTTCTCTCCCTAAATCAAATTTTTATGAAAAGCTCAATATTACATAAATTTCTATATAAAGAGTGAAAAGTAACATAGGGATACCAAAGATCAAAATGTAAATGATGTTGGACTCAGTTAATTTATTTAAAGTAGAGATAGTCAAATTTAAAAAGTATTAACAAAACCAAGAAATTTAATATTGCGTAGCATCAAGACCATAAAAAATGTATAAAAGATAATTATTAGAATTGTGCATTTAAAATATCCCTTGAGTCCTTTGTTCAGGAGTTAAGGACTCATCACTTATCAAATAGTCATACTCGATGATCACCTAGAAAGTGTTTTTAATTAATTGTATGAGACCAATTTAATAATAATCCAAGAACACATCAGAGAATACCCTATTCTTTAATAAATCCGAACTCATATTACAACCAATTAACAGGCAAACATCTTTTCCAATCAAGATCTATTTATTCTACTCTGATATTAATAGATTTTAGTTTTACTCTTAAGCATTTCTATACAACAAATCAGTTAAATCATAAGCTTACAAAAGTTTAATTTGATTGAGTAAAAGTGTTTTATCAATTTCCAATAAACTAAAAAGTTATTAATTATTTTTTATGTTTTAATTTGAATAATTAAAATAATTATTTTAAGAGTAAAATTGCTATAGCAAATAAGTATCCCACATATTTATAGTGATTATAAAATTTAATCTCATAAGCTAAGCTTAAATTTCTCTTGTAGCCGCAGGAGCTATTCCTGAAGCTACATAATCATAATAAATTTAGAAAACAGCAGAGAAGCTGATTTTTAAGATTACTAATAAAAGGTACACGATTATATATTTTCTAATTGAGAGAGTTGGCGAATTATGAAACATTTTTTTAGCTTCCATCGCAGATCTATTTTTATTACTCTAATTTAAATTGTTTTCCATCAGAACAGCCATCTAATTTGTTTCTTAAAATTGTATTAATGTCAGGATGTTAGTAGGAATTTATTTAATTTAATCGAAATGATATTGTTTAACTAAAAGATTATCTTGATTGATACTATCCTACAATCTTTCGTAGGAATCTATGATAAATTCACAATCATCGAATTCTATAGTTATAAATTGATTTAAATAAATTTGAATTACTTTTTTTAATCTTAAAATTGCTAAACCATGGAACATTCCAAACAGCAACGCTATACAATATATCAATACAAAAATAATTGAAACTAATTGATCGAATTATCCATTTATTTTATGATTGTAATCATTGCAATCATATAGAGATTGATTTACTAAAGATATGATGCCCTGATAATTAAAATATAAAAAATATCTGCTTCTTAATCTAAAATTTAATATTTTAAATACCCTGTATTGCTTTCATTATTATTCAATAAATACGTGTTTAAGGATATATCATTCTAAAATGTCATATACAACTCTTAATATAAAGTTGTGTAATGAGTTGCAAAGTTTCTTACTGTTTGGCTCAATACTTGTTAGTGAGAAAAATCAGGGTAATATAAATTCACAGGCACATCTTCATACGTTTATAGAATTTTTGAATAATTTTAAAATTTTCCTATAACTCCTTGAGAGCCTTGAACTAGCAGATCCCATGATATATTCATTCTATCTTTACTTGTAATATTAATGATTCCATTATCAACTTTCATATTGATAGGATCTAAAAGACTCTAAAAGTTAGTATTAAATATCATATGTCTAGATCCGGACAATACCGAACTGTAACCATTAAAATAATTCACATCTTCTGTACTATTGATTATGCAATTCGATTAAATGACTTTTTTTAAAAAATAAACCGCACAGATTAATGCTATTATAACGATTGTCATCAATAGGTGAATTGAGACTATTCCATAAGTGGCTATAAATACTGAAGGATAGCGATTATCCTAAAGAAATTCAAAAAATTTATGAATTCGATTTGGAATATTAATAATAGAAGAATTTTAACTTTAAATCTCTTGGAGATGATGCTGAAATTCTATAAATTTCATTTAGGATTTTCTTCTATTGTTATTCAGGGGAGGCTCTTAAATCATCTATTAATCTTCTCCATTATGGGATATCATTTTATCACTAGCTATAAGATTAACACTGTCAAATTAATATTACAATATTGTAGATCCTCTTTAAAATTCAATATTTTTAGATGTAACTTGTTGCTGTTTTAAAAACTATTTACTTTTTATGTTTTATTCTACTTATACATTGAAATCCTCCAAGAATTCTATTTCAATCAAATAATATAAAAAAGATTCTAAATTTTACTCACTGCTATAAGGATGCAGAATCCTTTAGGTCACAGTAAATTCTATGGGGTAGTATTTTGTATTCTAATCTGCTTATGAATTTTACGCCATCATTGTCTATTCAATCACGTGGAGAAGTAATTTTTTATTTGTAAGTTTAGTTAATGACATTCGTTTAAGATCTGGCTTTTATTCTGACACTTATTATTTATTGGGTTAGATATTGATTTTCATAAGCCCTTTTTCTTTAACAAAAATTACTTCATTTTCTCTCAAAAACCCGCCTTGCATCTTTTCATAGTAATTCTACAAATTTGATTATAATTAGGGAATAATACTAAATATACTACAGTTATTATAAATTTCTTCAGGACTAATTAATTCAACATCTTGATTCTTTTTGTAATAATACTTGTAATTTAGTTTTTGATAAATATTCTATGTCATTCCAAATATATTAAACTCTTTATCCAAAAGCAAATGTCCTTTTAAATTTTAATCTTGCTAATTTTATTAAATTTTCGAAGTCTTTTGAATGTGTGCAATCATGTAGAATGACAATTCTCTTAGATTTACTGGAAAAAAATAACTTAAACACAACTTAACTTATTCAATCAGGTTTTTGTTATTTAGAATAAATGCAAGGGAGGAATTATTTATCCTTTCACTTTGTCCTTTAAAAAAGAAATTTTCAACCAATCCAGAATGCACATTACCTAATTTGTTTGGCATTAAATCTTTTATATGAGTAAATGGTTATCCATCATCTTCATTGAATCCAAAAAACTATTTAAATTCAGCAGTTACTTTTTACTCTAATCTGCCTTAGTGTTCTGGACTAATGTTAGAAATAATTGAGAGTGCTTAGCCTGTGAGAAATGATAAATCATTAAAGTTGTTGAAATTAATATCGTATTGATATGCTTATTCAAGTTCGTTTAGTTGCTATTAAATTTTTAAAGTTAATTTAAGATCTTGGTAAATTATTAAATAATACAATAATTTAATTTTTAATGAGTAGATTGTTTCTTTAGTCTAATTCCTATAATGTTAATATTCTTCAAATTAAATTTGAGATACTTTTTTCAATTTCTACACCTTCTCAACAGCATTTAATAAATGATCAAAATTAATCAGTTAATTTTTTTGGTAGTCTTACCATAACTTTTTTTGACTAAGAAGGACTTGCTATAAACTTTATATTATTGAATCTCCTAATGTATACAGAATATTGATATCAGTAATAATGAAGTATTCTTATTGGCTTATTTTAATTTGTTTCAACGATTAACTCATCAATTTTACTCTGCATTTTTACCATATCAAATATAAAATGGTATTTGTTACATCAAACCTCTTTTCCTTTTTTTGAATTTGTTTTTTAATTTCAATACACTAATAAATAGTTTTGCAAGTCAAAACATGATTTTCAAGGTAAAATCTTTGAAATGACAAATAATTGAGAATTATTAAATCATATTGTTTTCTATTGTAATTTTTTATCTGTTTCCCTCGAAATTGATTTTTAAAAAGATGCAAAATCCATTTTTTTAATATAAACTTCTTTTGAGTTTTTTGTTTTCTTGAAGCTTTTAACAAAGTAATTCTGTCAATATCTAAGATTTAACACTCTTTGCAAGGGCATAAAACATCAAGGCAATTGTTCTTATGTATCAGTAATTGTATTAAGAGTTCAATGCTGTGTGACTATTCGCAAATGAAATATTCAATAGATTAAACTAAATAACAGTTATTGGACCCAATGCAAAATTCTTAGATGATATTTTGTATTTTTCTCTTGAGTATGGACTCAACAACATGCCATAATAACTAAAATATATCAAAATGTTACTTGACAAGAAATAAAAAAAGTAAAGAAAATAAATTTATCATTTTCAGACGAAACTCTCCAAACAATTAATAGTAAATTGAAAAGCGCGCTCAATATTGAAATTTGATAGAACAAAAGTGATGAGGATGTTAAACCAAAGGCAAATTTCTGAGCAATTCTTAAATGCAATAAAATGATCACACAATGAAGCATATGAATTATTATTTATGATTCTTTCTCTTTATATATGATTGACAAAGTAATATAGCAAACTATAAGGGGACTTATCAAGAAAGATTCTATAAAATTATATTAGAGTAAATCAGTTTAGTGGATTTCTCTTTTTTTAAAAAAAAAGGTTGAAGCAATGGAATTAAGTTATACTAAGATTGTGCCTATGATACTTAAAAATAATATTAAAGAATTATCCTGGGTATTTAACTAACTATTATGGTAGTTTAACCCTATCTACTAGCTTAAAGCTTGACTAAAAATAGTTTATAATGGACACAGAAGGATCCAATTAAAATATAGAAAATAAACTTTAATTATTCTAGATTACTAGGTATAGTTTGTTCATATTTTACTTAGAGTTTTAGAATAGAGCAGATAATTACTGCTACTAAAATTACGATTAGAAATAATAGTATAGCCCATAATAGAAAGTCAAGGCTAAAATAATTCACAGCTTCTGTGATAATATTGGCATTTGATAAAATAGTAAACATATATTGGTTTTCTTAAACTATATTTGAGTTTTGTTTCTTATCCATTACTAAAAATCCATTTAGTTAAAAAAAATATATCCAGAGAATGAACTGTTCAACAGCCGAGTTTTTGGTTAATTTCTAATCGTTATCCATAATTGAGATTTGTAGCAAATATTCAAAAATCCTTTCAATCATTAAGCGTATTATTAAATATTGAAATCAATTTAAAACTAATAAATCAAACATATAAATTATAAGATCATAAAATCATTTTTCATATTTTCTTCGAAAGCTTTCTAAATGCTTTGGAATGTTTCTTTAAAATAAGATAGGAAGTGGTATAAATTTGATGATTGCTTTTGAAAGCACATATCTGTTGAATTAATAATACCCAAACGCAACTTAGAATGCTAAAACAAAGATAAATATCAAGATCCCTATTGAAATGATAAGGGTTTAATTGTCCTTAGTTAATTTACCTATAGTTTATGACGAGATATCTAAGAAGTATTGACTAAATTGACTTATCTGAAATTAAATGATATCGATTCCCCATAACATATAAATCAGATATTCACTATCATCGAATATGCTTTCCAATGCAAGCGCTTTCTCTAAGTAAGATTATTATCTAAATATTAATTAAGAGGCTCCTTCTACAAAAGATATCACTTTAGATTAGAGATGAACAATTCCAGTTTAAAAAAGCGGAACTAATGTCTTTTGGTACAGTCTATCATATAATAATTGAGTTTGCATATCACAACCTGTTAAAAGACATACATCTTAACCTAGAAGCTAATCTTATTGCGAAGCATTGAGTCCAGAATTGGATTGATCAACATTGAGAATTAGACTTGTAAAATCTATCATCTTTAATCTTGAGATATCTTCTTAAATTAGTTTTTCATCAATTTCTAACAAATTCAAAATCTAAGTATCAGTTTATATGTTTCTGGTTATGAGTTGATGACCTGGATCTGACCTATTAATTTATGCGTAAACCTCAAAATACTACTTTATTAAAAATAGGTCGAATCTATTTGCAGCCACTATAAAACTCAACCTGTTTTCTTAAGCTAAAATGGCTCTATTGCTAATAGGTCCAATAGACCTGGTTATTTGAAGATAATAAAGCAGAAAAGCCAATACATATGAGATGATGATGATTGAGACTACGACAATGGAAAAAATAGAGCAAAAGTTTGAATATTTAGAAATTTCTTAGATTTCTCTTTAATTAATCCTTTTTTTTTTAACAACTACAACTGAAGTTTTATTTTAGGTTTTTCTAATGTCATCCAACATACATTTAGGCAAGCTCAAAATTAAGCTATAATCTTTCTGTCTTAAGAAGATTCTGTTGTATGACACCATACTTATTAGTTAATCGCATTAATGAATAATCTACACACAATCCTCCTTATCACACATTTAAAATAATTTGAGATAGATTTTTATAGTGTGAACTACTTTAAAATAATTAATAATCAAAGCTGCCAATTGCAAAATAAGAATTAAAAAAAATCCAATGAATTGATAATTGACTATCTCATCAAAATAATCATTCATCTCAGTGTTATAAATGTGACAATCCTCAAGAGTTATATTAGCACTCTCACTGACATCAAAAAAGTTGTAATAAATTTGTGATCTTGCAATTTAAGTTTGGTATGAATCATTTCTCCCAGATAAATAAGTTAAAGGTGAAGATGCAAATGACTTATAAGCCAAAAAGAATGATGAATGCATTATCTGATAATAAGTAGAATAATCTTATACTGTTTGAGATATTTTGCTTTTCAAATCGGAATTTATAAAATAAAGTGTAATAAGTTTAATTTCACTTTTTGCAGCTATTTCTTTATAGCTGGAATACATATCATTGAGTCGAACACTTCCTTTAGCGATATGCTGCCAGGCCATATATATCTTATCATATCTGGTAACATTTATCTCATCATTATTAAATGGAATAATTGTGTCATTTTATAATGGATAAAAGTCTCTATAATAGATTACATGCCTAGATCCTGACATGGTTTAGCTATATGCATCCAAAAAGTTTAAATCAGCAGTGATTTATGAAATGCAATCGGATTAAAGATACTTTTTATGTTCAAAAATGTTGGATATTAATATTATAATTATTAATAATGCAACAATTTACAAGAGAAAATGAGCTATTAAATTTTTGATTGCTTTTGGTAAAAGAGTATCATTGATAAACAAAATTATTTTTTCTATTTGCTCATTTATTTCATTTGAGCTATGCTTTGTGGCAGTATTCGTCAATTCAGCTACTAATTCAATCTATTCATTTAAATCTTCTCCATCATTTGAGAGAATAAGATTACTTTAATTAGGTCTAGTCTATTCTAATGCTGCTTATTATCTTCTTAAAATATCAGAAAGTGCTGGTGTTCTTGCAATTTGTTAAGTTGGTGATGAATTTACTTTCGGATCTTCCAAAAAGTCAATTTCAATTACAAAATATAGAAATTAACAAGTTTAATCTTTTACTAAATAAGACAGAACTTTTTAAACAACACTAAATTCTATAGGGTATAATTTTGAAAACTAAGATTATATGTTTTAGATACTAGTATTAATATCTTTCAAAGTATTCATCATCTATTTATTAGTATATTTTTTAGTTTATAATGATGAAGATGTTCTGTATTGATTGTGCTTTTAGGAAGGTACTGAAAGCACTCCAATTTCTCTCTAACATATCATATCCTATTTCAGTATTCTTTTCTTATTTTTAATAGTTAATACTCTATAATATTCTTCTAAAATTTAGGACATAGATGGAATTAACTCCTAAATAGCAACTTACTCATAAATTTCTTCAGGTATAATTAAATCAATGTTCGTATTATTTTTATAAAAATATTTATGATTGATTCTCTCGTAGATGTTTCTGGTTATTCCAAAAATTAAAAAATCAGAATCTACCAATATATACCCTCTTTTGTTTAAATCAATTTCCCTTTTTTCATATTTCATCATTTTCAATAAATGTCCAATGATCCAAAATTAATATTAGTCATTAGAATACGGAAATAACGCAGTTAGACATATATTAACTTTTTCAATCAAGTTGTCTGAGTTCAGAATAAACTATTCAGAATTCGCATACAATCTGTTCGTCTTTCCTAATTATAAGTAAGATTCAATCAAACCATTATGAATTCTACCAAGTTTAATAGGTAACAATTATTCTACTTTGGTTATGGGAACATTTAAATTGTCATATCCAAAAAATTCACAAAATTAATCATTTATCTTTTATGTAATGTATCCCAGAGTTTAAGTTTGTACATTAGAAACTACTGATAAAGCTTGACCATTTAAAAAGTATAAATTATTGAATTATTAGCCTTTTTAGCTAGTTTGTTCCCTTACTTAACACTCAATTTATTAAGCTAACCTTAAACAACTATTAATATCTTCCATACAAACTAATGAGACTGCTAGTTTTATTTTTTAGATTACAATAGAATCAATAGCTGGAATTTCTCTTTGACTTTAAAATTTTAGGAACTCATTTTTCAAAATTTTAGTTTTATTTCTTATCTATTACGAAAATTAAATGATTTTGTCATAGGAAATTGAATGATTCATTTTTTATGACCACAATTATTTTTAACAAAGGAGCAAATCAACCATTCGTTGAACAATTTCATCTTCAAAATTGTAAAATAAATTAAAATCCTATAAAGTTCTAAATTCCAAAGATCCAATTTATATACCTGCTCGATTATGGTTTTCGATTTCTATTTTATTTAAATGTTGTATTTAGTTAGTCAAATTAATAAAAAATTAAGGCATACTATCTGATTTCATTTTTTTAAATGTGTAAACAACGTCTTAAATAATTTTATATGATAAGACCGAGTTTTCTCTATATCTTTACAAAAAAGTTACAAACTTGATTGTAAGTTGCTCAAAGTATTAAAATTAATTAGGATTTTGTAAAATTGATTTAATCATTTTTTAAAATTAATGTTACACCCAAATGTAAATCTATGGCGTGTTAAGTTGGTTTTACCCAAAAATAAACTTATTCAACTTTTACTTACAAGGACATGACAAATCATTACAATTTTAACAATGAATCCCTAAATACTTTAGAAATAGATAGTAATCTCTTTTATGAATGCTCTCTAAATGGCATAATTCACATATGAACTCTAATGGATGTTCACTGTTTTTACAAAATTTTGATTTTAAAAATAATTTGCATTCTTTATCAATATAATTGTCATAGAGTGTTTGATTGATCCCAAAAATCAACTAAAATAGATATATTAATTACAGGAACACAAATGCAAAACGTTATAAATATGTGACCATCAGTTAAATCAGAAAATATCCACACAGCTACCAAAATTTCAAAAAACCATGCACACCACAAGCATTTGCTAAAAAAGATTGTTTCTTATTAAAAACCAAAAGGAATGTTCAAATATATATCAAAAGCAATAACAATAATTATGAGATTGAATATTGCATGAATTATTATATTGTAGTTAGTATACATTTCCTTCCAAAAAGATGCCATTTATAATGCCATATGTAAGATAATTGTCATCAGATTAAAGTAACTAAATTTTCTCATCAAATCTCCTTAGACAAACTCATAATTTCTAAAACAGTATATTGATAAAAAACCTGAAAGGATAACGAGTACTTAGCCTATTATACTAATTACCAAAAAGTGAGGTGAAATCAAAGAGAAACAGTGTTCAGGGTCGAGATTGCCATGTTAAGCCAAATATGCCAATCGACCACAAGTCAATACTCCAATCATGCATTCATGAAAAGGTGTTAAAAAATACCATTAAAAGTTCTTAAAATAAAATCTTATAAATCTATTAACAAAGTTATTTGGAGAGAATGGCTATTATAGGATTATGTATTACTTTGTAAGCAATTTAAAAAATTATTACTGCATAAATAGAACACATCGTACCAAAAATACAATAGTACATAGCTTTTGTAAATGGGTCATAATGTATAACTATCATCATAAATGGAATGGAGGAATATTATCCTATTTGAGCCAAATAATCATTCTCATAAAATACGATGGACTTGCTTTCAAATTAACTATAGAGGTAACCAAGTAATTAAATATAGTAAAAGACAATAATGCTCAAATTGCCATAATCTATTTATGCTTTTCTTCTTTCTGTGTTACACCCAATCGTTAAAAAGAAGGAAATTAGTTTAGAAAAATATTTCATTAATCTCAAATTATTATATATATAATAAACATATCAAAAAATCTGTAAAGAAGTTTAATCAACAATGTTATCAGTTTATCTATAAGCGATCTTATTATATTTTTAAACAACAACATAATTAACTAAAATATTTATAATTATGGCCAAATTTTTAGATAAATTCAGAATTAACCATTTAATTATTCAAGTGTTATTATTAAAGTTAGCAAAAAAGATCAATTTTTTTTGCAACAATTTGAAATTAAAAAAATTATAAGCAAATCATAGTTGGTATGAACATTGTAATGCTTTTTATCATTGTTTGGCATTTATAAGAATGAAATTTTCAATTATTAAATTGAATTTTTTTAGTTCAGTATATAATTATTACTCATTATCATAAATTATATACACTTTTAATGATTAGATTTAAAATCAATTAAATATTCAAATATTTATCGCCCATGCCTACAACTTCATAAGTAGCACCAGCATCCATATAACATTGTTTCTATAAGGAAGTTAATTCTAAGAGCGTCGGTTTCATTTTTTTCATTTTATTTGTAAGCAATTCTTTTATCAGATTCATTGTATTAGTAAAATACCTTATTGTTCCTTATAATCTTCATTATTGATTGATGGAGTCTTGATGTCCTAATAAAGATATCAATATTTAAGTTAGTGATCCATTCCTTAAGGATTATTGGCTCTATCTCTGTTAAATTATTAGATTCATTTAAATTATTGTTACTTGATATTTTTTAGGTCAGTATTTGATGTAATAATTTGAAATTTAGGAAGTATACAATTTCAATTTTGAAACTGTATTTAATAATGTAATAGAAATGAATGAATTCAGTGTCTCTTTAGGAATGCCTTTCTGTCTTTGGATACTTAAATTAGGTTTGCTAATTCAACAATTAAAATCGATTATAAAATCAAATGTAGAAATGCAAATTCATAAAATTTAATCAACTATCAATTTTTTTCAATCAACAAGCTTTTCAAAAGAATATTCTTCCTCATCTAAATTATTACAAAAGTCTTCAACTTTATCAAGTTCATTCTTATTATGGATTGGCAAAAGAAATATAACCTATTTATTTGTATTATTTTACTTAAAGTACATAATATTGAAATATTAATTCTCTTAGATTGTACATAATATTGAAATATTAATTATCTTAGATTGAATTAACAATCAGTATACCCCAAGTTGCTCGATGTTTAGATTTTAAAAAAAAGTTTATAATTTTTGATCTTGGAATGAATAGCTTATAATATTTTAAAACATAATATAATATAATTACTGTTGTTTAATTGCTCAGTCTGAATTATTTATATTTCTCTGATTTATAAGATTATTATTTGATTCCTAAATTTATAACTCCTTAACTCGACATACAATACTTGGTTATCTATTGGAAACTTCACAACTTTCTATCCTTTTGGTAATTTATTCAAATTAGAAATATTATTAAACTTCAAGTGACTACCTATATTAATCATGCATACTCCACATAATCAATTTTTGAAAAGATCCCAATGATACATTTTGGCTGTTATCCAATCTTTCATGCCTTTTGGTAAGGTTATTATACGGAAGGTTATTATTGTATTGATTTATTTCATAATAAAGTACAGTTTGATTTTGTCTGTAAAAATAAATAATACATTTATCATTAATAGTCCAATTTACTCATTTATTTTTACATTTATAATTATAATATTGTAATGAAACTGCACAAAAAAAATGTATTAATTCGTTCGAGCATGCATTCTCCATCAAATTTTGATTCGAAACCCTCAACCCAAATTCCTCGATAGAGATCTGTCAATTAATTTGAAGAGGCTGATCCTATTTCAAAAGGTATTAGGAAAACTATATTTATGAGATAGAAAAATTATAAAAATGAGGAATGTTGTAGACTTAGGAGATGCAACTGAATCTGTTCATAAATCTTCATCTAAACAAAGGAGAAGATAGAGCAAAGATGAATAGGATTAACTACTTGAATAATTAGATCAATGGCATGAATAAGTGGTATCAAAGAAAAAAGCATTTGCATTTGAATAAGTTAAGTAAAATGACAATAAATTTATGGAGAACGAATTCTCTAGCGAAGGAGGACCTTAAATAAATTAAACCATTATCAATTCTATTCTCAAACCATAAGATAAATAATAGTCAAAGAACTTGTCATTAGAAGATGAATAGAACTCTAATGTTCAAGTGAAATTTTAATAGTTTAGATCAAACAAGGATTCTAATCCAGTTTTAAAAACTCTAGATTAAGTTAGGATAGAAATGAATAAACATATCTTAAACTCATTATTATTATAAAAAGTTACAAGGAAGTTGGATGATTTATAAATTAGCAGAAAAGGCAAATCAAATTGGAATCATTAAAAAATGGATGAAGAGACAACCCAAGTAGTTAGAGATTAATCATAAGCATTAAAAAATTCAACCCTCAATAACTTTAAAGGATTAACTGAATATTTTAGTAATCCTTCTTAATACATCGATTACGATATAGTCTTATCTAAGGCTAAATATTACAGTAATCGACCTCCAAATTAATTTTAGGTGGAAATTGTATAAACTGGGTAATAAACTTCTTAGACTGCTAAATAATTAATGGAATCATTTTAATAATTCTAGATTTAAATAAAAGAAAATAAATAAATTCTCTATTAAATGAGATTGGATAATAATAGATTAGTGTAAAAAGCAACAAAAAAAGAAGATGAAATAAGCGAAATAAGAAGGAAATATTACGGAAAAGAGGAAAAAGCAAGATTAGGTTATGTTTCTGAGTAAGACGGAAAAAAAAGAAATATGATGGAGACTATAGAAAAAATTCGATAATAAAGAGATGTAGAAATTAGAAATGTTCAAAAATTTATCTCATAAATAAAAGATGAAATGCACAGAAATACTGAGAAATAGGAGATAATCTAGAAAGATTTAGATGAATTAAGGTAAAAAAAGAGAAGGTGTAAGATGCTATTGAAGGACATATTCCTAAAGCAACTTTAAGAGGCAAATGAATCTTTGATGCCTGAAGGTTTAGTTTAAATAATTAAACAAATGAAAAAAATTAATGAAAACGCTAAAGTTGAATAATTTCCAAGATATTTAGATGACTAATCAAGACAGTATCTTCTTCAGGCTGCATAATTAGAAATATAAATAGAAGATACTAGGTCCCAATCTTAAAAGTTAAACCATAACATTACTAATTTAAAAAGTACTCAATCTTAGTAATGTTTATTTTAAACATAACCAGTAAGTGTTTCGCAATTGAAAAGTCAAGTGAAGACGATGCTTAAAAGAAGTGGAGTTTCTATAAAGAAACCAGTATTTGTATAAGGTATAGATCCTATGAATCCTTCATCATTTGCTCACGTCATTAAATGGGAAAATCAAGAATTAGAACAGGTAAAATTGCAAGATTCAGAAGAAACTCACTTTAAATTGTAAAATATGCCTAGTGATGACAATTTAAATTTTAAAGATTATAATCAAAAGTTAGTTTAATTTTAGCAATAACTTGAATAACTTCAAAAGGAAGAAAAGGAAAGAGTATTAAAACTTTATTAAAATAAAAGACATTTATCAGATGTTCAAGAGTTAAAATTAGTTTTATACTCGTTATTCGGATAAGTAATAGGAGATTAAATATGGTATGAATTTGTTATTGAATGGACTGAGTAAAAATCCTTAAATCCTCAATAAATATTGAAAAAAGATTCAGAATTAAAAGTAAATGATAAAGGATAAAGTTAAAATTAGATAAATGAAAAAATGAAATAACGAATGGCTAACACGTATCGCAAATTATAATAAAGTAATGAAATTGAATATAATTTTAATATGCTAGATTGATTCTTATTTTTCAAATAATTAATAAAAATGGTCTAATTTTTTATAAGGCTACTTTCTCATCAACTAAAACAACCTCTTTGTGTTAGCCATTATGAGTTATTTCAGCTTTACATTAAATATTATTGGATACCTCTCAAATCATAGAAATAGAATGGCTCTCCAATTTAATATCTGTATTTTCCTGGGACAGGCATAGTCTTAAATTTCAAATTCATAACTGCGCCTGACTCAACATCAGCCATTTTGAAATGTCCTGTAGTCATTGAAGTGTCAGTGTTAAAGAATTGCCAAAACTTACGTGTTATTTTAATCCATACCTTATTTTTGAATTCTGGGAACTTTTCAGGACATGGATATCCTCTATCGTATTCGCAATCGTAATCTAGTACATGAATAGTTTCTTCTTTGAAGAGGGCGTTAATCTCGTTATTCTTATAGAGCATATCCCTAAGATAGGTTTCCTTAAAATCGGGATCACCACATTTATCTCTTGCTCTCACATATAGCATAGCTAATGGCAAAACAGTTAAAACCTATTTTTAATTGAAATTCGTTACTTTGAATCCAAAGGCTAAAGGATAAAATTGATAACAGAAGAGACTGAATGCAGGCAAGAAGTAAACATTGAATTTATCAAATAATCTATGTCTTCTTTCAATTAAACATGAAAAATTAGGGACCTAAAATTATGGTTGTAAATCTTACATGTCTATGCAATAAATCCTAAATCCATGCCCATCCAAGTGGCACTGATTCCCAGTTATCTTTGGGGGTTTTTACGTATGTATGCTCTTAATTAATATCTCTTGGGTATGTATAATAGGCGTTCTTAAATTTGTATTGCCATCTCTTATTGTATGGGTTTGAAGATTGCCACACAATCTTATTGTATTGTGAACGATGCACTAATTACTACACTGTTTTGCTCTTAATAATTTACATTATTTATATCTTTTAATTAGCAATATAAACTTAAAATATAATTATCTTCAAAATTCTCCTCCCCATCTCCAATATCTTTAATAATCCTCAATTCAATATTCAATTTTTGCGGAAAGCAATCAATCTATTTGCAATTCCACATTATTATAAATGATTGTACTTCGATATCTCAAATTGAGTAGTAAAGCTTCATCGTTGCTTAATTGAATCTTGATTACTTATGGAGTAATTAAGTAAATTAGTTTTCAAATATTATAGATATATTTATATTTATTTTCAAAAGTATTTAATTTTATTTCAGCTGTTTGTTCGATAGTAAATTATTGGTTGTGTTTAGATAATTTTGGTAACTTGCCTTCCATTAATCTAACGATTGAAAACATTCAAAGGAGACGCAGATCCCATAACAAGTTTGGTTTGCAATTACTTTTTTGTCTGTAAAGGGGACTGATGCGAACAGCAAGTCATTGATTGGTTTGGTTTTAGAATTGATTCTTTATTTGTATCTCTATTACTAGAAATAAATTGTTGCAATAGTTCAGTATCGTCACTTTATTCTTTATTTTCTTTTTGTTTTTTCGGACTGAAGATTGACAGGACAAAAGATTCCACTTATTTATTAATAATATCAAAATTGATGTTGAGTTTAATCTTTTCAGATATTCCATTAATAACATGTGTATATTCTTCGATAATTTCATTAGGGATCAATTAATTCATTAATTTATAGGCTTCAAACTTTGAATTAAAATTCTAAACAACTTCTATGTCATTGTTTATCAGCTTTTGGATCTAGTCCTTGTTAATTTACAACATTTTTTATTGAAGTTCATTAATAAGAGCTATAATTTAGTTTTTAATTTGATGAAAGTAATTTTCATATGGCTTTTAGATTGCTTTAAATAATTCTTAACTTTAATTCATCAATTCTTCAGCTTTTTTCATATTTTCTTCAATTAAAAGTTCGTAATTCTCAATTTCTTTCATCTGACTAACATGTTTGGTATGCATTTTAATAACACAATGTGCACATGCTTTTTGCAACTTATATGGACAATCATTATCTACACATATAAACTTATATTGATTATTTTCATGACCTGGTAGTTTGCAAATATTAGTCTTTTCTATTTACACATGGAATGATTATTGCAAGCTGACTTATTATTCCTCATTTTTCTATCTATTGATGGGAGAAAAGGTTTGATCATTAGAGTTCCTTTTGGTTATAGGTGAAAGATGAGATCTTTCATTTATTGATGCCAATTGCAGCCATTCATCTTTATCCTAAATTCCTTTTTCAATTTAATCTTCTAAAAAAGTCTTGGTATTAGGTTTCTCCTTATTTTTGATGAAGGAATTGTGTTGTTCTTTTAATTTTTGGGTGATTGTGTATTCTGAGATTGATCTTTGGCTCTGAATATAGTTTAATGAATTACTAGATTCTTCTTATTGGAATCAACGATCTAACCCCAAGTAGTTTCCTTTTCTTCAAAGGCTTGTTTAATATGATTGCGTAAACCAAATTGATTCCAGAGTTCACGTGAAGACTTCTTCGGCTTAATCATATTCGTTAAATTAATATAATGCTTATCGATACTACTCATTAGGATATTATTCATGATATAGCTTTTAATTTTGACGGAAATCGATTTGCAACAGCTTCCAGCGATCAAACAATGAGAGTTTACAATAAAGTAAATGGGTAACGAAATATATTTAATGAATTTAATAGGAAATGGGAAAAGAGTGCTGAATGTAAATGTCATGATGGTCCAATTTGGAAGATTAGATGGGCTGATCCAAAATTTGGATAATTGATAGCTACTTGTAGTTAAGACAAAGGTGTTTGTGTTTGGGAAGAAAAGAAATTCTTACAAGAAAATCCATCAGGATAGAAATAAATAATTATATAATGGAAACAGAGAATATTAATTTTAGAGAGCAAGGAAGCAGTGGCTGACATATAATTTGGTTCAAAATCGAATGGCTTATTATTGGCTATAGCATATGTTGATGGGAAATTACAAATTCATAGAGTTTATGAGCAGAATTAATTCATCAAGGAAGGTGAAGACATTTAGATAATGATCTATGGGTTAAGAGCAATATCATGGAATCATGCTCCGTTGGAAAGAGAGATGTTAGTAGCCGCAGGTAATGCAGAACAATAAAAGTATTTAAGTAAAATAAAAATGGACCATTTTAATGAAGTAAAAACTATGGCAATTTGGATGTTGGAATATGAGAATTAAAAATTCGGAATGAAGAAGATTTATGAATTTGATGAAGAGAAAACTATAAATGATGTTCAATGGGCAAATCAAAATGGGAAGAGCTTTCATTTAATTGCATCTGCTAGCGCTGAAGGAGTTAAAATATGGTAGATTAAGATAATCAAAGAGAGTCAAGTTGAAAAAATGAAAGTTTTTAATATCAATCGAGAAACTAAACCGAATTATCATGCTTATCGAGTCTCTTGGAATATTTTGGCTAATCTTTTAGCAGTATCTTGTGAAAGCAAAAAGATGGATGAAAACTAAGCCTTTGTTACTTCTAGAGAAGTTAGAATTTATTAAAACTAAAATGGGAGCTGGGTTGCAAAAGGTATCATATAGGAAGCCAATTTTATAAGAGACAGTATTTCACTGCAGCATTTTACAACTAATGGATTAATTTCTTGAGATTATTTTTAGAGTTTTCATTTAATTTTCTAGTAATTAATGATGCCCCTAAATGTCTGTTTGCTCATAAAACCTATACGATAAATAAACTCATTTTTTTGTAGCCTTTTTCTTAGGTATTGTAACTGATGTTCTCCTTTCTAAATATTCAAATGTAAGTACTCCTCTACGTAATTACTCTTTGATTGAAAATATATATTTTCTCACCTTTGGAGGTATGCCCTTCTCTTTCATTTATATCTACATACAAATAACAAAGTACTCTATCTGCATCGAATACTTCAGTCAATTTTTCAAATTTATCTGCATAATCTGAACAGCCTTTCCCTATTCTTAACATGAACTATTCAACTGGCCAATCTGGTATGGCTAAGTTGTATCCTGGTGGTGGAAATATTGGAGTAACTGTTCTCCTTCTCATAGCAGGCTGCTACAACAAAGTTGTCTTGAAGAATCTGCTAACAAAATTTAATTGCTAATTTCTCAATATAGAAATCATAATTAATATATATTTTCGATTTTATTATCTAAAAATCTCTTTATCTTGAATTTTTTATTCTCTTCTTCTTTATTTTTAGTATTATGCTCTAATCTCAAAGAATATGATTTGTTGTTTTGTATAATCTGCTTCTTAGGAATTCGTTAACTCCTCATTCGATATATATTCTCTATAAAACCTGCTGCTTCATTTCCATAATTCATTTTAATCACTTTCCCAAAAGGAGTTGGAGGTCTACTCTAAGATATTTGATTACTTGTTCTTGAGTCCATAAACAAAAGGATATTTTGGCAAATTTACAGTTTTTGACTTGTCATGATGTTGTATGCTCCCATACTGCCAATCAGATGTAATTTCTTTCACGCCAATCCATCTACATTTATCTTTTTCCAATAAATAATAATAACTGGAATGAGGTAGATCTGATACAGAGGGCTTTGCTTTCCCCATATCCCCTTTCAACAATTATATTGTTCGTTTTATTTATCAAAAATAAGGTAAAATAGTAGACATAAAAATAATAAAATTTTCATATATCTGATTAGCAAAATGTATTAATTTAAATAACTCAATTCTTTTCCTTAAAATCCATCGGTAATTATTAGAAGTGCATCAATAGTTTCTTAATTTCTCTATGTTAGTGGTCTTGTAACAATCCCTACCCATTTTTTCTAAATAATCATAAATATTATTATGTATTATTTTAGCATAGTTTTTGTTTCTCCTCATAATAACCAATCTAAACATTGATTTTTATACTTAATAATTGTTCTTAAAGGGTTGGACACATATCAGACTAAAGCTTATTAATATTTGACATAATTAATTAATTCAATGTAATTCTTAAATTACTTTCTAGTTTTAAAGAATAAAGAGTTAATGGATTTGAGATTTTCTTCATTTTACGGACTAAGAAAATTGAAGTAATCATTATATAGTTCAAAAACAATTTACAGGGATTATTATTATATTATAATAAAATATCAATATTTTTTTAATTCTGGTATTCCTGTCCAATCAAATTATGTTCCTTTTTCCATAAATTCATCTAATCTGTTTGCTTTATGAGCTCTTTCTAGAAGATCCATTGCTTGATTGTATTGATAAAATCCAAATTGATATTTTTCAGCCATTTCATAAAATAGTTTTTCGGTATCCTAGCAAAAGTATTTACCTGTAATATAAAAAGATAATAATGGTATTCCTAAGTATTTAAAGGAAAAGACAGCTGGCCTAAATACAGGGATTCTTTAAAAATTTCTGAATACGGTTTTATTAGCAATGAAAACTACCAAAGGACTTCCAAATAAAGCTAAACTAGTCCTAGCCCTATAATTTAGATATGCAGCTGTGCACTATAAATAATCATCTTAGTTAATAAATCCAAATTGCCTATTATATTCAAAAAAGAAATTAAAAAGTTTCGCTCTATCATCAGCAATTACATCAAAGTAATCTTGCCTAAATTCTTCAAAATTTGTTAGTTTTCTTTGCTTATTCATTAAAATAATTAGGTAATATATTATATTCAAAATATTTATGATAAACTTTGATAGTAAGAAATTAGAATAACTATCAAGCGGTCTTATTATCTATTTCTTGCTCTTTAGAATATTTAGCTCTAGATAGGTCCACCTCCCAGATACAATCAGAATGAAATAATAGCATGTTTATCGTAACAGTCTTCTATCGAAAATAAATTCACACTTTAAGCCTTTTGTAGAACTTAAATAATTAATAGCCTGGTATAGAAATGTGAGCTTTACTTTAGAAAATTCTTTAATTAGATCATTTCAAATTCCTCTATTCTAGATGTCATTGATGCTAACTGATTTTAAATATTGTGCTAGTTAGAAATCATTTAGAGCTTTCTAATTCCCTTAATTTAGTTAGTCAATATATTCCATGTTCAATTTTCTTATTTTCACTTAAATAAATTATTTCATTGTGGAATAATCATCACATTTTCTTTACAGATTACAGGAAAATATTTTGGTAAGTTTTAAGGGCTTTAGAATTTGATATTATTTATTCTCAAACTCAATTCCAAATAATTTTTCACAATTTAATCTTATTCTAAAATAGGCTGGCTATTCTTTTCTTTCATTTATTTATCTTTATTATTCTGCATACTGGCTAAAATTGATTCTTGGGGGGTAATTTCTCATAATGAAGCTCCGAAAGAGTAAAATTTAAGTGCTGCTTGAGGTTGGCACAATAGGTGAATATTTTGACAGTTAATTTTATAATTAATATTTGTCAGGAGGATGATTATGAGGCTTATTTTTAAATATTTGTTACGGTTTTTGATGTAAATACATATTTAACTATTTTTGATTTAATAGGTTCTGCCAACACAACATCTAATTATTTTCATAATTATATGAGACTCACGATGCAGATGTAGTTAACATTAATTGTAATCATAATTTGATATTAATTTAAGTATAAATGATAAATTTAACAACTTAAATTTTTTTTATATCTATTCTCAATTACTACTAATTTATTGCAACTATTAACTTAACTTATTTTTATTTTCTTGAACTAATTATACATCCTAAATTAACAGGTTGGTAGTTAATAATTCATCGAGCATAGCCTACTAATTGAGCTTTGTTTAATTTAAAGTCAAAGTGAATAAAATAATTTTTCCCATTTAAAATTTTAACCTTTTTACGATGATCAAAGAAATTTGCAAATCAAATTATGTCAAGATGACCAAAAAATAATTATTAATTTTATATTTACTTAAAATATTGAAATAAATTTGTCAATTGATGTTCACATTATCTATAATTAATTAATTAATGCAACAACAGCATTTTACAAATTAATAGCATAAATATTGATAAATTTGGAAACCAAGAGCGATCTCTATTGCTTTTGTAAATTGTAGTATGATTGAATTAAAAGTTATTAAAGTATTGATTAAAAATAAATTAATTAAATTAATGTCAGAATATGGAGCAGTCCCATTCGCACTCATGATTGTCATTGTGATTTACATTGTCATTGGAGAATACTTCAAATCGATTCACGTATGCATGCAGTCGTGATTGCTTAGTTCCATTTAATCCATGAAACAAGTTTTGGCATAATAATAGGAATGCTTGTAGGTCTACTATTGAAATGGATGGATGAAAATGCATATGCCTAATTTGTACTAAGAATCTTATTATCTAGTTTTCATTGAATGCAACAATCTTCTTTTACTTACTTCTGCCATTAATCATTTTTTCAGGAGGGTACAATCTAAAAAAGAAGCAGTTTCTGAAAAATTTTAAATATATTGTTTCTTTTGGATTTTTGAGTACATTGATTAACTTTATAATTACTTTGACTCTTACAATAGCATTCAATTCATGGAGTAAAAATTTGAGAATTATTAATATAGAATTGGTCAGATTAGGTACAAATTTAGATTCTCATCTTCCTTTGAGTTATGATGAGATGATCAAATATAGTGCTACGATATGCGCAACAGACTCAGTGGCAGCTCTCAATCTGATACCTTCTCAATAATATCCTAAATTATTCAGCGTTGTTTTTGGAGAAGGCATGGTTAATGATGCTGTTTCTATAATTATTTTTTAAGCAGTCACAATTTTATAAAAAAGTGGAAAATCATTTGAATGGTACACTCCTTTCGAATTCATTGGACGTTTTTTGGAAAATTGTATAATATCTTTATTGATTGGCCTTTTTGTTGGATTATTTTCTACTTGGTGTTTTAAGAAATGTAGATTTTTGACAAACAGCACTACTACTGAAACAGTATTTGCATTCTTAATGGCTTATATGGGTTATTCAATTTGTGAAATGCTCAATTTAAGCGGAGTGATAAGTCTTTTGATGATAGGAATCATGATGAGTCATTATTAAGGATACAATATTAGTTAGTTAGGAAGAGTTACTACAAGAGTTACTTTTGAATCCTTGTCGTTAGGGGCAGAGGCATTTCTTTATGTTTTTTTAGGATTTGCCATGTGGAATCAAACTACTTATTATAGTCCACTTACCCAAGATCTTTATTACGTTGAAGTTTCTTGGGTTTTTACTCTATTATAATTGGGTGTTGTAATTCTTGCAAGATATTTAAGCATTTATATTGTGTACTGGATTTTCACAGCGTAAGATATGTTTTATATTTTCTAGTATTAAGGGGCCAAAGGTATGGAAGCTAACCAAATATGAAATGAGTATTTGTTGTTTTGCTGGTATGGTTAGAGGAAGCGTAGCCTTTGCTTTAATTGAAACTCTAGTCGCCTCCCCTACGGATGGTATACAAATTAACTAAATTAATATACTTTAAAGTTGTGTTCTCTATATTGTTGTTGTCACTACATTGATTTTTGGCACAGCCATGCCTTTCTTCATTAATATTTAGATTAATAAGCAATTAGAGGAAGAAGAGCGTAAATCAATTAATGAAATTCCCACTCCTGTTCTTAATGATACTTCAAAAAAGAAGGAGTTAAGTGAGGCTCAAAAGATTATCAAATATATGGATGAGCATTATTTTAAAAGGTGGTTCATATACGATTATGAAAATCGTAAAGAAAGAATTACTTAAGAAAAAAAATAAATTAAAACTGAAACTTTATAAGAAATATATGAGAAAGCATTCAGCGAAGCAAGTGAAGATGAGTCAGTCAAATAAAGAAATGAAGATTTTATTTCCTTACCCTCTATTGAAGAGAAACCTACTTCTCCTTTAATTGTAAAAATGCAAGAATTATCTTAACAAATTTGAATATTATTTTGTTTAATTTGTAACCAAATGCATTTATTTCCATCATAATTTCTGTATTCTCTGATTTGAAAAAATATTATCCAAAATACTCACTTTGGCTCACTATTTATTATTTATTAGAAATGAATCATCTATTTTATTTATAAAATCTACAGATGTGTATTATCATCGCGAGTAAAAAATATGAATCAAATAAAAGAAAATTAAGTTAATTAATAATCCCTCTTGTTCTTTGAAATCATTTATTTTTACTGACTTAAATATTTTTTAAAAACATTGCATTAGCATAACTATTAGCACCTTTTCAAATATCACTAATAACTGACCAAAATAGATAGTACTCAAGAAAAAATTGAAAAAACTTTTCAATTATATGAAATAAAATCTATTTTCTTTTATATTTCTCTATTTAATTTGATGTTATTCAATATATTGGATTAAATAAGATGATATCCTGATAGGTAAGTGTCGTTTTTATTAGCATATACTAGTTTGATATCCTAACATCAAACTTTAGTACTAATATAATTTGTTTTTTTTATTCATTTTATATAAAAATGAGAAGAGCTTGGTATTTCGATCGATTATGATTTAGGTCTTAAGTAGAATGGCCTCAGATCCAAAAGTTGTTCTTGCAGATATAAATAACAATCATATGGGAAAAACTTTCTTAAATTCTTTATAAATTAGTGCTCACCAGTCCATGAAATCTAAAGTTATACAAATAATATCAGGTATTAAGAATGCTATCCCTAGATTCATGTTAGAGCACGAACAAAAAGATTCTGATCTTTATATCTAAAATACTTAAGCTTCATGTAACAAACTGCTCCATGACTTTTCTACTAATTTAGCATATCATCAAAGTTAATTGAAAGCTCATAGCAAAATTGTTGATGAGAATACAAGCAATTTATAAAGGTCTCTAAACAAAATTGCAGAGGTCTCTGTTGAGATTGAAGAGAATTCAAAGAAAACAAATGCAGGACAAAGTGAAAGAGACTTATAATGTGCTGAGTTTTAATCTAAAATTAAGGATCACACTGAAGCTCTTGCTGCTATAGATGAAGCTAATCCGTTGATTGAACATTTATCTGGAGGATCTTCATTTATTTTAGTTAAAGGAAGATTTAATAAGGTTTGTGAAGATTATAGAGGTAAATATTGTATTTTTCGACTTAAGTTAGTCAACCTCAAGCGGATTGTTGTTCTAGCCAATTCTTACAATGATGACTTAATTATCAACAAAATCAGATTCTGATATGGCAAAAAAAGTTTTGCAATTGTTGTCCAACTTAAGTGTTTAAATAGTTAAAAGTAAATCTAGTGATGAAGATATCGAAAAACAATAAAGTTTGAATTGGCAATAATTTTGTCTGACTTAACAAACGAGAGAAACACCTTGTATTTTATTGTATCACTCAAATTTAAGGTCTGATTAAAGATAAAATCTTGAATAAGCCATATTGAATTATTAAGCATTATCGAAGAATCACAAGGAAAGGTGGAATATCATGCAGCAGAAGTTAAGAAAAATTAAGTATTTTATTTGATTACAATTTAGAAGGATAAGATCAATGGTGTAGATATTTGCAAGACATCTATTAAATGGATACCTAATCAAGAGTTCAAACACAAGATTTAATTTCGAGATTTTCAGATCATCTCTAAGACAAGATTGTCACACTAAAAGAATATCTTAGAGAGACGCTCTAATTAAATTGAGATTAAAAACATTTCATATTATCAATTAATTTAAAATTAACTCCTTAGATGTCAACAATAAAGGGCATAGATAAAATGCAAAGTTGAATTGATTTACTAAGCCAAATTATGATCTGTTTTCCAAATAGATAATTTATAAAAAAGCTTTTTAATGATAATGCATATCACTATGCTTCTTAATTGATAAATTCATCAAAGCTCTAGTAAATAAGATAATTTTTATGACTAGAAATTGACTAACTATTAATTAATAAAACTCCCAATCAAAAAAAAAATGGATAGTAATATAATCAAATTTCTGTTTTGATTTAAGGAAAAATTTAGAGGTTGATTTATTCGATATTTTATTCTACATAACAATTATTAATCAATCAAACTCCCATTTTTCTTTCCTCTTTTTCTTCTTATCCATTAATTCGTGTATTCCCTTATTGTACATTTATTTATTAGCCCATATGAAATAGAAGGCTAGCCCTCCAAAAAGCGATAGAATTACTGCTATCACAATAAATTAATCAGCAGAAAGACTCATAACTTTTTAATTAATAATATCTAGTATTAATAATCATAAATATTTATCATATAAAATAATTATAAGGCATTTATGAACTAGAATTTTGTATACTAGGAATCCTTGCACTTTACTCATTAAGATATTGAAATTGATCTTTCTGATTCAAATCAACATAATTTTTATATATCCCTTTCCAATTAATCCCCAAATTATAATAATACATCTGAACACGAATGTGACTTCAAATATAATTATGAAGATGTTCTTATTACTTCATCAAAAATTGATAAGAAGTAATAAGCATTTGAAAATTTTTCTAAATCTAAATAGATTTATTAGCACAACTCAAATATATAAATCACATTATTCGATAACAATAATAGAAATGAATTGATTCCTTTAGAGCGGAATCAAAAGACCGTTCATTTCAATTTAGAAAATAATAAAATATTGTTAATTACTAATTTCGATGCAGAGTATTATATGAACTTTGAAGAAAGAAAGTCATTATATTAACCATTTTCTATCTATAAATAATAGGTGATTTTGGAGGAAGAAGATCTGTCAAATGATGAGGATGATGAATAATATATGTAGTTGCAAAACAATTCAACTCAAGCAATAGCTATCCGAGATAAAAGTCTGAAAGGAATTTTGAAATAGAATATTAAAAAAGTAGAAACAGTAAAATAAAATGAAATTTTCGTGATGAACATTATGCAACAAAATTTTGACATTCCATAAGAAGCTACAATGACTGAAAGAAAAAAATAGTTATTAGAGAAGAAAATTTAAGATCACCAATATGGTATGGGGCTAAAATTTTTAAAAAAATATGGATTTGAATGTGGGTCTGGTTTAGGTTTGAAGAAATAAGGAATTTTAGAACCAGTTTAGGCATAAAAAATAAGCAATTTTTCACAAAATGTACTAAAACAATAGAAATGTTTGTCAAATGTTGACTTTGCATATAGGAAACAAAGAAAAATAGAGTTGATTACGGATTTTGATGATGAGTAAGAAAAAGGGTAAAGTGGCTAATAAATAAAATTTCCATAATTAAGTTAGAAAAGCAGTTGATATAAATGAAATTTAAATTTTAATTATTTTTGATTTCAAAAATGAATGTGTAGGGAGAATTAAATTCTAATAATTTGTCCTTTCTCATTTATAAATTATTGATTCAAATTTTTCTACTATTAGTAAAAACAAAAAATAAATAAGGTTATGTTTTGGGAAAGGTTGCTTAGCTTTCTATTTTTCTAAAATTAGTAAAAATAAAGTAAACTCAACAACAGACACTCTTCTTAAATAACGAAAATAGATGATGATAAATTATATAATTCAGATAATATTTTTATTACTTGAGAAACTATAAAATACTTTATATTTTATAATGGAAAAACTATATCAATAACTTTTAGATGATTATAATTCTAATAACTTGTAGAATTTTGTGAATTATAAATTTCTATTATGGCTATAAATACTTCATACAATTTTTCATAAATAAAATTTTAACCGCAAAAAAAATTTATAAATATATAATAACAAATTTTTGATTGATTATGAATTTAATACAAATAAAGGTATCATTACTGAAATTATTCATATTAAATCAGTGAGTCATCTGTTTTTAAGGAGTTAACATATTATAGCAAATATTAATGACCTTATAGGATATTTTAATAATTTTTTTAAACCTCACTTAGAAATTATTTTTCTTTAATGAAATGTAAAGTCAATAAAATATCAGATAAAATTGCTATTTAATCAATTTTAGTTATTTTTAATTCACAAATCCTTTAAATCATTTGTTTAGTCAAATAATTTTTCTACTATTTAGTTAACAATGTCTAAAATAGAACAAATTACCTCAATAACTTTATATAATTTTGTGATTTTTATGATTGAGATTGATTCTCATCAATGGCTAAGTCTTCTTAACCCTTTCTTTGTTTCAGAAAATGACTACATTGCATATCTTTCTTTTGAATCAATTTTACTTCATAACTGAAATTATTTTTCGAATCCATCTATTTTTTTAGTTATTTTTGAATATTATAATTTTCATAACTTTTTAGGACTCTGTAAATCTTAAGATTTCTACAAATGGCAATTTTTGAGAATTCCTCAACAGGATAATTATTATTTATTAATAGCATTACTGCACCCAAGTTATCATATCGAGCTGCCATCATAAATAAATCATCTGCTTCAATCCTATAATGTTTTAGCATATTAGATAGCAACCAATTCTTAGCTTATTTCATTGAAATAATTACATTTTTATATGGCTAAGTGAATAGGCGATTAGCCATAAATATTAAAGTTCATTTAAATATTTAACTATTTTGCCTTTATAATGATTTTTGCATTGATGTCATCATAATCGCATTTATTTAAATAATGTAGAGGAGAATTTCCATGCACATCCTAAGTAAATAATGAAGAATTCAATTTTGGATAGATTAAATTAATAATTGTAGGCAGATTATTTTCTAATGCGAAAGAAAGTATATTTCCTTAAGCATAGCTTCCTAATTCTAGCTAGGCTCCCAACTCTATAAGATGTCTAACAGAAAACAAGTTGTCTGTTTTTAAGGATAAACTTAGCGCTGTGTCTCCATTTTCGTTTAAAGTATTAAAATCCATAATTGCTGCCAAGCTGCTCAAGACACCTAGATCCTATGCTAATGATGCTTCGATAATTTTATTTTACAACTACTTCTTACTAAACATTTTTAGAAAATCAATACAATTAACTGATTGATTTGTTAATAAATTGATGATGGGTTAAGTTTAAATTTAGGTTAGAGGTGGCTCAGTATACTTAAACCAATCTAATTCCAGCTTTCTTATGCTTTTAGGCAACTGAGGTAAAATAGTGAATTCATTTGCAAAAATATATAATTCTTCTAAATAATGCCCAAAACTGAATTCTTGTAATTTATTTTAAGAAAGATCTAGGACTTTTACGTTTTCCCCTGCTTTATAATGTAATAAGAGATTATTCTTTAAAGATAAAACTTCCACATCTATTACAGGTGCTACTTTTATAAAATTTCCTTCTAATTTCAAAACTCTTAATTTTTGCATCTTAAAAATTTCATCTGGCACAGTTTTTAATCGACATTCTTTCAATTCCAATATTTCAATCATGTATTGATTTTGCAAGGATTTGGTGATTTATTTTATATCAGCTTCCTGCATTTACAAAATGTATTTAGTTGATTAATTTGGAGAAGTTACTACTTGAACTTAGCATTAAGGAAAATCATCAATTTCAACCTGAAGCTTTTTTTTTTTGAAAAATTCCTTTTGCTTTGATGTGTAAATGGTCTGTTATTTGATCAAAAAATCAATGTTATTCATAATAAATAAAATAATTTGTATTTTATTGATATACTAAGAATGAAAAAGAGTGGGTTTTCAATATGTTTGATCTAATGTCGACTGTCCTTAAGGATTTCAGCCTTTTGCAAAATAATTTTGATTGGGTTCAAAATTTATAAAGTCTTATCCACTATAAATCTGTGATTACATTTAATATATCTGGTTTGAAGTTACTAACATAAAATCAAAAATCTATTATTAAATAAAATAAGTCATAAGCAATTCTTCTTTTGAAGAGTATAAAAATTAGAGATAATATAAGATTATCACTTAAGATATTTTTTTCATTACAATATTATTTTCTTAAAATATTTTAGATTATGTCAAATTCATCTAGAACTTGGGTTGATTAGGTAGAAGATGTTGCATCCGAAGTGGCCAAATCCATTAAGGAAAATATTAAATAACCAATTTGTAATACGATAAACCAAATACCTTTTGATGATTGGAAAAATAATTTTTATCTGCCATTATGCTAGAAATATGACAAATGGCCAGAAAGATTTACTCAATTCAAATAAAATAATATATTGAATTTAGGAAATGAAAATCAAAGGCTTATTTTTCTTGGATTAAGTACCTTAGCTATGGTATCAATTACAAAAGGATGTATAAGAAATATGTAATACTTATTTAGTTTCATCTGGATTACTGCCCATAGTGAGAAATTCTGTTGTGACTTATTTTGGTTTGGGATTAGTAGTAGCCCCCGAAATCTATAATCCATTATTGGTCAAGAAAAATCAAAATAATTGAGATATAGCAATAAATAAATAAAAATTATGTTATCATCATCGTGAATTTTATTAAAATATTGAATCAGTTCATCTGAACATTTGAGAAACAAGCTTGATAGGGTAATATTATATTTTTGAAATTTTAATTATGAAAAAAAGCTTGAAAAAGGAAGAATTCAAATCTAATCAAAAATGATTCATATTTATAAATGATATATTATATTAACTTTCTTATTTTCGGATGTCTAATAAAAGAAATTAAAAGTACTTATTTCTCTGATATCTCATAATCTAATTTTAATAATGTAATAATTAGAAGAAGAGAAAGAGTACGATATTATAAATTGCTAATTATATTATATTTAGGCAAAATTCTTCTTTCTGGTAAATCAACAAATTAAAAATATTATATGAATTATTTTTGAAAGTACTTTGCAATTAAATAATTGATAAATTTTGAATTGAAATATTAGCAACCAAATTAAATTAGAAATATTCTTAATACATTAACAAAAAAACACACCAAGATTTTTCTCATAATATTAATATTAATGAATACTCAATTATTATTTTATTTATTATTATTTAATATCTATTCTTTCTATTGTCGATGAATATATTTCAATTTTTATNTTTTTTTTTTTGAAAAATTCCTTTTGCTTTGATGTGTAAATGGTCTGTTATTTGATCAAAAAATCAATGTTATTCATAATAAATAAAATAATTTGTATTTTATTGATATACTAAGAATGAAAAAGAGTGGGTTTTCAATATGTTTGATCTAATGTCGACTGTCCTTAAGGATTTCAGCCTTTTGCAAAATAATTTTGATTGGGTTCAAAATTTATAAAGTCTTATCCACTATAAATCTGTGATTACATTTAATATATCTGGTTTGAAGTTACTAACATAAAATCAAAAATCTATTATTAAATAAAATAAGTCATAAGCAATTCTTCTTTTGAAGAGTATAAAAATTAGAGATAATATAAGATTATCACTTAAGATATTTTTTTCATTACAATATTATTTTCTTAAAATATTTTAGATTATGTCAAATTCATCTAGAACTTGGGTTGATTAGGTAGAAGATGTTGCATCCGAAGTGGCCAAATCCATTAAGGAAAATATTAAATAACCAATTTGTAATACGATAAACCAAATACCTTTTGATGATTGGAAAAATAATTTTTATCTGCCATTATGCTAGAAATATGACAAATGGCCAGAAAGATTTACTCAATTCAAATAAAATAATATATTGAATTTAGGAAATGAAAATCAAAGGCTTATTTTTCTTGGATTAAGTACCTTAGCTATGGTATCAATTACAAAAGGATGTATAAGAAATATGTAATACTTATTTAGTTTCATCTGGATTACTGCCCATAGTGAGAAATTCTGTTGTGACTTATTTTGGTTTGGGATTAGTAGTAGCCCCCGAAATCTATAATCCATTATTGGTCAAGAAAAATCAAAATAATTGAGATATAGCAATAAATAAATAAAAATTATGTTATCATCATCGTGAATTTTATTAAAATATTGAATCAGTTCATCTGAACATTTGAGAAACAAGCTTGATAGGGTAATATTATATTTTTGAAATTTTAATTATGAAAAAAAGCTTGAAAAAGGAAGAATTCAAATCTAATCAAAAATGATTCATATTTATAAATGATATATTATATTAACTTTCTTATTTTCGGATGTCTAATAAAAGAAATTAAAAGTACTTATTTCTCTGATATCTCATAATCTAATTTTAATAATGTAATAATTAGAAGAAGAGAAAGAGTACGATATTATAAATTGCTAATTATATTATATTTAGGCAAAATTCTTCTTTCTGGTAAATCAACAAATTAAAAATATTATATGAATTATTTTTGAAAGTACTACTTTGCAATTAAATAATTGATAAATTTTGAATTGAAATATTAGCAACCAAATTAAATTAGAAATATTCTTAATACATTAACAAAAAAACACACCAAGATTTTTCTCATAATATTAATATTAATGAATACTCAATTATTATTTTATTTATTATTATTTAATATCTATTCTTTCTATTGTCGATGAATATATTTCAATTTTTATCTCATGCTAGATAGAAAATTACTCTATTAAATAAATCATATGATTAGCCCTAGATCAATTATTAGTAAATTGCTACTTATAAAGAACTAACAGGCTAATCTTTTTTTTTTAATAAATTCTAGTTTACATATACTAAATATTTCATTAATTAATGTAAAATATAAACTCATTACAAAATAATTACATATTACGGCTAATCTATTCATTAGGAGGGATAACCCTTATTTACTAGGTAATCAAATATTAATTTAAAAAATTTGCACGCTTGGTAAGAAATTGGAAATCCTACCCCAAACCAATAAATTTAAAATAAAATATTCAGCAAAAGTTAGTTGGAAGTGGTTCTTTATTAATTATAAAATAACAAGTAATCTATGGGAAAACAAAACAAGAAAACTTATCTTTATTACCTATTACAATTTAATTAAATAGAGAATTCTTGGCTTTGAAAAAATAAAATACATTTTTACATGATCCATGTTTCCTCTTGGTCGATCCTCATGAGGAAAAGTTGCAAATTAACTAATGTTCAGATATAATATTTAAGTCTAATATTTATGAGAAAGTAGAAGGCAGGGATTTTAAATATGACAAAATACTAAAAGTCTTTGGATATAATAAATTATTTTTCACAAACATTACAGAAAATAGAATTAAAGTATTTTATTCCTCTATTAATTAGTTTGGTACACCTATATTTGTAATAGGGGATTTGATTATTAATAAAAATACAAATTCTGTTCGATGTTACAAACAATATTTTATGGGTGATTTGGGATCTATGAGAAAGTATTTGCAAGGGTAAATAATATAATAATCTTGCCTTTTACTCATTACCTTATGCATTTTTAGTTATTTTATGTATGATATATATAGAATTCATAAGAAAAAAAATAAAAAATGTTCAAATCTATAAAAAGTAATCATTTCGAAAGGCAATGATTCACTTTAATGTTAAGAATGCAAAAAATAATTGATTGATACATTCTTTTCCCCGTGTGGACATTTTAATTTATGTTATGACTGTTCTAAACCCTACTAAAATTGTCCTAATTGTGGTGAATATGTGGAAGAAACAATAAGAACTTTTAAAAACTGATAATTATTTTAAAATTTTATTGAATAATTTAAATAGTAATAAATGTGAATAAATTATTTGAACTGACTTTCCTTGATGAACAGTATAGAAAAGTAAATACCCTTTTATTCAATTTTATTTTGACTTCATTAGATAGAAGTGTGAATATTAATTTTCAATCTTTCGTTTATCCCCACATATGTGATGAAACATCATTAAAGGGAAATTTCAAATAAATTGCTCTATACATATTAATTTATACCAATTGTTTACATCTCAAGATATACTATTTATATTTTCATTACATAATACAATCTTTAAAAATGGAAAAATCACTACCATTATTTCTTATTAAAATATATTAATTCATACATCAATGAATAGATCTCATTCACTTGCTTGAAAACATGTAATTATCTATATTAAGAAATGAAAATTAAAAAGTTGAAACAAAAAACAAAAGTTATTAAAATTATAATTCTAATGTGTTTAATTAATATCCAAATCACTTTTGCCTTAAGTCTTCTAATAAGCAACTTCCTTTGGATTTAAACAAAGGTTTTAAATATATACCTTAATAATTCATGATTCTAACATATTCTCAGTATTGTACAAAAAGGAATAACTAAATAATAACTAATAATAAATACCATTTGCCAATAAGGAGCTATTTTGAAGAGGTATGTTGAACTAGGCAAGCAAATCTTTAAAGTTACTATTTGATTGAAGCATTTCCTTTGATGTTTGTACATTCAAAAGTCGGATAGAGTTATCATAACTACCAGATGCTAATGTAGTAACATCAGGAGAGTAACAAATTGAATTAACTGTTGATGAATGACCATCTAATTTGGCTTTTTATTATCCTGTCTTAACATCCCATAAACGGTTAGACTACATCTAATTATAAATAACTACTAGCCAGCATTTGTTGCTCGATGATAGAATAATATCACTCATTGAATCGAACAAATATGAAATAAAAAGAAAATTAAGCAAGTAAAAATCAATATGTTTCAAAAAACTAATTGCAATCCACCTATTTCTATGAAATCTATTATCAAAACTGCAATAAAAACAAATTCCCTTCATATCCGGATTGCCTGAAAGCAATTTTTGAGATAAATTCATTTGGGATTGAGTTAATAGAAAGATATGAATTTAGAGTATATAAATAATACATGAATCAATAAATATAAAAAAAGATAAGTTCTTTTCAGAATATTTTTAGATATACTCAAAAGCATTCCTAGCAAACAGTAACATTCGTTATCAGTTTTGTAGGGTTTTACATCTACATAATCGATTCACTTGTAGTACATCTAAATCCATTCTTAAATTGTGTACCATTAGCTGCGACTGTTTTTCTAATACTAAATGGTATTAGAGCAGATATATAGTTCCACCTACTGCAAACTTAGTCTTTTTTTAAGTCTATCAGAAATTTATGTCAATATTTTAACAGGATTGAGCAGGTTTGTGTTTATTGATGAAATAAAAGCACAAATTAATCTTATCAGCTGTTTCTTGAATATTCTTGCGATTTATGAAGAACTGTCTATGCTGTCACAGCTGATGCATGAAGCCTTATATATAGTGCAAGAAACTGGGACTGCAACCTTATTGTTCTGTCTCTAACTTTTTAATAGAATAAATATTGTCAGCCCTAATATAATTGGGAGGATCTAAAAAAGAAGGCACATATGAGCTCAGTGTGTTCTATGTTGCACAACAACTGGTTATCAAACCAACTGTTGCTTACTGTATTTAGAACCTCACAAAAATTGATGGTAGGGATTAATTGTTATTATTCCAAATCATGTTAAAATTGGATTTAGTGCACTAGTAACTCAATATCTTCATACCCTTGTTGCACAAGAGTATATTCTCATTCTTCTTGTTTCTTCAATTTCATTACTTGATAATTGCAAACTTCTCACACAGCTGTCCATGTGGCCTGTGTAGACTTAACTTATTGAAAAAATAAAGTAATTATGGACTTGATAAATAGAAAACAAGTAAAGTTGTATACTTAAGGATATTCACATTATTAGTATATGCACTTAGAACAGTTTGATATCTCCATCTTCAAATTGGAAATCTATCCTATCCTTCAAAAGTGTACTGAAAATACTAAAAATTTAAAATCAACAAAATTCTTTTTAATAAAGGGGAGAGAGTAACCATTTTTTATTTAATTCTGCTTAGATGGTAAATATTTTAACTCATGCTCCTATGATATTGATTGTCGTTAGTACCTCTGCTAGATATGTAGAAATCTTATTTTTTGTTACTCCAAACTCTATAAAATCTATGCCTATTCCTGTTTCATTGATATAAATTAATTTAATTTTGTGCAAAATTGTTCAAGCAAGCAAATGTCATTTGCTTTAGTTTAAACTAGAAGTTGCTGTATAATTAATTTTTGATTCTATCTTATAAATAAAACCTTGAGATTTCACAATTGATTTAAAGATCTGCTTTGAAATGATTTTCCTGATTAATTGATAAATTGCAAAAGTCCTTGTATATTCTACATTATCAGATTGGATTTGCTGTCATCTTACTTGATTTACTAAATTTAAAACAACGCGTTTAAATACTTATTAGTTTATATTTATAC